TGGAGGCGACCGAATACGAGGGAAGCCCAATATCTTTCTCTACATCTGCTGCGATGCGACCAAGACCGTACAAATTCTCTCGCTTTCCACAGTATCCGTACCGAGTATTCGCATGTGCCAAAAGCCCATGAATAGAACACAAGTTACCCTTGTGAATGGCCGTCAACATCTCAGTGGTAAGTTTACACTAATGCCGAGGCTTGACTCGTGACAGCAAGACTCGTAGGGAGCGACCGACTTTCGCGTTTCGCAACACACTTAGCTTTTGCTTTCAAGTTTCTGTATCCGAAGTCTGGATTAGACTTTCGGGCGGAACAAGGCTCCTTTCCCATTAAGCTCAAGACGGTGGGTATCAATCTTTCTTAGTCCTCCTTCTAGCGACAATCCTAATCTCTTCGCATTTCGTACCAAGTACCTAGTCAAAGCACCACTGCAGGACGAATGGACTGGTTTTGGAGCGGGATATTTTTGTGGAGAGGGACTTTCCGTTGTTTCTGGTTAGTCTGATAAAGTACATGGTCCAATCACCGTAGCAGCACTAACGCTCAAAAGACGTGCAGACAGACCTTGTCGAGCTGAGTTAGGATGACGCTGTTGTTTCGCTCTTTCGTTAGGGGTTTGATAGCGTTCTCGGCATTGGGGTAACCTGTGGATTTCTGCATCGTAGTAAGACGTTTTCGCCGTGTACACGAGATTGGTCGACAGTTTCGAGTCGTCCTGCATTCAGCTATCTTGAAAGACTTTGACGGGCTTAACAATGCCCAGGCCGGGCAAGAATCAAGTGGCGACCTTCTCGAAGCGATTTCAGCGAAAAAAGCCGGTGAAGATGAAGGAACTCAGCACAGATCCTACCCAGAATCCGCCACTATCCGGATAATAGATGTCCGAGATTCAACCGTCAGATCTGCGTGCAGCGTGAGCACTCAGTGTGGTTATAGAAGTGGGACTATGATCATGGTTAATCCCTATATGCGCGGGCAATAGACGCATCCATCATTGAAGTGAGTGTGGGAAGAACCTCCTAGCCGTTTACTCCATGGCTAGACACAAAAAGGTTCGCGCGGGTCGGAGTGGATTCCTCAAGAAGTTGCCGTGCAGCTAGCAATCGAGCAGCGTGGCGGTTAGCACACAAGTATCCGCACATGAGGCCACTCAACGATACGGACGGACTAGATTCCAATGATAGAACGGTGATTAAAAAGTCCGTCGTATAATGTAGTTGGACGGCGCGGCTGGTCATTGGCTTATTTGTGCTCACGGACGACTGTGTAGGCCGACTGTGAATCCCTTGATACAGTGCTTGCCAGGTGCTGGGCATCAACAGTCCGTAATGCAAGCATTCTGCCATCTGTAGCTAGCCGCTTTAGGACCAATCGAACTATCTTCACACTTATGTTTCGAACTGCCCATCTTTCGCGGGCAACATCTAGCGGGACCCTGCTAGACGTACCGAGTGCGGCTGCAGATTGTCTTGAGTGGCAGGCCCGGTCTTGTCTTGATGAACCGAGTCAGTCAGTGCTTTGGTGGCACCGAGAGTTTCGCCATGACAGTTGAACCGGGTTCAGTATTGAACCCAGCAGTTACTTATCCAGAAATCCTCCTCCTCATTCGCCCATGGTTAATTCTTGACAACCACGGGCTACCCTGACGATGTGACCTGGTTTGAAGTTCACAAGGGCATCGCCAATGAGCGGAAGCGGTCGATTGAGGTGCTTTTGTGGAAAGTGACTCAACAATGTGACTTGAACCCCGATGTGCTTCAGGCTTAAAACTGTTCGTCCCCTCTAAAGTTCAACTCAATTTTATCAGGCAAGCCGGCCCGTCGTCGGTGACAGCGCGAGCTATTTTGACTAGAGCCAGCTAATCCCCAATGCTCCACTGATACCCTGTGAGCCTGAATTGCACAACATGCTCTACTGTTAGTCGGTTATCGGGCAGCTTTTCACGTTTTGAGTCCGAAGCTATTGGGTGTTTTCTGCCCAGCACCCTTGCCCTTGACTGGAACATCCCTGGCACCCAAATCTGCTTTTCTGATCAACCAGCGTCGAAATGATGACACTATCTACACGATACACATGTTTGTTGAAGACGTGAGGTGTATCTGAAAGTCACAGTACCTTATTCGAAGCTTGGTATAGGAACAAGTTGAGTTTGATAAAGGGTACGGGGCGTATCCGAAGAGTTTGAAGGTAGTGTTCACACCAGTGTCGATTGCCATTCGATGGCTTGCGGGATTTCGGGCTAGTAATGCCCCTTCCTCTTGGTCAGAAGCAATAACTTCCTAACCTTTTCGGCCAGCTTATTCTTCGATCGTTCGGCCCCCAGGGGTTGTGATGACAATGTTGAAGCTCGAACGACATGCCCCCACTGTAGCATCACCTTAATTATATGTGTCAAACTATAGGTGGCTCAGCCTTGCCACGGTACTTTTCTTGTTCGTAGATGCGCAACAGCAGAACGGATGGCGTAGGTGTAAGGACCGTGTCGCAGAAAGGTTGGCAGCCCATGTCGTCTCAGCCAAAGATGTATTTCATCAACTTGGATTTGCTCAATCGTACACCTTTCTTCCTTTGGCATGGCCTCGGTCGATCTGGACTCTGGAGATGATGGTGCCCTACACTCTGAGTGATCAGGGCTGTGCATCATTCGGAGACGAGCTCACTAGGGTATCTGTCCGACCCCACGGACCAACTGTCCATGGCACAGTATAACCAATCATGTTGGAGCATAATCAGAACATGTGACAACGGATCTGACCGTTGCTACGCAAGCATCAGTCCACTGTGGTCTGGTGGACCTGTGACATGCTCGCCAGATGAAGGTCAGTGGAGCCCTTTTCTTCGACATGATCGTGAATGACATTGACAGCAAATAATATTAGCCACTGGCCATGATCAGCCCTCGAGTGTCGTTGCTTGAGAAGTGCTTTGGAATATCATTCGACATGTTGACGATAGCAGTGGCCAATGTTTAGAGCATAGAGGCCAACATAAGATCAAATAACTAATAACGTGGTGCGGAAATAGTCCAACGATCATCGCCTACACAACGCCAATTGGTCAGTGCCAAGGGGAAGGTTTAAGAATGGGTAAGAACATATCCGCTCGAGGACAGATCTTTTGTGCGAGGTATTGGTAGCATGCCCACGGCAGGTATTGCTTCACACGCTACCTCATACTCGTACACTCGCTTCCGAAAATTTTTGGTCAATGTTAGCCTGATGAGTAACCCCTGCAGCATGCTGAAGATTCAAAGCGGGCCACGACTGAAGTGCCACACAATAGCTTAAAACTTAAATACCCGCACCAGCCGCAGAACGAATCCTAGGAAAATGCGCCCAGCCGTGCATTCGCCAGACGCCGTTGAGCTAGAGTGAAGTAAGGCTGCACCGTCAGAAACGGACCAATCATTCAGTGGCGGTGGCCATGTACAATACCTTGCCAGATAAATGCAAGTTGAGCTCTGACATTGGGCTGGAAACCGAATCTGGGCATTGATCTTGTACAAGTTCTTGCGTGAAGAGTACTGAGCAGCCTTGTTCCCGCCCTATCCGTCTTGCTACCAGGGCCTCGGCTGGAAGGGTATAAAATGCGAAAACTATGTGTCTGGTGGTGAACTTAGATATCCATTAGATACACCCATGATCCTTGCGAGCATGGGCGGGGAGGGCGCTTGACGGCGAGGTGGCAACTGACGTTGACAGGCTGCCAGTGCCAGTGCCAGACGACCCGGCATGCTTGGCTTATACCCCATAGACATCATGGTATCCAAGTTGAACATCGCTAATTGGGACTTTGGTGGCAACTATTGATTTCACTCCACTTCATCGTAGAAGAAAATGTAGGGAGCGAATCCCGTATGCCGTATGCCTGTGATTTGGGTTGATTTGTGCTGTCTCCTGAAGACATGAATTTGTAGAGGTCAAATACCTGGGCATGCCTGTTAGGCGCAGTGCCACTGATCCATGGGGAGTGGAACACTGCTATGTTCGGCGCGAAACGTGGTTGTCGATCAACTAGGTAACCCTATGTGGCGAGCCGGTAAGTATCTGACACGAGTTTTTTCGTCGCTATTCGATTGTTATTTTGAGCAGAGTCAGCATTAGGAGGGAAAGTACAAGTTAGTGTGCCCTCATTCTAGGATGCGAGTGACTGTTGTCGACCAGTGCGGCATGCGGTTCCGATGTAAGGTGCCTCGTCGACCTTATAATTCTCCCGAGCCAGGAAGCATCTGGTGACTTTCATGCCTTTCAATATCCACTGGCTTAGAGCTTGTTGGGTCGCTTTGCGTGGCAACAACAGCTTGCTTGTGGCCCTACGATCAAAAGAACGAATTGTAGTTGGAGCATGGTAGTTAAGCTCGTTGATCATATCAGAAACTAGGTAATGCACTGTGGCCAGGGCAGCATGCGGGCAAGAGAAGCGGTGAGCTGAGTGAATACATCAGAAGGCGCTTCAGATACTTGACGCTCTCGCGTTTCGCACCTGCCAATTTCAAGTGCTTGGAGCAAAGTCGTTGCCAGTGCATCAGTGGCGCAAGTCGGCTACACCCTCCTCATAACACCATCTTTGCCGGGGTAGAGGTTCCGTGTAAAGATGATTATACTCTAGTTAACCAATATGCTACCCGGGAAGGATAAACACCGTCGGCAACATTAAGCCTCTTGATAGCGTCCACCTTAGCTAGTGATGCAGTTTTTAATTAACTAACAATGCTAAAAGAGAATATCTTTGATTTAACATTAAATCCAGGTATAATGATTTGAATTTTCCAACCACCCCTTTGTCGATACCAAAAGTTTCCTGTAGAAGATCTCGTGTCTCATGTTTGCACCTTCCGGCTCCTGAACCTGCCCTGTGTGACTGGTGCACCATAGCATTCTTGATAGCATGCCTGCAAAACGCCCGAGATGCCATAGACTAAAGACAATGCACGAATCTTATAAAAACAACATCAATGAGACAACCCGAAAAGTGTGGCAAGCCTACCAGGCCCAAACCTTAAAGTGCGTGTGTCCTTCGTACATGATCCGAATCATAATCAATTGCAATCATTTGAGTGCTTCGATCACGCTGTTGTCGCAGGGCGGGTAACTGACGTCGTCGGGCATTGATAAACCAATTACTGATCTACATGACGGTCAGTAAAAGTCAAGGAATGGATGTTTCTGTATCTGTCCTTACTTGATTTATCGTCAATCCTGTTCGAGATGCAAATGCCTGTTTATCTTCTTCGGTCGGGTAAGGATGATCGAGGTGATCATGAAACCAACCACGCAAGATATCTGTGACCGGTTTGGGCAGGTTTCCACGGCGTTTCCGGTTACGGCTATCGGTGTCTCCGTAAACGGTTGGCGATGAAGGATTGTGGATCGCTACCGAAGCACTTGAGTAATCGAGCCCGGTATACGGTGGTGTTTGGTATGGAGTCCCAGGCTGCGGAAACCTATAATAGTCCATCTGTGGAGGAGGTTGCGGCCTATTGACCTGAGGACAGTTTTGGCCATAGCGTTGAGCAGGCTCATAGAAAGTTGGTCTATCGGTGGCATACGGACCTGTTTCGAGAGAAGTTTGACTTATAACGGGCGGGGCATAGGGCTGAGGATAGGGCCCTGCTTCTGACTGATAGTTGTGATCAAAACTATTGGCGACGTCTCGAATTGGTGGTAGGCTGGTCCTTGGATATTGCAGGCGTTGTGAATATGGAGGGCTGAGGACGTCAGAGAACTGAGCACTCGAAGCCCAAGATGGGCTCTGCCTGTGATGGCGAGGATCGCTGTAGGATGCTTCGACAGTTCGACTGGACATGTTGTCGAATCCTTCAGCGCTCGTGCCATGTTGCGAACCAGGAGATGACTGGCCGGACCTCCTTACTCCAGATGGAGAATGATATGAACGAGCATCGTCCTGCTGCCCATGATGCAGGTGTTGGTTCGAGTAGTGATCGTGAGGGCCCATGTCCTGTGATTGTAGAATCTGCAGAGTATTCAAAGGTTAGTCGTCAATCGGTCAAGTTCGAAAAGTGTAGAAGCTACGCACCTCGGAGAAAGATGGCAACTGTTGTTGAGAAGCCTGCTGTGGTGAAACGGGCAACTGTGCTAGACCCACGTTTTGATGCGATGCTGTGCCAACGGAGTAAAAGTTAGTCCCATGGGTATATGAGGTATATGGATCCATCAAGGGATGAGTTGATGTATGATGGTTTCCACCTCCAGAGCCAGTTCGAAGGAGACTAAGAAAGAGGGTAGCGGAAGATGGAGCTCGAGAATGTCAGATCACCGTGAACTGCTGTTGCAGCCACGGGTTTTTGTGCCACCAACCATGGAGCGGACTGAGGACAACAAAGAAGCAGAAGTCATGCATGATCGAAATGCCAGTACCACGACTTCAGAAGATCTCTGCCAGAACTTTGCATGACAGGAGTGACATGGTCTCAATGACAAACGTGGATGGGAATATGTCCGACGAGATTGGGTCGGCGAGAGGCAAGGAAGGGGATGTGCTCACCAAAAGGGTCACTCGGTGATCTTGGTGAGACAGCGTAATGCTGGAGGCGATGGTGGTTTGAAACGAGTTCAGGTGTTTAGTTCTGGCATCGGATTCAAAAGGCGAAGTTTAGGAGAGGTTTTGGGGCTAGGACTAGAACTTGTAAGAGCCAGGACAGTGTGAATTGTGATATACAAGGCCCCAGGCTTTGCACGGGGAGGATCTGAGTTTGTTCCAAGTTGCAAGATGCAAGCCGAATCAGGTGGACGGGTAGGGTTTGAGTGATACCTCGTAGTAGTATGATATTGCGGCACGAAATGACAGGGACCAGGATAGTTCGGGCCCTGAGCCATGGGCTTGCAAGGATTGGCAATCGGACAAAGTTGTGGGCAAGATGGAGAAAGCAGAGATCGAATTAAGTGGCGTGTACAAGGCGCACAGAGGCAAAGCAAATTTCCGGATCAAGGAGTAGTGGCCATGACGGAGGTGAGGCCTTGGTGTTGTCAGTATCGGCTTCAGCAGGAAATCTTACGGATAGTTAGAAGTTCGTCATGCGGGCGTTTGAGCCTCTGGGTATGGAGTCGAGGGCCAATGGTCATGAGCTGCAAGGAATTCAGGTTGAGGGCGGAGGAGAAGTGATACTTACTGCCAAAGGAGCGAGCCGCGAAAGCCATGAACAGGGGTTCAAGTGGTATAGAGTTTTGACGAGGATGGAGGCTTTCCTGGTGGTCCACCCTGGACTCGTCCTGTACGCAGTACGGTGAGGGCTATTTGGGACTCGTCGAAAATCAGCGGAAGTACGGATGGAAACGAGAACATGGGGTCTACAATTCATCGTGCTATCGAGTGACACGGATCGAAGATCTTGACAGTACTCCAGGGTTTCTGGGGTATCGGCATGGCAGGGCAGTGAAGTGGGATTCACGAGAATCGTTACCTTAGGTACCTATGGCGTAGTGGGCAGTGTGAGGGCCTTGGTGGGGTGTGATGCTGTTGGGTAAGTGATGGTCAGCCAAGGACCAAAAGTAGAAGGACTGGCCGCCATAGGTGGAAGAAACATCAAGACTCCAAAGGTTAAGACGGGTATGAAGTACGAGGACCGAGTATGATGGAGCTGAGAAGGGAAGGACAGCAGCTAGCTGAAGCAAGAAGGATTGAATCTCGGGAAAACATGTCCACGAAGTATGAGCATTGAAGAAGACCATCCGAGAATGCAGGGGATGGGTGGGCCGTGGCTTTTCTCCGCTCAGCAGCCTGCAGGTAAGGTGAGTGCCTAGGTATCCACCGTTGAGGGTCGAGTACGGATAGTACGATGGTAAGTTGGGTATTCGTGTCCGTACTGAGTGATAGTGTGTGGAGCAGGCTGTCCGATGTACTTGGTCCTTGGTATCCACACTCCATTAGCATCCTTGCGGGGTCACGCCATTTTGTAGTAGCCTAGAGCATTCCCGTTGTGCCCGTTGGCCCCGGGAACCCAGGATACTCGGCAAGCTGGCAGCAACTTGGAGAGTGGGAGGTTTTTGATAATGTCAAGTTGGGTTACCCAGGTAATATCCCTGGCTACCCACCCTGACTGCAAACACCGGTGGGTGGCAAGACAAGGTGGATGAGGAGACGTCAATGACTTTCCCAGGGGCTAGTCATATATCTGAGGATATGAGTGGCGATGACCTCGAAGAGTAGACTGCGTCTCTCGGGAGTCAGGAGCAAGAGAATTCTGCCTCTGTCTCCAATCCACTCAAGGAGGCCAGCATGGTGCCACCAATGCCAAGTTGGGTACGTACCTAGGGAGTAGTACCCGGTACCAAGGTTGTACCAGACAGTGTTGTAGAAGGCCCGGGGGACAATAAAAGGAACAAGGTCTGCCAGACGAAAACAATGTCCTTTGGTGCGGTCATACCTCGGGCCCTTACAAAAGGACCTGGATCATTCTTGTAAAGGTTGTGGAGGTTAAACCTTCGGATTGGATTTGATCGGTGGCTTACTAGTCAGACAGTAGAGTATCTGTGCGAGTATGTTTTCCTTAGATACTCTCTGGGTATCTTGGCACGTATGTTCTAGCATGATCAAGGAAGCTTGAATGGAGTGACATCGATATTGTCCTGGGTGAAGTTTGCAGTGGATGGATGACGACCTCTCTAAAGATACTCTGGAACTTGCCGCTCACTTCAACTCTTATGTAATGGTTCTATCATTTTCGGTCCACCGATTCATTGTCCACAGAAAGCTGATCTCGGCTTCACCACGCCTCAACCCTCATCGTTGGCTCACTCACTCATTCGTAGATCTATCAAGCCACGGGCGCTATGCATCAACGTCGACATCAACGTCGACCCCAGAGCTGGAGGCTCCCAGCCTCTTTCTATTGATCCAGCTGATCAACCTCCATCACCTGCAGCTGCAGCCGACCGTTTACAGACCACAGCATCGGGTTTTGTTCATTTCCCAATCTCCAGGTTCCCCCACACCTTGACACTCGATAGCAATAATGGCATCGCTCAAACCCCTCCGTGTCACACTATCGTTCATGCCGGCCCATATCGCTGCCATCGGTGTCACCACAGATCAATTGCTGCCGTACCGAGATCCCTCACGCCCACAGTGGCACAGGGCTGATTCGGTCATCCTCCTTCTCACCCACTGCTTGGTCCCTTCTATTCACCCTTCATACTCGGTAACCGCGTCATTGGTGAATCTCCCTCCATCCGGCCACAGGGATCATTCCTGCTTCAATCCAAATCTGACTGGTCAAGAAATTCTCGACGCCTTCTGACCGCCTCTCTGTTTCAATCTCTCAGAATCCCTTGACTGTGCTCGCAGACACTCGCCGATCTGATGTACTGGACTTGTCGCCTACCTATTATCCAATCAATCCACTTCCACACCCAAACCCCTGCTTCATCACCCTGCACTCCACGGTACACGTCAGAATGACACCAGAATCGCTCCTCCTTTCCCCCCGCCCCTGGAGCATCTTGCACATGGTTTTTGAGAGCTTGGCCACTTGGCCTTGAACAGAAGCCTCGATCGCCCAAGCATTGGACATCGGGATAGACTGTCAATGCGAAAATGCAACTCGAATCATTCATCTCCGCCATCACCAACCGTACAGGGACTCTCACCGACTTAGTTTTCTGACGTTTACTGATCTACTACGGTAAAGAGTCATTCACACGATCCTGAACAGCTATAAACTGCCCCTGCCCTGGGCATGATTGGCCGACATGAATCACCCTCAACTTGGGCGCCAGAGCACCACAGTGACCACTTCGGACCAGCTTTTCCCTCCATGTGTTCTGTGGCAACCGGGGCTCTCGCCTTCGGCTGCCCTGCCTCTCCCACTCGTGACCTAACATCATTATCTCTTTTGGTGATGAGGAATCACCGAGGCGTCTGAAACGGACGTTGTCCGAGAGGCCCAATGAGACCAAACGACTCGACCTGGCATCGAACATGGCTTGCCTCCGAACAGTGAGTCCATTGATTTCAAGCCATATGGTTGACAAGTCGGACCGCTATTGAAACCATCGGTATCTCAACAGGCTGTCAAGCTTTGCTTGTGAGGGGCCCAAAGCAGATGTGGATACACTAGAGTTCACCTCCGTTCAAGGGAAGCCATGAACGATACGAATGCTGTGTCGCAGCACTAAATGAACTAGATGACGGACAATTTCTCCTTATCTCTGTCCGGACATTCGTCACCTCATCATTGTGAATTGACCGCAATCGCAGAGATAAATTACAGACAGTTAACCTTCACCTCAGTCATCATGCTACTACCTCGACCAACATGGTCTTGGTCCTCTACATGCGAACTCACTCACAAGAAAAAGAAACCCACTTAAGCCGACCGAGGTTAGTCCCGATTTTTGTATGTTGTGCAACCAACACAAAATGCGACGCTAGTCAGTGATACCGGATCTTCCCAGTACAGTCCGATTTTTTGGTACCCAGCGCTGTGGTTTGCACTCTGACTCAAAAATTGGAACCATCCTTACGATCGGATGCCCGTAGTGCCCGTGGTGCCCTGGTCAGCTTCGAGGTTACACGGCTTTTCGTGGGAGGGGGATGAGGCTCCGTCCGAGTGGACTGACCAGATCTAAGCGATTCGATTCATCTCAGCTACCCTGCCCTACCTTGCACGGCTACAAATGGTCGATCTCTCTTCCCCCCTCCCCCTTCCCTCCTCTTTCCCACCTCTCCCCCCTTTCCGATCAACAACACGTCATGCCATGGTCTGAACCAACGAGCTCAGTCAGCATACACCACGAAAAAAGACCGTGGACAATCCACGAGCCCATCCGAGAGAGAGGCAAGATCCAAAACGTGAAATCACTTCTACTTCCTCCCCATCATCATCATCATCATCATCATCAAGCCTCGCACGAAAAATCCCCCCAAACTATTGAACCAAGGAAACCGAAACAAGAATTCACACAAAGTCAATCAGCACAGCAGCGACCAATATCGCGAACCGATCGATGCCTTTCGGAGGGATCTCCCATGCACCATGGCCCATCACTGGTGGAACGAACACCTGATCGTGTCAAAAACGCCGGCTTACCTGCCTGCCTTGCCTAGAGGCTACCTGGGACCGTCAGCTGGGCTGGGCTGGGCCGGGCTGGGCGACTTTGAAATTTCAACACGAATTTTATGTTCTCTGGCATATATGCCCCATACCCATGCCATGCCATGCCATGCACTGAACTAGATTATACCACGCAGCTCTTTTCTCTCTCTCACCTCAGCCCCATTTGTTCCTGTAGCCCTGCATTGACGTGGTATGATGTGATATGATGTGGTGCCATGCCATGTCCTGCCTTGCCTTGCCTTGGCTTACCCTGCCTTGCCTTGCCTTGCCCTCGGGTTAGTCTGGGAAGCAAGACCTGACCCGGTTCGAGGGTCTTGTCGAGACCTTGATGCCTACCGCTGGAAGCAAGCATGATTGAAGTACACTATCTTAATGCCTACCTATTCACACTGGATAGAGTGGCTTGGATGTATTGACTCTTCAAAGCTGATTTTCGCGTGACGCTGCCAATGGCCTGGCCAGTTTCTCACTAGGTACTTTTCGAGCAACGGTAATGGGTTAGTTTTGTTTTCACGCGTTGATAGTCTGATGGTGGATGCATTGCACAACAAAAGCATCAAGGCAAAAGGACACAGCGTAGTCCGTTCCAAGACGTCCCGGTGTTCGAAGCACTGGTATTCAGGGATAAATATAATAAGCTAAGTGATTTACTTGTACAGGCTTTATTCGCAGCCTAAATATGTAGCGAGAGGAACAAGCCTTCCCACGTATTTAAGCCGGTGTCAGAGCAAGTTCGCTGCCCCCCCGTTCAAAGATGTGGAGGAGTCCACTTGAACTAGGGAGGTACTTTTGCTTCTAACCTGCTCACTCCGTTCTCATCTATCCGAAAATGGCCCTTCAACGATCCGACAACCAAATGTCATGCACATATCGGCTATTGAACAAATCCCAGGCTGCAGGTGTTCTGGACTAGCAGCCAGTCCACGGTCGTGTCAAACGTGATTTCCAAGTCCTCTCCTCAAAAAATGCCACCACTTCACAATTCGTTCCACAAATGCTCCTCATATTGGTCGAACTTGCCGGAGCGTATGATATTGATGATGTTCTCCTCCTCCATGGTGGTCATCGCGGAGGAATCAAATATAGAAGTGTTCGTTTCGTCTCCATCACCCGCGTTTACCCACAGTGACGGATCAGTCCTGTCTGTGCGAGACTGTTTCCAATACATGTCGTCGATGCGGTTGATTTCGTCGAAGCCGGCGTGCGAAGTGACCGATTCATCTTGGTTCTTGATGCGGTCTCTGAACAACTTGTGGCGTTTCAATCGTGCAGTTTCGCTGACTTGTAAGCGGAGGGCCATGCTGTGGCCTTCGACAAGTGCTATTTGTTGCAAGACCCATCTTGACATCGTGTATGATGGACCTTGCTCGTCCCGGTACTCCATGCAGACGTACCACAGTGCTTCGGTGAACTCTTTCGTGATTGGGCCTCTCCACTTGTGAAGATACAGGTATAGGAAGTAAATTCCGGCGAAACGAGCTCGGGGGCTCCACATGGTTGTCGTTGCGATTGAGGCGGCCAGGTGATTAATGAAGTCGAGAGCTTCATGTGGAGTAGGCATACCCTCCTCGTACAACTGATGCGTCTTCATGTTCAACCACCCAACCCTAAATGGAGCTTCCCCAGATCCAAATTTAGACAATGTTAGTTTTAGGTAGTGATTGTGCTTGAGCAATCGCTTGATAACCATGGATGCTTTCGCTTCGGTGTGAATCCACTTCCTCGAAAGCACTTTGAATAGCGGCAGATGTGGATTTATGGACTCGGCAAGTTCAACCAGCTCATATGGATAATTCATTCGGCAAACAGCAAACAGCTTTGAGTCGGTGAGCATAGAGTAATCACGGTTGACTAGAGACTCCAAAGCAGCTGTAGAAGTCGATTGGTAAGCCAACAGCTTAGATCGATTGTATATAAAAGGTGCCAGATTGAGAAGCAAGAAGCTTTTGTTTGGTATAGCGAGCTGATAAACTTCCACAACAAGTCGACCAAGACGGTCCTTGGTGATATAGTCTGAAGTACGGTCAGACACCTGTTGATAGATTCGTTGAAAGCCTGTGCGTAGAAGTAACGAGCGCGATGCCTTATAGTCTGGACACATGCTAATATAGGTCCAGGCAATCGCAAGAAGTTGCGAATACTGCTCGGGGTTATCGTCCATGGCTTTAGTAAATATGTCATCCGTTGTGTCCACTGCTTTCATCACGGGGCTCAGATGTGACAGCGTCAGTCGCCAGTTAACCAGGAATTTGGGGATTTTCCTGAATTTGAAGATTTTGCTGATTGTCAATTTACCGATACCGAGATTGGTTGGTCCGTCTGGGTGATTGCCAAGGAGGTGCATAGAAATCTGTGGAAGGGTTTGTAACAGAAACTTTGTTTCGAGCCTTGCAAGGTCACTCGCAAGATCATACGTAGTTCCATCTTCCAGATGTTCCGTTTTTGGCATATCTTTCAGCCGCATGAGCACAACACGAATAAAGATATGCGCATTGTTTTGATCTGCCCAAGGACCAAGGAAAAAGAGCGCCTTGCTGAAATATGCGTACTTGCCTAAGAGTATGATAAGACTTTGCAGACATGGCTTCCCGAGGTCACTCAGATGTAGGACTGGAGAACCAGCCACAGCCGTGACCAGTCTATGAAGAAAATCTCCCTTGTGTGAGCGTCCGGTAGTGGGTTTGGGCATGGGCAATCTCATATTTGCAGTCATTGAGAAAATAGCTCGCAAATCTACCGGTGAGATCAGACCCAAAGTTGCGGCTTGGCTAAACGAAGTCTTCACCCTATCCCAAGTATCGTTGTTGAAATGCAACCTCTGAAGTTTGATTAAAACCTGCAGATGTAAGGATGTGCCTGGCGGATGGAAATCTGGAGCGCTCAGCAGGGCAGGGATCTCGGTTGGCCAGTTGGGTAATGCGAGGAGATGATCGAGAATGACTTCACAGAACGCCGGAACTTGCTGAAGATTAATGGAGTGTAACTGAATGAGTATTCGAATCTCGTCCAGTGTCCGACATCCTTCTAGGACTGGAAGGACCTCTTCCACCTCAGCAGGGAGCGCCAAAGTTGGCTCCGGCTTAGGTTCAGGTTCGATCTTGCGTTCAACCTCGCCTAATTTGAGCTCATGCGCAATCGGCGGTTGCTTTGGGGGATGTATCAGCCATGAAAGCAGGGACTGACGAGCTAGCTGATGATCAGTTTCCGTGCAGGAGATTTGCTGAATCAATTACATACTTTGATCTGTGCTCCAATTCACGACATTCTGCCACCAGGCAGCCGGTTGCGCACCCCGACTGATGAAGTCGGTCGGATTGACGAAGCCTTCTCCCCAAGAAGGGAATGCCAAGTTTGTAGTCTTTCTCCGTGATGCCCGTCTCCTGGCCTCCAACGGACCCGGTACACAGCTGCCATGGCGTCGCTGTTGGCAGAAGCGAGTAAAAGTCTGTGTCAAGAGGGCGTCGGAGATCCAAATTGAATTCGCGGGTTGTGAACTGATCGAGTGAGAGATACAGCCGGCCGCATTTCTGCCCCGAGTCATAAAAGTTGGAGGATTATGGAGGACTCAGTGTCGGTCATGTTCGCGCTTTGCAACAAGCTCGTGGACACGGTAGCATCTATTTTTCTTGCGCGTCAAGCTTGGCCAATACGGAGGGAAGCGGTTGTAGGGAAGTAATGGTAACCAAGCTCGTGGAAAGTCGTGTTTTGTCAATGACTTGATTGGAGCGCAGCTCGAAAGTGAGAAGGAGATGGCAGACAAACGCCAAGCTGCCACGAGTCATTTTGATCGTGCATGTGGGAAATTGCCCGAGTCATGCTGCACAATACTGTGTCTGTCGCAATTGTCGCACTCTTTTAGGGCGTCCCCTTGTGAGACCTTCTTTCAAGAAAAAAGCAATCAGATTCTATTAGATAGCTAAATATTGTACATATCTCAGTTGCTGAAATCATGATATCGAGACTGTCCAAACCCAACTCCCATTTCCAGCCTTTCGCCTCAAATTCCCCCATTCCACAAACGCTCTTCCAGAATTCTATCGTGGGTATCCTTTTTACGTATACAAATCTCGATGCGTCCGTAATGTCGTAATGATTCTTATGATTAATGATGCCTAGATGAAACGTTAGATCTAAGGGGAGAACGCCTACCTATGTTAATGATACAAGAATGCCGTGACATTCGCCCTGGAAGCCGATTCAGTGATGGTGTGGCCTTCTTTATGACCCAATCAAGGTGACGGCTCGTCCTCGAATGGTGAAGAATGTAGTGTTGCTGGCCGCTGTCGACAATACCAGTGTTGTAAGTGTTGTCGATGTGATCTCCTCCGTGAGTGGGGAAGTCACTGTCACAAAAGCGGTGGCTACTGCCCCTGTCGCAGTTGCCGACGTAGCGCATCCTTGAAGCGAGTACTCTGAGTAGAGCGAGCAACCAAGTGCATTGTCGATAGAAATCGTTGATGAGATGAAGCTCGAAGTGGAAGTGGTGAGTGCGGCGGCTTCTGAGTTGACTGTCGCTGCCGCTGTCGGTGCACTTTCAGAGCTTGTGGCCAACCCAATGGTGGTAGTACTTGTGGGGGTGACAGTTTCATAAATAGTAATGGTTGTGTATATAGTTGTTGTAGATGTCTCTTCAGCTGCCAGATTCGTTGTCTCTCCGGGAGAGAAGGTAGTCGTAGTGGCTCCAGTGATGGTAAGGAACCCATCTGCAGCTGACACCGTCATATTGACTGGTACAGAATCAATTGCAGGTACAGCAGTTTGAACGACGGGGGAAGGAGTTGTTGTCGCGGCGAAGAAACCTCCCGCCCTGCCGAACGGTATAGTAATTGTGATGGTTGTGTAACTCATGACTACTGTCACAACGGTCGCTTCCCCTGGTGCCGTGAAAAAGCCTGGTGCAGAGAAAGTGGGACGGATGCCTCCATGATTGCCACCTGTGAAGGTGATAGTAGGTGCTGGTGCGTCGGTATTTCCCCCGAGAGCGCTAGACATAGTCATAGTGGCAGGTGCACTGCTTGATCCGCCGTCTATAACATTCGTGGTCGATGCGGTGTTTATAGCTGAATTTGAATCAGCCCCCGAACTGAATGCGGACGACGGCAGGGTGGTGAAATTTGTGAATGGTGCTGAACTAAATGTTCCCGGCACACTGAATGATGGGTCTTGCGATGGGGAGAGAAGGCTTGAGGTGTCTGGGATGCTATTGGTTTGGGTGACCGTGGAGACGGTTGGCGCAGACACAGTGACAGAGGTTGACATGAATGCAGATGATGTTGGCAACGTGGGGAGTATCGATGAGCTGCTAACGAGAGTCGACAAGCCACCGGATTGTGACGATGAGCTTGCGGGCGAGGTCGATTCAGCTGTGGTTGGTCCCAGCGTCGCGGAGGTTTGGCTGCTAGCCGAAGCTCCACCGGGTGTATGTTGGCCGATTGGGCATGTCTCTTGTTCAGCCCTTACAGGGCCATGAGTGATAGGATTACAACCTGGCAAAGCATCAAGTGTACCTAGGACTTGCTCGTTGAAGACTGATGGCTGTTGTGGGCAGGTTCGTGCGAAGTTGACATCCTGGCTAGGTGCAAGGTATGGGCAAGCGCTGATGACACCACCATCATCAGTGTAGAGACAGTTCTTCACAGCGTCGTCTTGAATGTCCATTTCCCACCCATTGATGAAATCGGCATGAAACCCGTAGCCTGTGGCATCACCGTTGGCGAAAACAAATTCTCCACCCCCAGATTGATCAATCTGATTTGTAAAGTAAAGAACTCTGCTCGAGTGTTAATTTATATATTTTTTGATAAGTAGAAACACCCACTCGAAGAACAGCCCAGGAATGGGTACAGGATGTGAAGGAGGACAAGAGCCGTAGTCGATGCCGGATACATATGCGACGTGGGCCGATTGGGGGAGGTATAGGTTGACACCATCCCAGCAAGACTGGAAGTTAATCTGAGCTCTCATTCCATTGACACAATCGGTTCGAAACATGTAGTGTTGTTCTGGTATATCGTTAGCTTCATTAATGCAGCGGAAACTCACCCTGCAAGATGTTAGTTACGTCAATGGCCAGGAAACATGAAGTACTAACCTATCGGCCACTGGCCGAGTATTGAGATATGTCAAGGTTGAACTGTCGTATGATCGTGCTTCAGAATCTCCCGATATCATCTTGAACCCGGGTGGGAAGGGCTTCGTGTTATCGGGAGTTCCGCCTCGACCTGGTTACTGAATGAGCAATGTTGGCTTGCCATGAATAAAACCCGGACATCCTTACCGACGTAGTAAACTGTCATGCCGTAGTTCGGCACTTCTTCGAATTTGCCGTTCGTATGGGCATAGTATAGCTGTGGTGTCCAGTAAGCGGATTTGTCGCTTTGTACTTCGCAACTTGAGCATGTCGAAGATAGCAGGGAATTGAAATCCGAATTTTGATTCACGTCTGAGCTCGTCAGCTTTAATCTCTGGGTTCAAATACTGGCCTCCACGTACTGTTGCCTCCTGCGAACTTGTGTGCATGTCCAGACACTGCTCCTGGGTCCACGATCGGGTCAATCCTAGAAGTCTGTGATACACTGCAAGCCATCCGCCAGTAAGCGAACGCAGCAGTCGGTTGCAAGGCTAGAAGCCACAGTGAGTGAGGTAAGTGTGATGGCTTCATTCTCTGTTGTAGAATATGTATGAAGCTATACTTAGAATTAAGGACGCAGAGAAGAAAGCAACAGGTGTATATAGAAACAACCTGAAAATCTCAAGTTGACCATGATCGGCCACTCAGTAAACAACAGACTTGAGGGGTTGCTTTGGCGCATACACTTCTTCGCCGTGCACAAGGATGAGGCTTTTGGGCGGCAACGAAAGCAGGCACTGATCGAGTTGGTCCCTGAGCGAGGCTGAACTCTAAAATCAACATTCCGACTGGTCAACATGAATCCATTCCGGACAGAGGATCCGCAGTCAGAGCATGTCGTGTATTCCTGAGTCCTGACCTTGAGGCGTCGCAAAGTGGAGGTCGTGCTATGATCATGCTTCAGAAGCTCACGGTCGCAAAGACTTACGAGTGCGTAGGCAGTGACTATTCGTCATGGGGCTTGCCTCTTGATGTCCACAACAGTGCGCATTTGTCTCCAGCGACGAAGCTTCGGGCACGGTCATGGCCTTATCGACTCCGTGATTCGTCTTCAGGTCTCGAGAATCACAACCGGGGAGTACGCAGCATGTATCGCAAGTGTGATTGTCCAAGGCGGGCGGAAGGCCTTTGCAAAGAAACCTCCACAGCAGACACCTGCGTACTCCTCGTACTCGAGAGCTTTTTGGACTGTGGATAAGAATTCATGGTCGTGCAAGAGTGTAAACTGACGAGGTGGCGAACCAAGATGCCAACGATGAAGAACCAGGTGCAATGTCATGTTGACAGTGGTTGACAGGGGAAACGCCTCGGTGGCTTGGTCTAGCTCATGCTAGTGGTTGCGCTTAGGTGCCCTCGTCTTTGGGAGGGTTCATGGGAAGCTCATTGTTAATCTACGATTGGTTGAACTCCTACAGCTAATTTCCGAGAGATCGTGGTGTGTTCGGCGAGCTCTACCTTATCTTACAATGTCGGCATCAGTACCCCACGATGATCTGCGACTTATATGCGACCATTCGAATAGGAGTACGGAAACCACAGAGTACGGAAACCACGTGTGTTTAGTAGGCAATGGCTTCCGACGAGAGGAACAGCACCACAGGCACCTTATCTATTCAGATTGATGTGAAACATGTCCTGTCCCCTCAGCTTCAGTGAACTGCCTAGCACTGGCTGCAAGGCTTCCTTGAATCCAGGTATGGTCCTCAATTCCTGGAAATCTTTCCGCGACGGCCAACCGATTATCGCATTGAACACACAGGCTTTTCCTGAAGGGGCCTCATCATGTGGAAGCGTTTCCAATGCTGCCCAAACGTTAGTCCCGACTTCCGTCAACACTGAGGAAGACAAACTCACTCCAGCCACAAGCGTATCCAATGCAAGTGGTTTGGGTCATGTTGAATTGAGCAAGTTTCAGGAACGCATCTTCTAGAGCTGATCTCTGCTCTTCAGTTGCATCTTCAGGAAGCATGAAGGACTTGAAAGCTGTTACAGGAGCTTGCCTGGCCACATTGGCATCGGATGTGAAGTTCGTGTGTGCTGTGCGTTCTTAAGCATGATAATAAATAGTCTCTACACGACAGACATTCGTACTCATCACTGGCACATTGCCGAAGCTGACCACTTTTGCAAGCTCTGCTCCGAGTGTTGCATACGCTTCACTGTTTCCAAAACTCTGGTGATCGGTTACATCCTCCCAATCTATAGGTGAGTTAGTACGGACACTTGATTGTTTCATTGAGAGAAGTGCCCAGGAGCACTCTGGGTGCCCCCTCTTACCAATGAACACCACCAACTTCGTTGCATCTTCGTCTTTCAAACCCTGTCCGAGTTAGCTGACCCGGTAGTCTTGGGTCGGAAGTCATGTCACCCAGAAATGTTGAATGAATCCCTTTTGTTGCTTTAGAATATTGAAGCTAGCTTCGAGGTGCACAGTTGACGGGGAGTCGGGGCTAAGCAGGTCGGTGTCACGAAGCAGATCAAAGATGGCAATTTCTGTAACAACCGGCATGATACAGGCTTGCTTCTTTCTTGAACAACACTTTGTCAACTTCGTTGGCTATGGCAGAATCACGAAGATACAGGGAAGCGTTCGTGAAAGTTCTCTTCGTAGAAACATACGATCCGATATGACCAAGAGATAAGATGCGGTTAGGCGAGATGCATACCAAATCAAGAATTTCGCAGCCATGATCCACCCTCTCTTGGGGGTCTTGCATCAGCACATGCAGATATCCCATGGTGGACCATCATGTCGTACTGCTTTCAATGAATTGCCTAGAAGTCCACCATGGAATACCTGCACGTGCTGACGCCCTGAACTTGGGAGCTGAGTCAGACAGATCAGGTCCCAAGCCCCGGTATTTCTGAATAGTGGTCCGATGAGTCTCTGATATTTGTTTTTCATATTAGGACGGAGTGCATGGCTCCAACTTTAAGAAGGAGCTTCTACTTATCGAGCAGTCATTTGCATACTGAGATATTTGTAATCTGTAGTGCTGACTTCCTTAAGTTGATCTAATTTCTTGGTAGGTACTGGCGGCACGGCAGGGAAGTGATTTTGAAGGTTAGGTACTTCCCTGGGTACCTACGAGTGAAAGCCAACGCCTGTGGAAGCATCTTGGTGGCATCTCGGGTCCATGTACTCTAAACATTTAGTCAGCTGGCCCGCCCGTCGACCCTGCAATGCACGTGCTTTTAACTATCTGCGAACTAACTATTCTCGTCGATATCAGGCATCATTACATTCTCCGAGTGTCGTCCCCTTCTCTTCATCTCGTTGCCCTCTCCATGGTCCCGTCTTGCTCAAATTTCCTCGCCGAGTCATCGCGCATTCCCGCATCATAGGAACGCGCTTTGACGCTGTCGATAGAAATACCACTCACCCGGTGGATGAGATACCAGAATCAGACAACCCATTCCGACATTAACCGAGTTCTTTTTCAGCCACAACCCCTCCAAGCTATCAGTAATACTTTCCAGGCACACAGAAGAACTAGCCCAGGCTGCTTCCTAGTACATCACAGGCATGAGCAGCCAATACGCCCCAGAAGATGATGCGATTAGCACGACGTCGGGTGAGAAGCCAAAAAGTGCTTCTCAGCCCCGGGTTCGTCGGAGGAATCGCATGATCACGTCGTGCCTGGAATGTCGACGTCGAAAATTGAAATGCGACAAACTCCATCCATGCACAAATTGCAGTAAATTCTCACGGGATTGTCTCTTCCTGGCTCCCGCTCTGGATTCGGTTTCTCAGCAGCGCTTGAACGAGATCAAGGAAAAGATGGGCTCTTTAGAAAGAGTCCTCGAGGAGGATGTCGCACGCCGAGAGGGAAAACCTGGCAGATCTCAACCTTCTGCGTCCGATCGAAGGAGCTCTGCTGATCTTCCTGGTGGCGAGATCAGCAGCTCTGATAATGAAGCTGGCGTTCCTGATGATGAAAAAGGGCTCGAGCCGACCCCTTTGGCAGTCATCGATGCTGCTTACGAAGATGACACAAATGATGATGTCCTTGATCTGGGAATCAAAATAGGGAAAATGCGGTAAGTCTATGCAATAGGTTGGTCAATGTTCTCCATACTCATCATTGATTCACAGCCTAACTGAACGACTTGGTGGGTTTTTCCGCCCAAGAATAAATGAAGAGGTAATTTCACCGGTCCCTATCCAGACATACTTTTAAGAGTTCTGACATATCCAGCTTGGTGTTCAGCTTTCAGGATCAGCGGCTATTCAGCGCACAATGGACGAAAAGCGACGTCCTGATCCCCAACTCCCTGATAGTAGCCAGGATTTTCTAGCACCAGGCTCCTCCTACATCGCGCCTGGTTCTGGATTCATATTCGGCGACGTGGGGAGTAAACGCTCCCTCATCAACTTCCTTCCAGCCAAAGCCGCTGCGGATGCCCTGGTTCGCAATTACCACGAAAATGTTCATTTCATTGCTCGTGTGGTCCATTGGCCAAGCTTCCAATTGCATTACGAGAATTTCTGGACAAGTGTGCTCGCTGGCTTGGAGCCACCAGCGTGGCAGCAATCTATTGTTCTCTCAATACTTTTTGCGGCAGTCGCCAGCATGAGTGAAGTGGACATCAGCGGAATCTTCGCAAGGCCAAAGAGCACCATCCTTGGCAATTTTCAGACTGGCACGGAAGTCGCACTCAGTAAGGCCCAATTCCTCCGCGCTACCAAACTCGAGACGCTACAGGCTCTGGTTATCTATCTCATTCCCATGTGCCGAGATCAACTCTCACGTGCTCACTCAGTCCTGGTGGGCATGGCTATACGCCTCGCCGAGTGCATGGGTCTACATCGTGATCCTGATGACATATACGGTCTGACCGCGATAGAGTGCCATGTACGTCGTATAATATGGTTTCAACTGTGCTTTCTCGATTTCCGCACGTGCGAAGGACAGGGACCTCGACCAGGTATCAAGAGAGAAGACTATGACACACGATTTCCTCTGAACATTGATGATAGTGATCTTTTCGGAATCAAACCAAAGGAAGCGAAGGACAAGTTTACCGATATGACCGTCTCAAGAATACGATTTGAATGCACCGAGATGCAGAGAGTTATATGGCAGGATCGAATTCGCATTGAGAGAAAGAAAATCTCAATGACTCATGTTCTGTCTAAGGTCGAATCATTCCGAAAAGCCATGGAGGCCAAATATACACCAATATTCGATGTTGCTGTGCCTATTCAGAAATATGCCAAGCTGGTTATGACATTAATGATTCAGAGGATGTATGTCATGATTCTACACAGATATGTCAACAACGCAGCCAATCGTGTTCCAGAACGACTCAGCAATCTTACGGTCTCCAGCGGTCTCCAATCAGTGGAAGCTGCAATTGCTATGGAGTCTTTGCCAGAATTATCCAAGTGGAGCTGGTATGGTGGAGCATATCAGCAGTGGCACATAGCCTTTCTCCTCCTCACATTGATCGACCGTGCATCAGAGACAGGGTTTGACGAAAGAATCTGGAAGGTCATCGACTATGTTTTTGAGCCCGACCAATCCTGGTCAGCAACGACGAAAGCTCGGACGATAGTCACGGCAATTCGGGATAGAACAACGGTTTATCGAGACCTCAGAAGGATACGTGTTCCAGCAAGCATGAAGCTTGGCTTGGACGCACATGCTGTACGTTGGGATCGAAGCCAGGACGAAAATCCGCTCACTGGTGCTGGAAGTACTCAAGCCGCTCTTAATGCGCTGCAACCACAGACAGGCACAGGTGATGCACAAACAGGCCCAGGTGCTGGAGCATACGCCTCGGATCACTCATGGAGCTTCGACTCCCCTGCCACACTTTACTTATCATCACGATATCTGCAGTCCAAGGAAACGGAAAGTTGGAATCAAGCTTCGCAACCAGTGCGATCATCACCATTTCTATCCGGACAAAGCATACATCAAACACAACCATCACCAACATTACACAATCAGCAGCAACAGCAGACGTCTCCAAGATCAGAAAATCAATCTTCACCAGGCCAGCAAGCCGACTTTCACAGTCCTAGTGATTCTGGGACAAACGAGTCATGGCCTCCGCTGATATCATCCGATCAACTTCAGTGGAGGACAGCATTAGGTCAAGGCACCACCTCTGGCACCGGTCCTGGAGCCATAAATGCGACACAGGCTCTCCCTGGGGTGCCCCATCAAAGACAAGGATCGGACAACGGTCAATCGTTTTTCAACTCAGGATTCCCCAGCGACCAGGTCAATATTCCACAATTCCCAGCATCGGTACCAAGAGGTGACTCATTGATGATGGACATTAATTGGGTAAGTCTGCTCCTAGATGACTGTAAGAAGTATTGCCAGATAGCTAACTCAGTTTCTAGGCGGAATGGGACCAGTTATTTCCCCAAGACTCAAATCCCAGTCTTTTAGATGCCACAGCTGGGTATGGCATGTCCTCAGGCTACAAGAACTCCATGCACCAAGGCTTGATATAAATCCTATAGCGCTCCTTATTTACTTTCATCCCCCAATGAGGAAAAAAGATTCAAACAAAAAGGAGACATACTTTCAGAGAAAGGAATGTTGAGATCGGATGAGTGAGCGCTTGCAATGATGATTCAGCCTGCATAAATCCCGTTCCTGGTTGATGTGTCGATCTGGACCTTGCACTTTAGTGCACCGTGCCGATCTTAGCGCCGTTAGTTTCCTCCCTAATACCAAATGGTACTACAGCCTCGAAGCAGGACGCGCAAGAAAACCCGAACTACCGAGTACTATCTCCACTAGTACCCCACTAACTTTCAATGATGTCACTTACCACCTACAAGGTCCTTCGTGCGCAATCTCAAACGGAACGTCCGGCTATCAAAGCTCGCAAAACGCCAGAATGCGATCATTTCCTTTCAACTTTCGCACTTATCGCTGTGCCACATGCCGGACCACACAGCTGCCAGTTGTTTATTCAACTTCCCTGCTTGCCGTTTTCCGCGTCCATCGCTCGTCACCCGCCCACCAGTGACCGCACTATTCAACCAAGCTTCCCGGTGAAGCTCCAGATCTGCAATGCTTTCCACTTTTGAGCACGGATTTGGCGGCATGCCGGGCACCATTGTTGAGCCATATCGATTAATCTGAACCCTGGGTCTGTGTTGTTTATATTCCTGCTTTACTCGTGCATCCCTCCACTACTCTTCTCTCCTCTACTTTGAGTGCCATTGATATTTTATCTCAGCTGCGTGAGGAAGTCATTGTGGGAGCTTCTTCTTAAACCCGTGCCTCGATTCACCTGTGTCCAGCTGCGCCTCAACTTCTTGTTCTGTTACTTGCAGTGTTCAAAGCCACCTAACCCGTGATTGATACCTACTCCTCGCTTGAGCCACCGTTGTGTAATTTTCGCCAGCAAGGCAAAGAGAATCACACCACCATGGCAGCTACATCGTCTACGACACTAAAACCTCCATCGGGAGCGACATTAAAAGCATCGTATCCATTTGGGAAGATTGAGCCTAACTCGGTAGGTATACGTTCCCTAGCATTCACTAAAGCAGCCTTTTCAGAGCATACCAACCAAAATAAAACCCCAGAAAATCAGCAAAGAGTATTTCACTAACCATATTGAACATCACAGACCAAATACTTCGCCTCATGCATGCTGGGCGGGATCGTGGCATGCGGACCCACCCACACATTAGTGACACCACTGGATCTCGTCAAGACAAGACGGCAAGTCGACCCAAAGCTCTACACGGGCAACTTCTCGGCATGGCGATCGATATTCGCGAAAGAAGGAGTTCGAGGCGTCTTCTTCGGCTGGTCGCCCACGCTGGTCGGGTACAGCTTCCAGGGGATGGGCAAGTATGGGTTCTACGAGGTGTTCAAACACATCTACGGCGACAATCTGTTCCCCAACGCGAACCGCACGCTGGTGTTCCTGGGCGCCAGCGCCAGCGCGGAATTCATTGCAGACATCTTCCTGTGCCCGTTCGAGGCCATCAAAGTGCGCATGCAGACCACCCTTCCACCGTACGCGAGCACACTCCGTGAAGGGTGGTCGAAGGTCGTCGAGAAGGAAGGCATCGCGGGCCTGTACAAGGGCATCACGCCGCTGTGGGGCCGCCAGATCCCGTACACCATGTGCAAGTTCGCGACGTTCGAAGAAACCGTCCGCCTGATCTACAAGCAGCTCGGCAAGCCCAAGGAGAGCTACAACAAGCTGCAGCAGACGGGCGTGAGTTTCCTGGGCGGCTACATCGCGGGTATCGCATGCGCCGTGGTCTCACATCCCGCAGACGTCATGGTCAGCAAGCTCAACTCGGACCGCAAGCCAGGCGAGTCGGCCGGTAAAGCGATGACGAGGATCTACGGCAACATCGGGTTCACGGGCCTGTGGAACGGTCTGCCAACTAGGATCGTCATGATTGGAACCCTCACCGCGTTCCAGTGGCTCATCTACGATTCCTTCAAGGTCTGGCTCGGCTTGCCCACCACCGGTGGCCATTAAGTCAATGACTACGGACAGTACATCCCCACACGCATTGAAGCTTGCCGAATGCAATTTGTGTGTCTGTAAGACGACAAACGGGAAGAGGTATGTCCGTTCAGGAACGTGTTGAACGGCAGCGGGAGAGGAGCGAGAGAGCCAAAGCCTTACTTCCGGAAGCAACACGACTCTCCACATCCGCTTTGCTTCCAACCTGCCGCATCCTCCCACCACCCTGGTCCAGTCGACAGAGGACAGACAGACAGTAGCAGGATCGAAAAAGTGTGTCGTCCAAAACCCCAAGCCACAGACCAGACATACGCCACGCCGCCCCAACACACCGCGCGGTGCATTTAATTCGCTCAGCCTGCTTGTGTCTCCCCTTGCCGCCCATTCCTCCAGCCAGCGGAGATTTCAAAGATCAGGGGGTCTCGCAACTGAACCCGCTCTCACAGTGGCATTTTCGTGCTCTATGCTCTCGACGACGAAAGCAACGCGAGGAAGCAATTCCAAACAGAACAGTTCATATGAGGACCGGTGCCTGCCATGAAATGAACTTACATGAAAAGGGCCCCCTCACCCTTCTACTAGGATCCAGGAAAAAGGGGCCTTTTGATTGACGAGTATACGATTGTTTGGGAAGATCCTTTCATCTGGATGGAACTTTTAAGGTAAAAAAATCAGACTCCAGTAGAAATGCTGTCTGGGGTTGGAATTATTTAGAGCCTTGTTTGTGGTGGAAACGGCGAACTCGGCAGACTCATATATAGAGAGATATATATATGTCATACTGATAAAATAAATCTCTGAAATGAACCCAAACAAATATGGAACAAAGTACTCACTCGTGTGAACCAATGAACCACCTTCGCTCGGATAGGTGGTTCGCAGAGTTAGATATCTCTGCCCCCTATCGACCCCTACAGCCAGCCAACCACGGCACTGAACTGTCTGTGGTCTATCAACGAGCAGCGAGCTGAGGGAATACAGCGTGAAGTATTCGGATGTCGACTCGTTAAGAGACAGGGGGTTATCACTCGAAGTCAATCGATGCACGAACTGAACCAGAGATAATATAATTCATTCATTGACTTGACTACTTAATTGAGTCAGCGGACCGGTTGAGGTCCTTGATCAGCAATCCATTCCATCATGCCTTATCGTATAACCATGTGCACCACTCAAGCGATGGAGATAAGCAGTTTTCTTCGTTTTATCTCCAATCGCTTGGCTTTTAGGCTACTCATGGTCACTGCGTGACGTGGTGGTGGTTTTTCTCATCCAGTATCGTCACCCATCACCAATTTTGCATTACAGCCCGAGTTCGGCGCTAGCATTCCATGAGTCCATATTCATTCAATATCATATACTCCTTGCTCCTGCAACGACCAAGATGGGACGCGTCCTTCATTTTGGACAATGGACATTGGATATAAAGCGGAAGGAAAAAGTAGAGCGGCGTGTGCTTGCTTCGACCGGAATGCTATGCATCATTATAACAAAAAACAGGCATCCTTTTCGTTGAAGCCCAAAGTCCTGAAGCTTGCTCTGTGGTCAAAAAATCGTGTGGGAAGTTCACATAAAACTCGTGCTGTGCTATGCTGATTCGACGAAAAGTTTGTTCGACATCCAATATGCCTTGCTTAATGATGATTCTGGGTGATTCTGCTTCCGAATGTTTGGGAAACCTTATTCCGTTCTCGAGCTGCTGGCTTCATAATCTCTATTGCATGAAAACCCCCGTCGAATCATGATTTCGAGCCTCCTTGGGCCGCGTACTCTGGCTTCTTCTTTCAGAACACCAACGGGATCAAATCTGATTAGAGTCGGTGCTCTCATCTGCATTATACGTCACTCATCGCGGCATCTCCATCACCAATGTGAAGATCTGTTGGCACATGGCGCAATTCGTCGATTTCGTGAGGCGGTAATTGCTCCGGTAGGCTCAGAGGACTCTCCGATCGTCGATCTAAGTGTTCATCTGGTGGTGAAAATGACCATACCTGTAACGATGGTTAGCGAGAATATTGTACAAATTGAACGAAGCGTCACTCACCTCCATCACCGTCCGATTTGACCGGCTGGCCATGATGACTGCTTTTTCTTCTTCGAAAGCGACTCTCCAAACAGCTTCTGCAGGCTGGCTTAGTTCTCGCACAAGTTGGCCGGTTTCAACGCTCCAAATCTTGACACGCCCATCGCTGCCGCCGCTGACGATTCGATTCTCATCAAACTGCAGACTCGTAACACTATTATCATGAGCTGCTAGCCGGTGAATGGGTGTATTGCTCTGCAATGACCATACACGAACGGAGCCATCTGAACCACCTGTGACCAAGGTATCTCCGCGCATTTGAAGTTGACCGACAAGAGAGGTGTGCCCTTGTAGGATGGCAGTGCACATGCCTGACTTGGGATCCCAAATTCTCACACTGGTATCCAAACTCCCGGTAGCAATTCTTAGACCATCAAAGGCAATAGCATAGATCTGACTGAAATGACCAGTCAGTGTTCGAAGACAGCGGCCCTCGGAGATGCTCCAAATTCGAGCTGTGGTATCGTAACTTCCAGATACAACCAGGTCACCATGAATCGCCAAACAACGAACGCTGGCTTGATGACCAACAAGGACGTTCTTACACATTCCTGTTGGTAGGTCCCAAATTCGAAGAGTTGTGTCTCGAGATCCCGATATTGCGGTGTTGGCATCAGACATTTTGAGACATCGAACAGTGGACGTATGACCCCTCAAAGTGTGGAGGCTTCTGCCTGATGCCATGTCCCACACTCTGACATCCCTATCACAACCACCGCTTACAAGGATATCATCCCATGGTACCATTGCCCAAACACCCATAACGTGACCTTTCAAAGTCTTCTGATGTTCTCCGACCGTGTTGAAAACATGGATCTTAGCATTATCCATTGCCACGACAATGTACTTGTCTGTCAGGTGAAGACTGGTGACAACTCCTTGATCTGGAGTGATGTGCTTAACTATGCTTTCGCCACCCTTTCTCCATGCGGCTTCAATCATATATTTATGTCTGAAATGGGAATAGTGAGAGTGTGATTGCCGTTTTCGGGCTCGAGGGCTCGAGGATAGTTGTTCACTTCGGGACAAGGATAAGTTTGGAGCACTGTTGGAAGGCCCAACGACAGAACCGTCCAGGCTTCGTTTGGAGGAAGAGCCGTAGGGATAGGGTCCTTGAGCGGCTGGAGGGAGGTACAGGGATTCGATATCTTCGCTCGAAGCATTCGAGGATCTCCGCCAAGCGTGTTTGTCGCACATTATCTTCCAAATCATATCGTCATTGACCAGCTTATGCCAGCGGTGTGAAACTTGAGAAGCATGAGCTAGACTGAGAGGGTCATCAACATAAGATAAAACCTGGTGTTCATATTAGCCACAGGAGTCGGAGCGAGGAATGGCACTAAACTCACTCTTAAGCACAGTTCATCAGGTAGGTGCTCAAATGGATCCTTCTTCAGCCTGGGAGAGACAAAGTGATGGACGAAACTCAACAATTGACTGTCGCACATATTAAGCAGTTCGGCTAGATAGCGCTCTCTTTCCGCACCATTGAGATTTGAGAAATGACCTCTAGCATCTCTCAAGAATTGATCCTCGTTCTCACCAGCACAACTCCAACTGGGGGCCCTTTGGTATGGAGTGGGAGAGGGTGCCGGAGTGGGAGGAGAGGCAGGGGCGGATGGTAGAATGCTCAATGGCATGCCAGCCTTGTTGGAAGTAGAGAGGCGCTTGGGGCGCTGTTGTGAGACATTATGGCGAGTTCTCGATGAACGAAGAGGATCTATGGGAACGGCGCGAGGAGCAGAGAATGTGTAATCGTTCTCCGGATCACTGAGTGCCGATGTGGTATGGTAAGATCGATTCGCCAGCTGATTGGGGTCGATTGACACAGCTCTCGATGGCCTGGGAGAAAGTGGCCTGTCAGAAGGCATAGCCGGAGTTATATCGTCCAAATCCATGATTCACAATGTGAGAGGTGGGTGCGAAGATGGTTTCGGTGTTTCGCGGGTGGTAATGTTTCAAGGCGCGAACAATGGTATCCCAAGAATGCAACGAGTGGAATTGTATACCCTCCCGAATCTTGACTATCAAGAACGGGTAAGAATGGATGGCATTGTATCAGACCCAAGGGGTTGGATAACAAGTCGAGGCTCAACGGAGTGTAGTTCTTGCTCTGGGCAGAAGCGCCTATAACATGCGTAGGATGGAAAGGACGACTTGGAGAAGTCGGGGATTGAATTCGAAACGACAGCGATGTTGGACCGAGGGCTCTGATGACCGTATACTCCGATTGTGAGTTGATATCGAACCAGTCTTGAAGGGCAATGAAGCGAGAGAAGTGAGGTATGAGAGCAGTGATCGTGGTGATGGTGAAGTATATTATCGGTGGTGGTCGGGGGTGGTGGCAAGTTGAGTGGCAGTCCGATTCATCAGCAGAATCCGGTTTATTGGCCTGGTACAAGTGAATGATCAATGTATTGAACAGAGTACAGAGGTAGTGGCAGTAATAGTGGCAGCAGTAGTGGTGGTAGTTGGAAGTAAAAGCTTTGTAAGAGTGGGAGGAGATGGCGCGGTGCCAGTGCAGTGCCAGTGGGTACTACTCGTAGGTTAGGTAGTTAGCTGCCCGTGTCACAATGTCACCGTAGTTCAAGTTGGGTTGACGGTTACTCCTGCTTCTAGGGATAACGAGCAGTAGCGATTAGGTCCATTCCAATGGCTCAAACTCACTGACAGCTTGTGGATCAGTTCTCGGGCATTATCAGGTATGAACTGTCACCTTGGAGTGGCTGGTTTGAAAGGCCTGGGAGTGGGCGGGCTGGCAGATCCAGTGACATTTAGGGACTGAGGGGCCGTGCATGTTTTAGCTAAGCCAAGGCGCGCTCGGGGGCCTTCCGGGGGACACTTTGGGCTCCCAGGCATATCTTGTCCTGCCAGTTGGGCACTCGGGTGCCTGAGCGTCGTCGAGAGAATTCAAATCCATGTTACGAGGTACTGCACGAGATGTTTAGTTGACTCGTTAGGTACGGTAACAACCCAGCTAGCATCTGAGAGTGGTCCCTTGTCCCTTGTTTAGCGAACAACTCGGGCCTCAAATCTCCATCTCAGGCCTAGGATCTGCTGCCAAAACCCCACGTTCATCTTGACCGCCATAACGTGCCTCTCATCTGGCCGAATCATCTTCAAGGTCTAGATTCATCTTATATGCATCTCAACTGATTCAATGCATCTGGATCTGTACTGTACAATCTTTTCAGGTCTCTCCACTCAAATTCTGCGACTCCCCACAATTTCTTTAGTGGTTTAAACATACATGCTCCCTCGGTCAATGGGTTTGCTCTCTGACCTGACAGGTGCTGTTGTACAAGCGAGCAGTAAACGAGCCCAACGACAATGATACTAATCCCCTTCCATTCGACGTTTTGAGGCCTCTGCTTCGTCCAGTGTGCTGCATCTCATGAATCGCAAGATAAAGGATTGGCCTCCTCGGTCTCGATTGTCAAATGAATCCAGCTCGGGGTGAAAAAGTTGTCAACAATAATCCAGAGCTAGCGTTCCATACTGAGACCGTGCCACGATCATGTAGACATGTCGACTCCGTCAACATGGCGTCACTCGCCATGTTTTGTTCCATAATATCAACCCATGGTGAAACAAGAAAACAATGCAGAAATCAATCCCCCGCTCAATGTGCATGACCAACTTGCAGAAATATAGGTAAGATCATGCCGAAACATGCCGCCGCCAAATCTTTCCACGATGCCTTTTGCTGTTCGATTTGTGCGTTGCCATCTCGCCCCTCACCGTAGCCGTTCGCCTGCCCATTCATCGTGGTCTGATGATGAGAAGTCGACGCTTCTTGCATTGAATGCATGGCCACATAGAGAAACGTGCCTGCCGAGAAAAGCAGCAGCATGCCTGTCCACCATCTGGTGGTTTCCGGGCTTCGAGTGCCAGATCCTCCACCCAATATATTTGCAAGCAGCCAAGTGACTATCGCACCCGTAGGCGCTGCCAGACTGAACAGCACTAGATGGCCCCGTGCCACCCGCTTGGAGAGGCCTTGCTTTACCAAAACAGAAGTCAGGCCGAAAGCAGCTGGCGCCTTATGAAGCATGATTGCGAAAAATATCACAAAGCTCAAGCCTGAATTTGTAGCTGTTGATGATGCACCAAGAGCGATCCCATCAGCTGCCGCATGTATGACCAAGCCGATTGTCGTTGCAAAGCTGCGGTTTTGCACGTTTGAGCCTTCAGATGACTCGAGGAACGACTCGGCTTCGTCGTCTCGGTCCAACGAAGTCGTCAGATTAAACCTGCGCCCAAGGTTGTTGAGGGCAATGTGGTGTGTCCTCGTCTTGGGTTTTGGGGGTTGTGTGTATTGGGGCACCTTATCCACCAGGTACATCAGCATGAAGCCAGTCAGCAATGCGATCCCGATCCATGCGTGTTCGGATTCATTGTGTTTCTCCCCCTCTTTGCTATTGCTGTTAACGTTGCCTGTGTCCATGATACCAACAACACCTGGATTCGTAGGGGTTCGGGGAGGGTCGTCTATTGTTGCGGGAATGACGGGGCCAGGGACGTTAAAAGCGTTGGCACTGTCACCCGCGCTGCGAGGAGCAAGAACCCGAGTAGAGGGATAGAGATTTTCGTTCATCCAGTGAACATCGACACCCCGAGCGTGCATGCGCCGTTGATGGGACGTATGCGCGCCATGACCAACTTCAGAAGCGCTGTAAAGGGTTTCCACTCCCTCTGGGATGATGACTACCAGGGAGGTCCCAACGAGGACACCCATGCCGATCGTAGAAATCAGTCTCAATCGAGACTGCGATAATTTTAGGGACAAAGGTAATATTCCGGCGAGAAAAGAGGCCAAGGCCATCACTATGCTCAGCATGAGCAGCGTAAAAAGGCCGTCCATGATTGCGGAATTTGTGGGCGCAATTGGAAGAGTGGTTCTGGAAAAACGTACAACCAGATTAAGGAGCGTAATGCAGGACTAGGAAACAGACTACTCGAGACATGCTGCGTTTACAGACATGGAAGAATAGATTTGAGAGGGAATGTAAACGGAAGTGGGAGTAGACGTGGACCTGTGGCTGTCAAGGCTCCTGAGGTCAAGCGGGTGAAGTTGGCCCTCCCTCATCCCTTTCTGACAATGACAGCATTTTGCTGGAGCTTTCATCCTGAAGTCCCCACAAAAGGAAACCCGTTAACATGTGAGATCCATCGCAACCTGGATAGTTTCAGTTTCTGTAGTTGAATATGTTGAATATGTATGATTCTGAAATGTATATACAATCATTTAATATTGAGTATCTACGTCCAAGGGATCAAGTCGTATCCCTCCATAGAATAGGTTCAAAGTTTCCCGACCACCACTGAAGCCGTCCACGAAAAATATGTTCATAGCAATTCAATCCCAAAATCCTCTCTCGTTCAACTCATTCATTTCACGTGTCTCATTATATGGACTTCAATAAAGCCTTGATAAGCTGGGCATTTGCCGCCAGGTATGGAACCATGTGAAGATTGTTCCCGCTTCGATTACCAGGTCTGGGGAAATTTGGGAGCGCTGGCTGTAAGTCTGGAGTCGCATGCGGCTGATCTGAGTCGCATAATCTCATTCAGGCCCAATACGTTCAATATCCGACCGGGGCGTTTTTGGATGGTGGCCCTGAGCGGGCCCCAAAAACTTGCCTAATTCTGGCTCGGGGATTTTTGACACATTCTGTATACTGCAGTCAAGGTTCGATTATAGTCGATCGAGTTAAATCGCTCATTGTCGATTATCGTCTGCAAATGGGTCCTGAAATGTCACTTTGTTTTGGTTCTGTGATTGTCATGGGACCCATCGTGAATATGCTTTTTCTGATGATGCTGGTGAACTCGTAAGCTGCCGACTCAAGACTGGTACGCTTGTAGGACCGACGTCTTCATTCGTCACTTGAAGGTGCAGCCAAAGTTCTGGTCGACTACCACGTCGTTGCATCTGTTCGGATTTGCGCCTTCTGATCAACTTGGTGGAGCCATAGATGGTTGGCGCATTAGCGACAAAACATGAGACGAGCATTTGCACGGATGCCCACAGGCTTCGTGTAGGTTGATATGACGATTCTGCGTAGACGTACGCAAGTCGAATGCAAGTAATGATAATGCAGAAGAAGCCCAGTGTGAACAGTGTCCCGATCCTCAGCCTCTCCGCAACTGTCCGGTGTTGGACAAGTAAGAGCGGCACGGAAATTGCCAAAAGATGTAGGTCGATGACGATATTGGCTATGGCTTGGAGAAGTAGCTGGATGTAGGCTTTGATGCAATGGCCCGGGCTAGGGTCGACTTGCCAGTATAACTTGAATGGGTGACATTCTAAGAAGGTTGAGAGTACCACAGCAACGTAAGTGGTTGGGATGACGATCCAGCAGGTACGAATCAATATGGTGGTCCATCGAGCGCGAACTTGGAATATGTGTGAATAAAAGAGCAAAAGCAAGCAGTTCTGTAACCAGTAGAAAGTGGTGATCAGCAATCTGGCGATCAATGAGAGAATGCTTCCTATCTTGAGCTTTCTCAAGTCTTCAGTGTCGAACTGATGGACCTTTCCGAACAAGGCATCATTTACAGTGCCGTAGCTCAGGACATATTGATTGACTCCAATTCGAGCGCTGGTTACGACAATGGCGGCAACACAAATGATTGTACTGAGGTCGAATCGGCCTTGTTTGGTCCTTGCTGCAATGATGCGTACCAGAAGAATGATAATTGACAGGCCAGCACAGACAAAACCGGTCAATAGAGCGTCATGAGAAGTGGTAACCATGGCGGGCTTTTCATTCCCCAGCCCATATACCGGTCAAAATAAATGGCCGAGACGTTAATTCGTGGAACGATGCCGTTGAGTTGAAGACTGGGAATAGTGTTGGTTCATGTCTGGAGTGTGTTTTATTGCATTGTGATGTTGAGCGTTTGGCAAGTGACGAAGTCATGGAAGAGACGGGGTGGGGAGGTTGGGGTTAATCAAGTGTGGTCGAGACTCAAGTCTCATACTCTGTGTGTGTGGATGAGCCGAGGATTGGAATTGTGGATGGACGGGTTAACCCAAAGAGAGACCGTGAGGACACCCAAAGAAAACCCGTGGCGCACCCGGAGATGGTGGTGGATTGCTGTCAAAGGTGATGATCAAGGCTTGGTTCCGGGGGGTTTTCAACCGTTAACTCGCTCCGTTGGCAGGGATCGAGAAACTATCGCAAATCTTGGGGCGGTTTCTAACGGGCATGAACGGGTTGGAGAACTTATTGGCCTTATCCTGCTGGTGGCGCTTTCCCTCCAAAGAATTCTCCCGCCCGTGGCTGCTTGCAACTTGGTCGTGAATAAGCTCCCGGAACTGTAGAAACTCTTGTGGTCGGACCCTCCAGATGGTCTTCCAACGCTGGCACACTTCTCACGAAACACGGCCGGGGTCAACCGAAGTGAACGATACGCGATACAACGGTTCACAGCTTCGTCGCACGTCATATATGAAGGCAACCCTGGGACGACATTCATATATCATTTGTGTGACTGTAGTATTCGACCACTCCTTGTTCTTGACATGGACATGAAGGGTTGGAGATTAGTTGCTGGTCTTGCCCGAGCCTAGGATAAGTCTTGCGAGGATTTTTAGTCAAACTGGTCAGGGGATTGAAGCCTCAACTGTACGCGAAACAAGGCCCGTTATGCTAAAGTCCTCAAAACTACCAACTAATAGATCACCCTTCAGCCACCAAGGTCTCGATTCATCTATCCCTTTATCAAGGTCAATAGTAGTAAACACTATGCAAGTCTCATTGAGCCACATCGAGGAGACAAGAACAAATTCCTGTGACGGTAAAGATCTCCCATCCGAAATTCCATCCTGTTTAGAGTACGGAGTACGAGTACCACAGGTGGACAATCGCTTATCCAATGTTCTCCGGTCCAGTATGATCAGGAAGGGGCTTTTGGTCAAACAAATAGGGGCGAGAAATGAAACTGATACCCGTACCTGCTGCACGATTATTAACGAATACGAGATGGAAACAACCGGCTGGTAGAAGAGCTGTGCTTCACGGGGCCTTTGATTGATAATGTTGCATGTGCCTCCTGCTTTGTCCATCTGATATGTACGCAGAAACACTCAGCTTCCAAGGTGTAAGCAGGAGAGAGAAGTGTCACGAACAGCATCAAGAATGGCAACACCAGTCCACATCCTGTGGTGTCGTCTTATTCTGTCATACAGTCCGAGTCCGAGTCTGAACAACGACAGGAGCTGAGGAGCTTCGCCTGCCTTTTCCAGTTCAGTGCACTGGAGGCCTGACCTAGAGCGAAAAAAGAAGACAAGTTCGCTTCTTCATCCTGCCGAGGGGATCTGATTAATCCTGGTCAGTTCTATGATTAGGTACCTAGGTAGTCTCCCTCGCCAAAGGTGCCATCTCCAAGGCTGAACTTCGCTATCAAAATTCGTCACCTGATCTTTAGTCCGGATTCCAAGGCGGTGGGTAATTCTTGGCAGATCGGCCTCGAACTGCCAGCGCCCGCGCATCGATCGCGTCCACCTCGCGCGTAAAGTGCCTTGGACCGCGACGACATTGGACTTTGGATTTAACACACCTGGATCAAGACCAATTAATCCTTAGACTAACCCTCACTTTACCTTGTCCTCTCTGGGATCTTTCGATTCTCCTAACTCTCCGACTCAAGTGAGCATGAACTGAAATTCAACTAGAACAGATCACTCTACTGTGCTACAATGGCTGCCGCCTCAGATGAATGTCCGTGGCTCTTTGCACTGCGCTGAGATCTGGAAGATCAATACTGACTACTCACAGGGTCTGTCAATGCCAACGAAGCCGTCCATGTCTCATTGGTTCAACCTGGCCCCGATGGCCTTCAGACGCGCCATGATTTCCATCCCGAGTTTACCTATCCCATTGTGGGAGAGGCAGAACAGATTTTCGGCTACAAAGATCTAAACCTCAAACTTCAGTTTGCTGCACACGACCTTCGCCCACATGTTGATATCTCGTATGCGAAGAAGTTTCCTGCAGTGGGCACCACGACTGCGCTCGATCTGAACAAGACACTGAAACCTTTCCTGCCTCCCATCGCATTCGAGGCCAACTTCGACACTGAGCTCCTGCAAGATATCAAGGCCAAAGATTGGAAACCACCCGGTTCGCAAATCAAGACTTACAAGAGAGGATCGGAGGTTTTCGAGATATGGGCCGGTTCTCTACTCGATACACCTATGCGATCCCTCGTCGACAACATCCAAATTTTGGTTACCTTCTTTATCGAAGGAGGCCAATTCATTAACCTTGAGGATGTGGACTGGACTTTGGACCGATGGCGAGTCTACCTCGTTTATCACAAATCATCCAGTCCTCCAACTCCGAATGCTTCTCCCTATTCATTCGTGGGCTATGCGACAACTTATCGATTCTACAAATTCCACGCCTCGAAGAACCGCCCAACTACAGATGTCTTTTCCTTCCCACCCACCCAGAATATCACACCCAACAAGCTTTCATCACGCCTGCGCATATCACAATTCCTCATCACACCCCCGTACCAGACTGCAGGACATGGGTCAGCACTATACCAGTCGATATATAGTGAAGTCATGTCTGATCCAACGATAGTGGAAATGACGGTTGAAGATCCCAGTGAGGAATTTGACAAGCTTCGGGACATGAATGACTTTGATGTTTTGGAACCTCAATTCAAGGCAGCAGGGATTCAAATCAACGATTCACCCTTTGCCTCCTCAGATCGACGTCGAATCGGTCGAGTACCAACAGCAACCCTGCTTCCACAGGACACACTTCAAGAAATTCGATTGAGAAACAAAATGGCCAGCCGACAGTTTGCGCGCTTGGTTGAACTGTACCTGTTAGCTCAAATACCATACTCACGCCGTGCATCGGGTGGAGCATCGTTGACAACTTTGAAATTGAAGGGATCTCGAAATCTCAATGCAGACGACCGCAGATATTACTGGTGGCGTCTGTTGTTGAAGCAGCGGATCATGAAGAAGAACAAGGATTTGCTTCAACAGGTCGCACTTGAGGATCGAGTACCACAGATTGAGGACAGCACCCGTGGACAAGAAGACGAGTATGAAGGACTCTTGCTCACATATGCGTTGAGGAAGGAGAAACACGAGGATCGTCTGGAAAATGGAGAGTCTTCGGTGGTGCGGAAGAGGAAGGTGGTGGATTCGGATGATGATGAGTCGGACAATGCCAGTGCGGGATCTAAGAGACCGAAGAATTGACGAACATGCCGCTGTGGTCGTGATCAAGTCGAGCTGAATTCTTGAGCTTCTGCAAGTGTTGGCGACAGACATGCCCACGGGGATGCTGGATGGCGTGGGCAGCCACAGGAAGTGTTTTGAATAGTCTCAGCATAAAAGTAATGCTTCAATAGTCAGCTTCTGGGCATCGAGCCTCATGGGAGAGCAGCAGTCCATGAAATATCTCCCAAATCTGGCCTCCACAACTTAAATAATGAAGAGCTCGGTCACCGTGGTTGTTCTCATGATTCTCATACATCATCATATCATCGTCCCAACAAAGCCTGACGGTATCTGACGAACTGTCTCCGCTCATCGGCCTCCTCGTCGGCAATGACATGCTCGTCTCGTCCGATCCGAGTGCTTTCCTCCCACATCTTGTTGAGTTCCTGTTCATCATCGCCGGCCACAGCCCACACACTCTCCCGCAATCGCTTATTTCGCTCGCGGTCTTCCTCGATTCTCTGCTCGATGGCTCTCTTGTCGACTTTGGACACTCCCGAACTTGCAGCCTTCCCGGACTGACCGGCGCCGGTTCGTGGCGTCGGTCGTGCACTGGTGTCTCCAGCAGCGCCGTCCCCACCTGGTCCTGTGGTGGAAGCATCCATGGCATCGCCGTCGATTTGACTCCTCGAAACACTGGCGGACGCAGGAACCGGAGGACCCACAGCTGCACCACCGCCACTTACAGCACCAACAGTCGCAGAAGCCCTCTCAGAACCACCACCACCAGACTCCGCAGCACCCTCTTTACCCTCTTCCTCCTCATCGCCACCTAACAACCTTCCCAACTTCTCCTCCTTCTCTTTCAACCCACCCTCAATGCCGGCCACCACATCCGGCACCAAAAGCCCCTTCTCGCCCAGTCCCGCAACCACCCTCCGCACCACCTTGACATTTGCACCACTCTGCGCGACGGCATCGACAATGCGCACGATGTCGCGGCGGACCATTTCGACGTACGGCTCGTGGCCGCCCTCACGCACATTCAGGTCCGCGTGGTGTTCGAGGAAATACATGATGTTGGCACGGTTGTTCATGTTGTATCCGCGCTCCAGGTTCTCGAGGATGCAGCTGTGTAGGTCTTCGTCCATGTCGCGGTGTTTGAGTGCGAAATGCGCCGTTTTGATTGACGCCGTGGCCGACGCGGACAGGTGCGTGAGTAGGTTCGTGAAGCGCATACGCACTTCGAAGGGGTCGGCCATGGTGGTGTGGTCGGTTGTTTGGCGATAGTTGAGGCTGTTTGCCGTTTGTGTATGTTGAAGAGGTCTCTTTTGTTGTTTTGCGGGTGAGCGGCGCTATCATGGGTCACGTCCTCCTTCTAAAGGTGGCAGGCAATAGCGGGTTAAAATCGATACCCTGTGATTGAGCTGGCGGACTTGATGCCCAACTCAAGTTTCCAAGAGGCCGAGGATTGGTGTGCCTTGCATCTGACCGGCTACATAGCCAAACCCAGTCTAGCACTCATCTGCCTAATCCCATTGAAGTATAGTATCCGTGTTGACCTCGAAGGGCGGCCTTCCGTTGACCGGCTTCAGGTAAATTTTTATGGGCATCACATTCCCCCGCATATCGGCTACGAGCAATTTACAACTGGTCGCTGGCACTGACAACTCTGTGAATCTATTGCCTAGATAACTTGAATATCACAGCTCATCTCCTCTATTTCTTCCACCCATAAAAATGGCTGCAGCTCTCCGGATACCCAACGGCCTCACTGGCCTAGGCAATGACAGAGGCATGACTCTGACTGTCCTTGGATGCGGTGAGCCAGGCCACTCTCCCAATCTCACTTAGCCCACCCTGTGTTGCTATTCCTCAATAATTGCTAATCCAGCCAGGCACACTCGGCATCGCGATCCTTTCAGGCATTCTCTCATCCCTGCATGAAGCGTCCTCCATCCCCTCCCCGGCATACCCCGACTCCGGCACCGCGACACCCACGACCGAAGGCCCCCCACAAAGAACACCCACAAATTTCATTGCGTGCGTGCGACGGCCCGAATCAGCCAAACGCATCAGACTCGCCGTACAGGAATACCAACCACGGAGCGTGACCGTGCTTCAGAATGAAAACGTGCGGGGCGTCGAGGCCGCCGACGTGATCATCCTCGGCTGCAAGCCGTACATGGTCGCGGACATCTTGCTGCAGGAAGGCATGAAGGAAGCCCTCGCGGGGAAACTCCTCATCTCCATCTGCGCCGGCGTCCCCGTCGAGCAGATGGGCCGCGTGCTCTACGGAGACAACTACCCGGCCGACAACCCGGCGAACGCGTGCACGCTCGTCCGCGTCATGCCCAACACGGCGGCGCTGGTGCGTGAGTCCATGACCGTCATAGCGACAAACAATCCCCCTCTGCCCGCCGAACTCTCCGCCCTCGTCGCCTGGATCTTCACCCGCATCGGCCGCGTCGTCCACCTCCCACCCGCCATGATGGATGTATCCACGGCCCTGTGCGGTTCCGGCCCCGCGTTTCTGGCGCTGATGTTGGAGTCTCTCGCGGATGGTGCTGTCGCCATGGGCCTGCCTCGCGCAGAGGCACAGTTGATGGCCGCTCAGACGATGCGCGGCACTGCTGGTTTGGTTCAGCATGGCGAGCATCCTGCACTCGTGCGCGAGAAGGTCAGCACCCCTGGCGGTTGCACTATTGGTGGGTTGCTGGTTCTCGAGGAAGGGAGAGTCAGAGGAACGGTGGCCAGGAGCGTCAGGGAGGCTACGGTGGTGGCTGCGCAGTTGGGTAAGGGTATCAGTGGTGTTAATGGCACGAGATTTGAGAGGCAGTGATGCGTATATGTCCAGATAAGGGGTTTTGACGATTGGATTGAATGCATGACATGATCGGAAACTGCGTGGAATAGACAAAATGGTTTTGGCTCTTTCCGAGATTCCAATTAGAAAATTTCCAGGCTCAGGAGAAGTTCTCTCAGAATGACGAATATATGTTCAATTGATACATCTTGAAACTCCTTCTAGTTCTTTCCCACATGAGTTATAGTGGTTGGAGTAATAGTATACACAACTTGCACAGATTTGGATGCATTCGGGCTTGACCATGAGGACGATCCCCGGCCCGCACTCATATGCAAAACACCGATTGCTTTCTGTCAGCACCTTTTTCTTGCAGTCGTCGCTTCTGGCCCGTCCAAAGGTTGATATCGACCCACAGCAAAGGAGTTGTCGTGTGACGGATCCTTCAGGTCTTCTCGCAATCGGATGCAGAGCCACTTTAACTTGCGAAGCGTATCTACGGCGCTTTTCTCTAGTCCATGGTGACAACTGCGCCCAATGCCTTCAAGGTGGCAATGATTTTCTCAGCTTCATCCTTGGGAACACTCTCCTTTAACAACTTGGGTGCACTCTCGACGAATTTCTTGCTGTCCACCAAACTCAAACCCAACATGCTCTTGATCTCCTTAATGACCTTGGGTTTGGCGGCCGCGTCGAATGACTCGAGTTTCAGATTGAACATTGTCTTCTCTGCTGGGGCTGGAGCTGCCTCTTCCTCTTCCACTGGTGCGGGAGCTGCTGCTCCGGGGGCAGCTGCTGGGGCGGCGAATGCCATGTCGGGAATGTTCAGTCGAGACTATATTAGAATGGAAGAGTTAGTTGAGTCGCATGTCCTCGTCATCACGAGTATGGAGGGAATAGAAATGGCTATTTCTAACCTTCAAGCTTGCTACTAAGTCGGCGGTTTCCAGCAGTGTCAGCTGCGATATTTGGTCGACAATACCGGTAATCTTGGGATTGGTGGGACTAGCTGAGGCATCTGTGGATTGCCATCTTCTCGAAGGGGTCGTGAGATTGTTTCTTCGTCGGGATTGATTTGCGGAGCTTGTTGATGAAAGACGTAGGCATTGTGAGGACAGACTTCGCTTCTGCGTTCGAGCTGCTAGGTGGCAGCAACGATATGCTGCTGATGGAATTGACCCTGACATCTTTACAGAGGTAGTTAACGTGCTGCTCGACTGGAAAAGAGTAAGTTGTTGAGGCTGTCAGTGCATTGGAGAAAGGTCTTGTCGATGAACCGCGCATCCTTTCCAAAAATCGCGCCAAGGCAGGCTATGGCACGTGACCATTACCAGATCGCCGACTTCATCTCGTCCAAACAACTTGTATTAAAGCATTCAGGAAGTCCTCTCTGGACTTTCTCATCGATTATCATCACCTGTGTTGTAGCATTGCGCAATGGAGGAACTACCTGTGTTTCGCGCCGCGAAGCGCAGAAAGCACACAAAAGGGCCATCCCAAATAGTACCAGATTCCGCCACGGTTGAACCTGGATCGCCCTCGAAAAGGCAACCATCTGGTGAGAATATCACGTCGGAAGATAGTGACTCTGGCGATACCAGAGTGACGTCCCTAATCAAAGCAAGAAAGAATCTAAGACGACCGACTACTGGTGTCCACTTTTCGACGTCGAAAACACGACTTGGAGAGGACGATGACAACAATGGAGCTCTTGTCAAAACCGATCAGGCAGTTGACAGGCCAATAGATATCACACAGAGGTTTGTTGGAAGTTCGGGTCAGGTGGTCAACGTGGATCAACATATGTTCGTGCCATTACTCCCTCTGCCTTCGCCAGACAATCTCGAATTCAGCTTACTAACAAGATAAGGATTGCATTTGTAGATTCGGAAATGGCTAAACGTCGCGAGATGCAGTCGCCATCTTTGGAGAATGTGACAAAGTCTACAAATCATGAAAATCCCGAGAATGCTCAAACGTCCAACGGTATACCGATTTCTATCAGGCAAGGAACATCAACAAACCCGGGTTCTATTCAGCAGCTCTCTGAAGTAGATCTGGGCTCATCAGCTCACGAACTCAATCTAGCACGTACACAAGCGGCACTAGAACGGGCCAGACTTGGCAAAGCACCTATTGAAGAAGAGCAAGCTAAACCCCTCAAGCCTCGTAAACCACGTCTTGGCCGTGACGGGAAACCTATGAAGCCTCGGCCTCGGAAACGGAGGAATAGTGACGACATCGCACGAGATGCGCTTGTTGAGCAGGTATTGCACGAAAATCGACTCGATTTGTATGAGGCCAGTACTAGTGGTCAGGCACCAGGTGGGACGCCAGATATATCGGCCGCCGACACCGCGCAGCAGGATGAACGACTGGCCGAAGAGTTTCGTCAGAACTTCCTTGACGCGGTGGCCCAGCGACAACAGAGGAACAAAGCGGCCAGTCAGCCCAAAGTACCTGGTGCGACGACTGAGACCAAAGGTCCGAAGCTGGGAGGGAGCAGGAGTGCACGCGCCAAAATGGCACAGTATCAGCAGCAGCAACAGGGGAAGAAGTGAGATCTCAAGGTTCTGGTCTTCCCTTTCGCTTTTCGCTTCGAAGGATTGGTATACGAAAAGCGGTATGACGGATTGCTTTACATCTTATCTCAGTCAGCCAACGAACAGCTGTATATAAGGGCCTCCACCTATCGTTCTGCCTTGCATCCGTCCACCCACTGACGACTTCTATTTCTTGGGCCACAAATGCTCCGCGAAGAACTTGACGACAATCTGATAGCCACGTTCATACTCGGCCCTGACGCGTTCATCCGCCAAATCCGCTCTTGCACTCAACCAACCATGGACTTGATCCTCAAAGATCTCGACATGTTTCTTCCCCTTGTCCTCCTCCCCGGTCAACAACTTAGCGTCATAGCCCCAAATTTCCTCGGCAACCTCGTCCTTCGATGCCAACAAACACGTCGGAATCTTGATTTCCGCCGCCTCCTTCGCATCAATGAGGCCCGGATGCAACTGCACCGCCGTGGTGAACACCTGCTGGGCACCAGGTCGACTCTGTATCGCAGAGAGCATCGACGTCATCTTGCCGCCCCAGCAGTACCCCAGGAGCCCCCAGGTCTTGATATTCGGATACAGCCGTTCCGCTGCGACGAGGATGCCCGCGACTCTGGGGACATGATTGTCCGGAAGCGCGACATTGTGGAACCAGTCCATCACGGCGGCCAGCTTCTCCGGCGTGTCTGACGGATACCACGCAAGGGGGATGGCGTTGCCGTTGAAAAAGTCCGGCATGAACACGACGGTGGCGCCGCCGGCGCTGGTCAGGCCGGCGCTCACGATGTCCGCGCCTTGTTGCGTCTGCGGGAAGAAGCCGAACGCGTCGTAGATGGACAGAATGCCTGTTGTGACGTCGGCGCTTTCCGGGGGACCGGTCACGTCTGTGATTGAAACGGTGGAGGGTGAGTAGGTGGGTTGAAAGAGAACGGAGCATGTCTTGTGGTTGTACTGAGCACGTACATGTCTTGATTCCGTCCAGTTCAATATACTTCCCTTTCAATTCGTAACCGTCGCCTATCACGGGTGGGATTCTACATAGTAGATATCGTCAATAACAATTCCATTGGTGACAATAGAAGTGCTAGGAAGAGGATAAAGGTCGACTGACTTGCAACACGCTGCGTTGTATTTCGACATTGTAAATTCGTATTGTCTAGCTACCTGGGTATGACCGTAATGACCTCGCTCGAGTTATTTGGCTCGATGATATGAGGATTCGTCTTGAATCGTTAATCTTGAAAGTCAGAAGTCAAAGCCGGCTTTAAGCTCCAAATACTTGGCCCTGGCCGTTGAATGCCGTCTTCACACTCGTCAGACTGGAGTTTCACCGGACAAACCACTCGGAACAGGGAAAGCCTTGTTCCGTGACGTCCCGCCCGGTACGAGACCAATAAGAATGGAGTTGTAGTACATCTGTTGCTCACACACCGAATATTGACCGGACGTCAGATATGGCTCTTGGATAGCCCGTTGCTGACGATCAAGGCTGAGACCAGTCAGATATCGTTGGACTAGTCTTTCCGATGAATAGCCCAGGGTGTGTTGAGGGAACTAGATAGCCACCTATAGGTAGATCAGCGATGACTCAGAGAGATAACACAGTCATCGATCCCGCCCCGCATTTTCCTTTCGAATCCATTCGGTGGAGTACCTAGACTCGTACAGATCGCTTATGCCGTGATCAATTGTTGGTCCGATCAAACCTGTTCCAAAAAGAATGAAATCGATCTCGGGTCACAGTTGGAATGGACCTTCGAAGTCCGCCGCTACAGTTTCCAAATGACGTTGTGTAAACGCTGGAGCGCCTGAGCATGGAGTTCCAAGGAAAAGGTCGGAGTCTTTGAGCATGCTATGCCCGTCCACTCGAGCGACACTGATGAGGAACCGCTGCCCTCACAGAGAAAGTCGAAGAATCTCAAATCAATCTGAGTGAGAATAATAAAGCAGGCTCTGTGATGGGCAGCTTGGGTTAAAGTGATAGTCGACAAAGTGCCTTGGTTGTCGAGGTCAGAGTAGGAGCAACCAAATCGACCCAACTCTCAGTATGCCTTTCTATCCCGCTTGCTTCGCCATCTACCGCCTCTTCCTCTATTACCTTTCCAGGCGGTCTCCTTCCGTGCATCTTCCTCCCTCTTTTCGAGTTCCTGTACTCTGTCTCGCCTCTGAGCCTCGGCATCTCTCTCTTGACCTGCCTGTCCACTCTTCAAGTGAACACCATGCTTGCAGTCTCTTCCGTCGGGGCAGAAACCTGCGAGGTAGAACGGGCATAATTTTCTCCTCACATGTCTATTTGGGCATCTCGGACCTTTTTCGCAGAATCCCTTGTTGTAGTCATCACATAACGGAAGTTTTGAATCTTCCTTGACATGGACATAGAGACACTCATCTCCGTTTTGACAATAACCATTCTGGTTGAAAAATTGACACTCGCTCATCTTGCGAAGATTGTATTCGTGAAGGTAATCGCAGGCATCCCCCTTTTTACAGAGTCCCTTGAGCCAATGTTTGCAGACATAGTTGTCATTGTTTCGACTGTAGTGATGCTGAGACTGTTGTGCTGGAGTTGGATGGCGATCTGAACAACGTCGACCTCTAGGACACTGACCGTTGGCAGCATAATCGGGGCACACAGGAACAATTGAGGCGAGAGCAGCGAGTCCGTTGGCGCGCAGGAAAGGCGTGAAACTGAAGTCGTAGGTGGGCTGCGACGGCTTATGGATGGATGGAGAGGGACTTCTGACAGCGCCAGGAGTGCTCTCTACAGCGACAGAACCCATCGCAATGATTGCCCGTGGATCTGAAACTTCTTGTTCCACCTCATAGAAGAATACAAATTACTGTGATGGTTGGTGAGTGAGAAAAATGGCTCGACGGTCGTACTTGAAGTGCCACCAACTAGATCTCCCGATGTTTTGCCGTAATCACACGACTATGTTTTCTTGGCAACCGAATCCCCTTCAACCCTGTTTAATAGCCCGATCCTCTGTCCACCATGATTCAAGATACTATGAGACAAACTCTGGACGACCTGAAGATTTGAGAAGTCCACAGAGGTCAGCTTCTCGTCGCTACCGAATGATTCTATTGTCCTTCTTGTACCAAGTATATGTTTTCGACCACATCAGCGAAACTTCACCAACACCTAATTAGTAAGTGATAGCTGGACTCGCAGTCTCGAAAGAAGGTAGGAGAATCCTCTACAATTGTCGCCCATATCCAACCTATGGATATCATTTCCGCTCTGGAGACCGTGCACGACTTATCTTTCGGCATTTTGTTTCCTATTCGAGCATTGTAGCCCATCTGAAGCTGCGGGGCAGAATTCATTTGCATGGGTTTTTCTCCTCACTCAATTCTCCCCCCACGTCATGCTAGAAAGACCAAAACACGACAGCAATCGTCAAAACAATTTTCATAGAACTGATTTCCTCAATACTTTTGTCTGAGGTGTACAATATTTAGATCTGTCCCTATTCCATTCTATCTTCCCACCAGAGCGTCACGCTATCTTCAACATGTCTGTCACTACTTCCGCAACCATTGCCTCTTTTGGTGGGAAGCTTCTTAAGCTGGCTCATAACTCATCCGTCATCGGTGGTGAAATGAAATTCAACCTCTATCTTCCCCCTCAGGCTTCAAACGGAGGCTCAAAGATTCCACTATTGATCTATCTATCTGGACTCACCTGTACTGGAGACAATTGCTCGGAGAAAGGCTTCTTCCAGCACGGAGCAAGCAAGAGGGGAATTGCTGTCTTGTACCCAGATACCAGCCCAAGTAAGGAAACTCTCTCTGGAGAATTTGATCTTGCCTGACCATATTTCTAGGGGGCTTCGGAATCAAGGGCGAGGACGACGCGTATGACTTTGGAAGTGGTGCTGGTTTTTACGTCGATGCCACTGCCGAGCCTTGGTCCAAAAACTATAAAATGTACTCCTATATCACCGACGAACTACCAAAAACAGTATTCTCCGCTTTTGACCAACTAGACTCAAGCAAGGTGAGTATCACAGGCCACAGCATGGGCGGCCACGGTGCTCTATCGCTTTACCTGAAGAACCCGGGGAAATATAAGAGTGTCAGTGCTTTCGCCCCTATTTCCAACCCCTTGAAAGCTCCTTGGGGAGAGAAGGCCTTCAAAGGGTACTTTGGCGAGGATGATTGGCAGAAGAAAGGTGCCGAGCACGATTCCACTGAGTTGCTTAAGAAATGGAAGGGTGGTGACTTGGACATTCTGATTGATGTGGTAAGTAACCAATCGTTTCCTGACCAAAAACCCCGTCTATCAAAAACTAATGCATTCTCTCCGCAAACGCAGGGTACAGGTGATAACTTCTACAAACAAGGTCAACTGTTGCCAGAGAACTTCCAGGCTGCAGCCAAGGAAATTGGCCAGGAGAAAGGTGTACATGTCCGGTTTCAACCTGACTATGACCACAGCTACTACACAATGGCCACCTTTGCAGATGATCACATCGATCATGCCGCAAAGTATTTGTTTGCATAGTACGTATGTGAATTTCAATCACAAGTTTATCAAACCCAAGCGGCAGGATGAACAAGGTGCTGACCGGGATAGAAGCGCGGCGAGAAAGGACCAAAAGCTCTGAAGTTTCACGGAACTTGAATGGAGAAAGATACAAATAGGATTGATTGCCATCGACTCTCCCAAGAATATACTCTATGCATAACTGAATGAGCGAAGGAAGCCAGCGCATCTCTTCACATTTTAGTACAGCGATTGCGTTTCTTTTGTCCCTCCTCGATGTGACAAGTCCTCTGTTCGGCTCGCTGAAGTTCCACCTTGGCTATATAGGCACTTCTTCGCCTCTCGCTCCTCCATCTGGGAACCCGCAAAGGAAGGCCCTGACGGAGTTTTGCGTACTGGGGACTGCAGCAGCACCTGTGACACGCTGTCAGAATGTGATCTATCGTCAAGCTCACTCCTGATTACGCCAGTATATCTTGGATGGCATGGGGAGTATGTTCCATGACGATTGGAACTTCCTCTCAGTAGCCACTTGAAACGGCTCTCGCCTGGAGCCACATGCCGAATAAGTCGTGCGGCAAAGCCGCGGACTTTGTACCAAGATTGATCGCAATGCACGCCGAGAGCCAGGAAGCTCAACAAGCTGAGCGACGGTCAGAAACTATAACTCTCCTCCACGGCCAACCCGAGTTCCCAATTCGACTATGCGAAGATTAACTGATCGTATGGGGAGAAATACAGACCCACTGTCACGGGCACTGATTCGAAGTTATAGGATTGGACCTAGAGTGATCTCCATGTTGTATCCGGACAATCTAAATGCTGGCTCCATCCGACAGTGGTATTCCTGAGAAGAGCACGTCAAGATGCTAGGTGTTACTCTCGTCAATCCGCTAGCATGATAGATGCAAGTCCGACTTCGCTATCTGACACCAGACTAAGCTACTGACTCGGTTGGCTGGCACGAGACTGGGAACCGGGCGTGGATTGACTTCGGATGCTGTTTGGTCTGAAAACCAGGCTGACTCGTAACATATGTATATCAAAGCGGATTGATCGACTTGTCTACTCCGAACATGAATCTCGTCCTCAACATCTTCATGATGATCACCTGGCCCTTCGAAACTTGCAGATACAGCTCTGCGAATGGAGACTAGCCATCCCTCAATTCATCGTCATGTGCCCCAGCATGATACATTTGACCATCAAGGACGGATTTCAAACATCCCATTCTTGAAAGGCGGCAAAAAGATATCTGCATGTCTATCTTTCTGCTCAACGGAAAGAGCAGGCAGATCTTCCACACCGAATTTCTCCCATGATTGACCACCGCGATCAGTCGAGTCGCGTGTTGAGTTCAAGAATGCTCACGACAATTTAGCTGCGCCGAGACAGAGACGGCCGTTGGGGAAAGAGCATAGTGAGAAGTCCGAGAGACATCAAAGATGCTTTGGAGTTGGTGAAGACGTATGCTAAGCTATCGCTCGCAACACTCGAAGCTCGCATTTGAAAGTTCACCACCATCACCACCAGTAGCTGAGGGTTCGAATAGCCCAGTCATCACCAACAAGAGAGTTCCCCAGATGCTGGTCACTTCGAATACAAGACGTTCAGCACTCCAGAAAATTGCAAAGCCTAGCTCTCGATCCTGAGGGCCGTAAAAAAACGGTGGCTCAGGTGATTTTTATATCCTGGGCCTATCTTACTGTCATATTCCCAGTCCGGCCATCCCAGGGAGAGAGAGAGTCATTGATCTCTCCACTGACAGGCAGATGTTGAGAATCTGTCGACCTTCTGGCTGAATGGTTGAAGCGTACTGGGTACGGGCAGCTTACCTGGTCCATTATGCTCATATGGTGGACACTGCTGCTATTCCGGCTGAGGGCTGCGTGTGCTCGGGGATTTGCAGCGTGGAAAGAAAGCACCGGCGTGTCTGAAGTTTCGACTGCGCACGGAAGCAAGATTCCGCAAGAGAGAGCTGCTTGTCAGCAGTTATCCATGGTGCCCTCCGATTAAGATCGAGACACGTAGCGAGAATCGATGGTGGGTACGGCAGAGACATACGCATCAACGGGATCGGAGTCTTCGATAGGGGCCGCTGAGTATTATCTACTATTGATAGCGGACCTAAGAGTTTGACCACTAGTTTGATTCTCGTGGAAGACTCTTTTTCCAACATACCGTCGTTACAGACCGACGAGATGACACCAGCAGACATCTCGCTTCCACCGACACCTCATACTCGCCTGTGGAGCGACTGTCGAAAAGCGCACACCTTCTGGTCGTCGCTGTTGCCGCCGCTGCTGCCTGCCATGGAACGCACCGCCGCCACCGCGTCCATCAGGAGACCACCATGTGTATGGTGCAGAACAAGCCAGGTCGGCCAGCTGGTTAGGGTTCATATACGTCGCCAATCCGCCAAGACTGCGTCGGTTTCTTCGGTTCCAGCTAGGCCTGCCAGTTACCATAGGTACCTAGGTAGTTATCACCTTTACACAAGGCATCCACAATCCGCGCTGTAGATTCGTGATCGAGTGCTCCGCTTCAATTCCCTCGGCTCTCATTTTACCATACAGGTAGGCAAGGGGGAAATATCGATGCGCGAGGGTAGTTGATTGTATGTGCCAAGCCTCACCTCTTCCTCGACTGCCTGCTCGGGGAGGATGAGTGACCATAGTTGCGACACCATCCAACCGCTGTCTTCATATTCCAAATCTTATGCGCAACATGGCATGATAAGAGTGGAACCTCTTGTGTCAGGGAGGACTCACACTTCCCTCAACCCAAGAAGAAAAGATGATGAGCGAAGCAGAACAATCAAGATACGAGTAAGAGGAAAACTGAGCCAAAACCAATTCATTTGCGCTAGGTAATAATAGTATGGATTGCTCGCACCCAACCTACCCAACCACCTGAGGCCAGGGCAGCCTAACTGATCCACCCCACCCCTCCACTCCAAGACCGTATGAGCCCCAAGAAGGTTCTGCTAAATGTACACGACGACAGTGTGAGGGTACTGTGGTATTCTGACACCCCGCAAGACCACGCTTTTCGTTGTTTGTTTTTTTTGCACCCAAATACCGACTCTATCCAGGGTATTCCAAAGTATGAATTAGTAGTAGTGAGTCTCATCGGGTGTGCGACCGCGAAGGTAAGCAGGCTCGCTGCCGCGGACGTAGATGTCCTCGAAGAGGATCTTGGGTGTTGGGTCGGGAGGGGCCATCTTCTCGGCCTCGGCGACCTCGGCGTCGACCTCCTCTCTAGCCTTCTTGTCGAGAGCCTTGAGGTCGTCTTCGGTGCAAACGCCCCAATCGAGGATTTTCTGCTTAAGGCCTGCGATAGGGTCGTTGGTGGAGCGCATGCGCTGGATCTCTTCTCTTGTTCGGTAGGTTGTGCCGGGGTCGGACATGGAATGACCGCCGTATCTGTAGGTCACGTATTCGAGGACCAGAGGGCCGTTGTCGTTGGTGGAGTAATCGCGGCCGTATTGGACAGCAGCCTTCACGGCGAGGACATCCATAGCGTTGATCTTGAGACCAGGGATGTATTGACCTCGCTTGTAGTATTCGGTCAAGGCAGAGGATCGAGCAGCGGATGTACCCATGCCATACTTGTTGTTTTCACAGCCAAACAGGATGGGTAGTTTCCACAGCTTAGCCATGTTGAAGGCCTCGAAAACCTGACCCTGGTTGGAGGCACCATCACCGTAGAGACTGAGTGTGACATTTTTCTTGCCGGTGTATTGTTGGGCAAATGCGAGACCAGCGCCGACAGGGACTTGAGCGCCAACGATACCATTGCCTCCGTAGAAACCGGTAGAGAACATGTGCATGGAGCCACCTTTTCCGTATGCGATACCCTCACGACGACCGAGCAGTTCACCGATGATAGATTTGACCGTTCCGCCACGCATCAGGGCGAAACCGTGACATCTGTAGGCTGTGATAATGGCGTCTTCTTTAGTGATGGCATGTTCGATACCAACTGCGACTGCTTCTTGACCGGTGGACAGATGGCAGAAACCTCGAATCTTTTTCTCCTTGTATAATCTGTCGGCAGCCATTTCCATACGACTGGGGGAAAAGTGTCAGTGGCCAAGTGGACCTGATAGGGAACATCTTTTCAAACTGACCGTACAGATACCATATCGTAGTACATCTGCTTCAACTCCTTCTTGGTGGTGTCGAGGGTATATGGGGGAGGGTCGAGGTTGTAGGTTTCGAAACTCTCGTCGGAGAGCTTGACTTGGAAGGGCTTGTCATCCTCCTGCGCACTTGTGGTAAGTATACATATGGAAGGTATGGGTTGTGCATGTTGGACTTACCTCGGGGACATCTTCTTTCTCAGCGTGAGAGCTTGCAGCATCGGTAGTAACGGATCTGCGAGCTAGCTGATAGGATTGGGTCTTTGGGACTGACTGCAGGCCGAAGCCTCTCAAACAAGCTCTCGACAACATGGCGTGTTGGTCGAGAAAGAAAGGGAAGGAAAGGAGGGGAGAGGAAAGAAAATAACGGGGTGGATTGGTGAATGGTGAATGAATGAGGGAGCAGTGAGTGAGCTTTTGGATGTTGGGACGCCGAAAGGAGCAGCCACCAACTCCGGGCGGAGCTTCAAAGCGACACCAGTCTTGGCGCTCCCCCATCTATTTACGAGTATTTGGGTTTTACATTTTCATACACAGGCACCAATTGATGAGTTGGTAATGTCGATAAGATTTGTTCTCATGAGTCGTTTTTGTGGAATAGAAAATATCAATGACCTTGACCTAGACCTCGCCATGCGCTCTAAGCCTGGTAGGCCAGACCATCAGCCAGTCTCCCAAGTCTGCCTTTAAGCACGCCATGCCATCCACATTTAGACCAGCGTAACACCATGATGCATTGGAGTTCCCAGCCTGTAGGAGTTTTTATCCCTCATAATCAGTCGTTCTTCAATCTTCGATCCTCCTCAAGCGTATCTTCGCAGCAACTCAACCACTAGTATCCGCCTGAGACCATGCCAGGTTGTGTGCCATATCCACTAGAAATGCCTCCTTGTTGATGCATTGTACCTGCAACATGAGCGCGTCCATGACCTGCATAGTTGGGTAGATCTTGAAACCACGGGTGATGGAGTGCCTCCTGGGCGCTGATTCGATTCTCAGGTCTCAGTTGTAATAATTTGCTCAACAGATCAAGTCCGAGTTGGTCGATCTGAGGCAGAAGAATGGCCAATGACTGAGTGGCGTATGAGGGGAAGTTGCTCTTGTACTCAGGCAATTGGGATATCCCAGGCCAGGTTCGCTCCGATGGCGTTCCCATCAATCGGAATATCTTCTGCAGTTGATCCTCATTGGTAGTGCCGGGGAAAAGAGGTCGTCCGGTGTACATCTCCGCCATGATGCAGCCCGCGGACCAGATGTCGATGCTGGTGTTGTATGTCCTAGATCCAAGAAGCACATCTGGTGCTCGGTACCATAGTGTCACCACTTCATTGGAGAAAGTATTGACGGGGATTCCAAAAGCTCGTGCCAGTCCGAAATCTGCCAGTTTCAATTGACCTTTGGTGCTGATGAGCAAGTTCTGTGGTTTCAGATCACGATGAAGCACTCGATTCTCGTGGCAGAAAGCGGTACCTCGAAACAGGTCTTGCATGAAGCGCTTGATGGTTGGGTGGTCTAGTTGTCCTCTGTCGCCTCTTGAATCCATATATCTCTTCAAATCCTTGTCCATGTATTCGAAGACCAGCATGAGTTTGTTCTCGGTGTGAATAACATCGTGAAGGGTGACAATATTCTCATGCTTCAACTCTTTCATCAAGCTGATCTCTCGGATCGCAGTCGATGGAGTGCCTTCCTCTGAGTCGAGATGAATCTCTTTGAGTGCGACCAGTTCACCGGTTTGTCGATTGCGACCTTTGTAGACAGTGGCATAGGTGCCCTCACCAAGCTGTTCGGAGGTGTCAGTCAACGCGTTACAATCCAGGCAAGGATCCGCATGGAAAGCATACCTTCTCCAACTGCTGGAAAGAACTGGGATGTCTCCGATCCATTTCAGCGTGGCCCCTCTCTTGGAGTCGTTGTCGTGCTGGAAGAGGGGCGGCCGAGTGCTGAAACAAGATGGAGCCTGGCGAAATGACTCGCTCGGCGAGTTGCTGGGCGGTAAGTTTCTGCGGTTGTGGTTGAGATTGAGCTCGGGACTGTTGTGAGGGCTGAGAAGGTTGAGAAGAGGCGGTCGAGGAGATGGAAGTTCGATGTGGAATACTGGCAGATGTAGGGCGAGAAGACATGACCAGGCGCGAAGAGTCACCTGGAAGGATGGGTGCATGTCCTTAGTAGTCAAGGATCTTCGCCTCTTCCACATGCAGCCTGAGTGCATAATAAGGCGGAGCGGAGCAGGGTTTTCGGCCTGTGTCCCTGGACCCTCAGGCTGTGCCGATGACTGGTTTGAACTGTTCGCGGCCAACCGCGCGCGCATTGTGCCCTTCGTTGTCAACTTCAATTCCCCTGGGCGGCAAAGGAGCGACCACAGCAACGTGCCTTTCATGAAGTGATATCTAAATATATATATCGTGTTTGTTTCAGACGCGAAGAGTCGTGCTGAAACAAAAAGGGTTCACATCAAGTCAAGTCACTTGGGTTATTAGATCACTTCACTGTCCCTTGCCCTGACAATCCAGGTTGTGCACAGTAACACCCCTAATGCCGCCTTAAGCAGCCCCTCGGCCCCCCACCGACACTGATGCCCGCTGCCACTCAGAGTCCAGACAGAATCGGTGGCTATCTTGGCTTGTTACATGCGCTATCTTCATAACAGGGTTAAATATGATATCTCAGATTACATCTGTCTAATTACGACTACTCACTTCAACGATGGGCTGCCCGCAGCCTTCTCATCCGTGAGGGTATCTATCTGTTAGCATATTGGGCTCGCGCCCTCTCTGGACTATTTGGCCAGCCTGTCTTTAATCCTGCTTCAAATGCATCCTGATACTTTTTTTTTCGCTCCAGATAAATGATCGCTTCAAAAGACAATCGCTTTCGATCATGATGCTTCATTCGGTGAGAGGGGTATCGTGTCAAACATTCGTAAAACAAAAACAAATCCATTATTCGTGTGTCGTAAGATCATCTCATACACTCCTACCTCCTTAACGCGGTGTGCGCGCTCCAGGGTATGTAGATGGAGGCGACCGGTGTGATCCGATCGTGGCCATGGTTGAAACCGTTGGTTCGCTCATGGTCCTTCGTCGGATCGAACTGTTGTCCAGATTCGGCCTCTGGGCGTATGCAATCAGCATTTTGAAGCTGGATCCTCGTGCCTTGCATTCACTCAGCACGGTTTTGTCCGCAAAGATACTGGTCGCAAGATTGCCATCCGAAATCACGGCAGCCTCGAAGCAGTGTTGCCACCATCGCCTGGCAGTTGTCGACACAATCTTGCTAATCTTGGCATCCGCATTGTCCGAGTGATCCGCAATCAGGTCATTGAGTGACAAGTTGTGTCCTCGTCGACCTCCAAATACCATACGTGGGGAGGCATTGGCTGCTCTCAGATCCCCAGACCCACGATGAGGGATCCCATCTGACCCCTTACTCGAACGTGAAGAAGAGGAAGAGTCAACAGACCCATTCGGACGCCCTGCCACCGGTACTCCCACTACGCATCTGCTGATGTTGGAGAATCCACGGGCTCCAAGAACTCCCTGCACGTTATCAATGATGGGTCGCAGGCTAATCTGTTGATCTGCCGTTGTCATCTTGAACTTCAATTCCCGTACCGCTCGTCGAGTTTGTACACCCATGTTAACAATATCCAGGTCAAGCAGCATCAGCTCCAGATAGCCCCCGGGTAAGAGCACTCTTCGGCTCTCGGCGATGATGTTTTTCATCTTGGCCTCGGCCATTGCTGGAGGAAATCGGAGAACAACAGCAGAGAAAAACCCCGGCGGGAAGGGGAATTTCTCATAAAAGCTTGCCACTTCTGCTCGGCGGTGGTTGTTCGGGGCATTGGTGGGTGCTTTGCTCTCCTTTGATGCCTTGCCGGTCACCTTTTCTTTCAAATTGTGGATCAACGCCTTTTGATCTTCATACGTAACGGCACAGTAGATTGACCAGTCTTCATTACCCAGCCCATCAATGACCAGGACATGACGCTCGGTCTGTCGCTCGATCTCATCATGCGCAGGGGAGAACAGTACCCGCCCAAAGGACAACCACTTCGCCACCATCAAAGACGCATAGTGGAGCTCTGACTGGGCTGCTGGATCTTTGCCTCTCTCCATCACATCCAGCAATGCAACGTTCTCCTGATGATTGTGTTCGGTTGGAATTTCCGTATTACTGGTACTTAGTGTCAACTGCTCTGTCGATCGTTCAGCTGTTGAACTGCTCAATCGCTCAGAAAATCCACTACTTTCCCGTTGATAGGAGCCATATTCGCTGATCAGATCTCTGATCGAGAACGGAGAAATCGGTTCCATTGACGAGTGTAAAGCTAATGCGATCCTGGACCGGCGCAACCGGATATCCTCACCAACTGAGCGTTCTGACAAAGTTGGAGCTGGAAAAACGACGGGGGGAGTCGCAGATGTCACCAGAGCTGGCATGAAGACGGTCCGTTTGAGTTCATGATTGGATTGGGCTGCACTCTTTATCTCTTTTCCCTTCTTCGAAAGAGGGAATGCCTTTGTTGGGAGGGTTAGGCCTGTTGATTTGACATAATCTTCAAAGCCTTCTTGTGTGGTCAAGAATTTGTTGCTCTTCCGGACTTGAGAGGGTGACATGACATGATCAATAAAGTCGTCATATTCGTTCCATATTTCGTCAAGACTAGGGCTGGTAGGTTCGTATATTTCTGGTCGATACGGAGCTTGGTTTTCTCCCAATCCTGGCATCAACGTTGGTCTGAGCATACTTGAAGTCCCTTCTGATGTACTGGAACTTGACAACTCTGAGTTCTGCCGTGATGGAAAGCGTAGAAACTCTGTCTCGCCACTCGCCGGACCGAACGCTGCTAATGGATCATGGAAGGATGTGCCCATCTCTGGCTCCATTTGAATTGCTAAATCGATAGCAGAAGCATCCGGTTGCATATCAGGAGAGTCTGGGAGAACTGGTCGGGCAAAAGGTTGAGAGAACGACGCTCGGCTTGGTTTATGCTGCCTCTCTTGACGCGAGACGACGGGTGGTATTCTTCCAACACGAGCAAGTCGAGGTTGCTTCTGTGGCTTCTCGCTGATCTGAACATGTAGCTGCTCAGTCGGACTTTTCAGGGGTACTGGAGGAGGCGATCTTTCAAAAGATCGCAGTGGGGATACCGGTACAACTGGGATCAGGACTTCCTCTTCCCATCGTCTTACCTGATCCTCGTCTGGACCATGAGTTCCCACGTAAGGACTTGTGCTGGGAGATTCCACGACTTCGGACAGGAACTCTCCCACATTTCCAGCTGTGTATATTTCGCTTTCGGAGTCCATCATTGCATAGTAGGGCATCGGAGGCCGTGACATAGGGATGGTTGAGACACTGACAGAAAGTTCTTCGGGCGAAGCTGAAGATACAATAGGTACATACCGCTCTGGCCCTGGCTCGGCAACGTCCTTTCGCCGGAAGATGTTCCATCGATGTTTTCGAGCCTTTTTCTCGGCGGACTTATGGCTTGTTTCAATTCGGTTATGCTCAGTGGCTGTGCTCGGGGTGGAAGTGGACCCTGCAATTGCAGAAGATTGTGGGGTGTCATGGCTGTCAACGTATATGGCTGCCGAGAGGGCTTCAGTTCGAATGGGGGTCGGAAGATTGAAATTGTCTGTTTCGCCACGAAAGCGTTGCGATCGTCGCACTGCGAGAGAAGGGATCTTCCCCTGTCCTTTTGGAACGTGGTTGACCGGATTAGGTTCGTATTCCGAAGCATATCGTTCTATAGATAGTTGTGACTGTGAGGGTGTATCCAATTTCATGTGCACAACACTTGAGGAGGCATTTGGATTGGTGAGATGGGCTTCCAGATGGCCTCCAGAGTTGTTTGACAAACTGCCACCTGACCCGCCCATCATGGTAACCGGCTTGAGTCGAGGGACAGCAAATTCATCGATGTCAGACTGACTACCTCTTTTAGCACGATTGCTGATTTGACTATCTTTGCGCTGACTAGCACCAAGTGGTATTCTTCTCGTACTGCTGACAGATCTCTCACTCTCGCTGTTGTTGGCTGAGGAAGGGGCGGAGGGGCCATCTTGTGAAGTCTTTCGTCCTCTTCTGCTGTATTTGCCATAGCCTTCGTGCCCTGTTCCTGCCACAGGCCCTCGCCGTTGCAGTTTACGTGGACTCTTGTCGGTCTCGTTTGCTGGTGATTTCCCTCTGCGACCGAAGATACCCAGGCGGGAGAACTTTCCCAGTCGACCAGGCGAACTCTGGACCGGTAAATCTGACTCTCCAGGCGTTGTGGGACGCAATACCGGCGTGCTGTGGTTACTTCTTTGGATAGGCTCGGTGGACTGTACAGGGGCTTCATCCCCTGTATCTAGAAGCTCTCTATGCCGGTTAGAGAACCCAGCTCTGTGCGTGTTTACTATGACCGGCCTGCTGTATTCCAGCCCCATGACTCCTTGGCGACTTGGTCGGGGCGGAGCAACACCCAAGGAATGCTGTAGTTCGTTGTGTGCTCTGGTAACTGAGCTCTGAAGTGGGTAGTCACCAAAGACGTGTGGATCCGAGTTTCCATGGGTAATGAGAGTGCTCTGATCAGGATCTGAAGCAGACGTGGTTGGTTCAAAGTTAAGACGGCGAGGCATATTATCACTTTTACTACTGCTTCTGCTCAGGGCTTGTTTGGCTGAAGAGGTACGAGGAGGTGGTGTTGGGGCGGGTGAGTTGAGCGGTGTTCGTTTCTTGCTGGAAGATTTCTTCAGAGTCTTGTCCTGAACGCTGGTCGATGATTGGCTTGGGGTAATTGACGAGTATGTCTCAGGTAGAGCGGGCATTTTGGGTAATTTTTCGCGCTTGGTAGCTGGAAAGGGGACAGTCTGAGATCTTTGACTGGAAGTTTTCATGGTGACTTGTTGCACGATACCTGGGGATGTCGAAGACCATGAAGTAGGTGTGGTGGTGGTTGTAGATACACTCCAAGGACTTGGGGTATTAGAGAATTGTGTTGACGGGCTGCTAATTGAACTCGATGACTTTGTATAGTAATCTTGATGCCGCGCTGAGGAAGCAGCAAGAGCTTGCAATTCAGGTATCAGTCGTGGAGGCAGGTCAACCTGACGAGTGCTGGCAGTGCCGAAGATGGCTTCGAGGTGGCTATCTAGGGGTGATCTTCCATCTCTCGAAAGGTCCGATGGCCGGACGGGCCTTCTGAGATTTGCATCTGCGTTGCCCTCCCATGCGTATGAAGCCGAGTCCATAACCAGTGGTACTTCCTGAGACGTCGGCCCGTACGCTAGGGCTGGTTTGGACGGAGCTGTGGAGGAAGAAATAGTCCTAGGAATTGCAGTGGATTTCAGGTTCGGAGATCTGACGGAAGTCGTTGGGACACGACTTGATTTTAGACGCGCTCTTCGGTCAGAAGTCCCAGGCAAGTCATTTGCAGGTGGTGATAGCTGCGACATAGTGCCTCCACCAAGCCTGGTAGTAGGACTCTTGCCATCATTTTGTCTAGATGCTTGTGACTTGACGGCTCGTGGAACGGTAGCATCTCTGCTTCTCGAACCACTAGTTTGGGTAATATATGTTGGGGTTCTGTGTGACATTTCCACGACGGGCAACAATCCTCCTTGCCGGCCTCCCTGAATCGAGTAGATTTGAACGACAATTAGTACACATTCCGCTTCGTGGACATTGAATTGGTGGCGCAGTAGTATTATTTCCTGGCTTTCAGCGGGTGTGATGCGGGGAACTAGTCTTCAAGAATCCGACGTCCGCTTCCCACACAAGCCCTTATTGTTGTGTGGGTGATGACTGTAAGTAGGAGTTCAAGTTTCGATATGTCGCACAAAATCATCAATACCCGAGACCAAATTATGAGCATATGTCAATGATGGTGGTTGAAGAGCACAGATAGTGAGTCAAAATCGGTAGGTTAACTGCAGATGGTGGAAGGATAGCCATGCGCCACAGTCTGTCGGAATGGCCGAGTAGGGCGAAAATAGCAACTGCGGAGCCCGCACGTGACACTGCAGGTCTGCCTGATCTGTTGTTGAAGGACGCGTAGACCTGCAGACGCTGCCAGTAAATTCAGAGAAGGCAAGAGGGAAAAACAGGAAAGAGGCAAATATTTCTGCGTTAATAACCGCCTTGCCTTTGGGCGATTGGTACCAGTGGTATGGAAGCGGATGGATCCAACAGGGAATCTTGTAACGAGCAGGATAACAGGTCCAGCTAGTCTGAAATGGGTATCATGGCAAAGGCTGCGGCACAGCAAAAGATCTGGGGGACCATTTGCAAAGAGAACACAGGGAATAGCATCCTCATGGCTTGGTGGATAGCACTCCGTAGAGGAGTAAGCTCCTTGCTGGCGGGGCGCTTAGTGCCGCGCATAATTCGTATTCAGTGCTGAACTCAAACGTCTTCCAGTCCGGAGTCAGTCATGTCTCGTAAGTTTGGCAGGTATTGGTACCAAGACGGGCTCCATTTTTCTGAGATGGGCCATGTTGTTGAGGAATCGAGGATACTCCCGTTCCCCAAGCTGGGAACGGGAAGCTAGGGTAGCCAGCTGACTTCTTGCTTCGCCCGGTCATACAAAGGGCCATTGCCTCGTGGGGTCTGGCTTTTGATACTAACAAGTCGAGAGCTCCACGGGCAATGACGGACGCAAAGCGGAGGCGCCAGACATTGGCCTGATCTGTTGCAGAAGTAAGGCAGAATGATACAGATCTGTCGGTCAGGTGGGAGATATTGCAAGCCAATCTCAATGGGATATCCCGGTAAAGCCGCACGATAGGCAGGAGTTGAGCATCGCCTCAAGCTGCGAGAAGGATCATGTTCGATCCCTGGTGGCAAGCTGTGGGCCACGATGGTCTGAAGTTGATCTACCGAGTACTTCGGTTAAAGTTGACCATGGGAGGAGACTAGGCTGGCCGGTAAAATGACTGGTGACATCGTATTGATGAAGATGGTGAATTTGGGAGTATGCTTGCAGGGGCAGCTGAGATGGCGGAAAATCAGATCAGGATGATCCAAACGCCAGGCAGCCCTTGACTGTGCTAGGAATTGCAGAATTGAAAAAGGGTGCTAAAGTGAACGAAGATGGATGGAAGAACGATGGAGAGCCAGTCGTTCCTTGACCGAAGTGAGGTGTATCCACGCCCAGTGGACCCCTAAGAGCAAGAACTGGCGATTAATGGATGCTAGGCACACTCTGGGTACTTCGGGGCCCGCGATTAAAGGGACGGCCCTCCTTGCTTCAAGCGTCGGACGCCTACTTGACGGCCCCCCAAAGCACCTCATAGGCCTCGCCCTTCCCCACTAAGTCGTCAGCCCCAGCAGGGCGGTTTCGCCACCGCCGGAGGGGCTACGGAGCATTCAAAGTACGAGCACAAGGCAGGCAACGCCACACACGCAGTATCCGTACGAGTACCATGAGGATCCGACGTGGTTTCTTTTCTTAACTAAAGTTGCACTTGCAAAGGATAATGCCACCAAACAGATAACTCCCTCGAGGCCTGGAGGGGGTTGTGGCCTGAGCACGGATCACGTCGAGGTTGTCTGTGGCCCTCGGCCCCGTGGATAGACACGAGATCAGGTTTGACTTGCGAGAGACATAGGTGTACCTTTCGGTCGCTACCCAACTTGGATCTGCTCACCTTTTCTTCATCAACTCTAACCATGTGAAACGCGAGCTCTTCTTGGTGATTCCCACAAACACTGCAGCAGCGTCGTTTCTCCATTACCATCACATCGTCGAGCACATTTCATCACAGTTTGATAACATGCACATGCAAGTCACCCACCTTGGTTCCCCACCTTGACCTTCCCCTCAAGCGAAGGTTGCGTTCCGCGTCAGATGGATTTTCTTTCCTTTTATTTTCCAAATGGCCAATCAGGTGTGTATCATGGCCAAAATGCCTTGATGTGCCTTGATATGATACCAGGGCTGCTTGTCCATCCATCCATCGTCTTCAAGACCTCAGCCAATCAATTGCCAAATCAAGGATTTCATCCCAAAACTAATTCTCCGGAATAACGTTGGCTTCACACCCTCCTGGAAGCATGGAAGCCCAGCATCCTATGACACTGGTCCCACCGGGCTCTGCACAGTACAACAGCTTTACGCGATCATCTGATGGTCTGGCGGATGATGAAACCAACCGCGAAGAAAGCCTGTTGGTGAGTCAGCAAGAGACTGAGAATCCGGGAGCTTTGATCTCACCGTCGACCCTCGTCCCTGAAACATGGTGGCTCTTGTGTGAACGTGATGTGGCTTACGTAGCCTGTCTATAACATCCTCAATCTCCTCTTCAACTCTGTCTATGAAACACCTCCTAGGAACGCCATTTACTGGGAAGGTACTCTCAGCAACAAAACACCGCAAGATGGCGTGCATCTTCTGATCCGATTCGTTGCTCCCACCATCTACAAACCCTCTCCAGTGGATATTTGGCATTCTACAACCACCCGAATTGGACTTGTTGATGACTGACCACGATCGCGACAAGCAGGATTGATAGCTCTGCATGACACTCAAGCTGCAAGCCATAGCCTTTCATGAAACGCTCTGGCATTCTAGCGTAAGCCTTATGTCTGGTATGTCCTTATTTGACACTCCAATGTAGCCTATGGGGTAGAAATCTCAGATCCTTGACTCATGCGGGCTCTGGTGGGAACAGTTGACATCCAGTCAAGGTCCAGACTTGGATCGAAGAGAAGATGTACTATATCCCATTCCGTCTTTTCTTCGTGTGCTACTGCTTTCGAGACCTCACACCACACTCCATGAGCCGGAAGGAGTAATACGTACAACAGCCGGAAGCTAAATATTTCTCCTAGCCCATCTCGTGTTTTGTAGACTCCGTCTCTTTCGAATCCAGCCTTGGAATCTTGCGAGTAGATTTTGGTGGTGCAAGTCTGGCACACTAGTATTAGTCAAGTCTCTGCGGCTGAGCCGTCTTCATGGCCGCGAGATCCAGCCGTCCCCGAAGAACGCCACAAGACTCAACCACCACGCACTGCCGTTTATGTCATTTAGGGCATTCCGCAATTGGATAACGATGGCATTCCTGAGAATTGTCTATGCCGTTGGAGGGCCCTAGGCATCTTTTTAGCGGATTACGGTATCCATCGTGTTGGTCGACCGTCATCAGGATGTAAAAAGAATTATAGATAGTTTCTTGGCCATATCGAACCATCCGTGAGCCAATCGTGGCTCTATTTGTGGCATGCAAATTCCTTCCATCCAAGCTGAAGAGATACCTACGTGGACCCATACAATGTCTACAATCCCAACTTCGACTACTGGGTACTATGTCAGAACTCTGGCGATCATATTTGATCGGTTCATTATACCAGCCTTGCATCCACGCCGCCAGGGTTTGGCTCGCTAATCGAGGAAGCAGGATCTTTTTCGATCCGTGATCTGTGGCTGGCTGATCGGCATAGCATTGTCTGGATGAAGACGGCAGGATAAAAGTTATGACTTTGTGACCAAGCCAGCACCAAGGCCTGCTCAGGTATGCACTCCTCGTGGCCAATGCCGAGTTGCGAATGCGCCAAGGACATCAATAATGGACTCTTTGCGTCCAAAATTACCGACCTGGTGGTCATGTACTTCGCGCGATGATTTCATCTTCCAGCCGTGTTGCGAATGACTTTCCCAGGACACAAGGCCGTGGCTATCTGGTCCGCCGCATCTTTGCGGAGCGTGCGTCCAGTAGAAGACTTGACTGAGGAGGGCGCCTTCTACAACGATAGACTTTTCCACATCAGATATTGTGTCTCGAGATCAGAATTGAAACCCAGCCACTGCATAAGTGGTGAGGAAAATTTCAAGCTAAATCTCGAGTCTCAGCTTGGTCATACATACCGAGGAATTGCTGAGCATAGGTGTCCGACGGCATGGAGAGCTATCTCGCAAGTATCGAGACTGTCAATAGATGAAGTGATACTTCTGGCTATCGGATTAGAGAAATTGAACGAACACGAAGATTGATGACTAAGTACGGCGTCTCGTCTCCTAAACCTCAACCGTAGAAACTGCGCTAGAGAAATCAACCGCAGCCTTGTTTCCAAATGCGCAACACTTCCTGAATGCAATGTCAACATTGGGTCACTGCACTCAATCATTCTCCCTTGATCTCAGACAGCCTTGGCCTGGACCCTCCGACCCAGAATCAACGCAGAGGCCAGCTTATCATATTCTCAACGATTTCATTTATCTCTTAGGCTCATTCTCACTTTGCGCGACAAAAGGAGATCGGTTGACCATGGTGGACTATGCGAAGAAGACGGTAGCCGACCTACAGGAGATCCTGAAGTCTCGTAGTCTGCCGCATTCTGGCAAGAAGGCTGAACTCATCGCGCGATTGAATGAGGCTGATGCTACTGTTGAGCAAACCGGTATGTTACCCGCCCCCTTAGCCCTGAAAGCTTCTAACGCCTTCGTTTAGAAGTCGCAGCATCTGAGAATGTAGCTGCACCACAAGAACAGCCTACGTCTGCACCAGAACCTGTCGCTGAGGCCCCAGTGCAAGCAGTGGAAGATTCAACCGAGCCAGCTCCTGCGACAACACAAGCCGATGCGGCAGCGTCGCCCTCAGCAAACACCGACACCGCCCTGGCTACAAGCGCCGCGTATGCTCTACACCTCCCCACATCAGAGGTGGATGCGGAGATGGCGAAGCGCAAGGCGCGTGCTGAAAGATTCGGCACTGCAAATGCAGCCGCAAATGGCACGGAAGCCACAGGGGCAGAAGAAGCAGATAAAGAGACCGAAAAGAATCTTGAACGTGCCAAGCGCTTCGGGACCGGTCAAACAGCCATGGGCAAACTGGATGAAGCATTGCCCACAGAGCGGGAGCGTGGTTCGCGTAAACGAGGACGTACCGATGAAGCGTCTACACTGGATGATGCGGGTCTAAGGAGAGGATTTGGAGGCCATGGCCGAGGGCGAGGCGGCAGGTTCCGCGGACGAGGTGGCCGTGACAACTCGCGAAGACGACAAGGTGATCGTCCTGTGGGTGTCACGAAGCCGACTGGCGCCTTTTCATCGGATGGCGATCGACTTGCCGCAGAGGCGAGGAAGAAGAAGTTCGCCACTTGAATTCTACTATAACAGCAATTGTATTCTATTTCACGAAAACAACTGGTACGGGCGGGTTTACGAAGAAGGTCGGCTGCTTGGGTTTCCATCGTTCCAATCTCAGAAGGGGACGGTCGAAAAGTATCTTGCTTATAATCACATTGTTCCACAAAATTTCTTGCCCACACCAATCATTCGAACGAGCCTCTCGTGCTGCGATGTTGAGGAGGACGGGCCGCGGCTTGGTTCATGTAAAACAATGCAAAGGTTATATCGTTATCAAGATCAAAGATCAACACGGAGCGTGGATTATATGGAGGGTTCGGTAGGAGTCTTGATGATGTAGTTGAACTTATAATCAGGAATACATCTGCCTCTGTGCGTTCTTTGTTGACCAAAGAGGGAGGGTTGAAAAGGACCATTGAAGAATATTCTATGAGATTAGCGAGTCAATGATCTATAGATTTGGGATGTACCATCCTCTAGTCCGAGGCACTTTGTGTGCGAATCTAGGTAACCATACTATCATTAAGGACGGGACCTGGCTTTCCATCATCTCTGATATCGCTCCAAGCATTATTTCAACGTTGGCTGAGTCATCCCGATTGCCAAGGGATCTTGAAAAAACGACTTAGGAGCTTCGAAGGAAACCTTCATAAGAAGCCTTCTTCATGCTGTGCTGTAGTTGATCAACTTGTTCGCGATCCGGACCAGGATCTTGATCCTGAATCAAGTTTTTCCTAGAAGGTATCTGCACCAGCATTCGAACCTATACTACCTTGGTGTGTGCCGATCTGTCAAAGGCTCAACCAGCCTTATGGAGGTGGACAAGAACACAAAAGTCTTGAAGAGCCACATATCCATGAAAGGTCTCCGCGGAGACGTGAAACATGAGGACAAATGATAGTCTGGATATTTAAGAACAGAGCCTTATCAACAAAACATCCGATCCCAGCATGCAGACAGCGCTGATTTGGCCTAGGCCTGCTTGCCGTTGTTGAGGGACTGATAAGGCGGCTCCACAATTTCCGAATCTCACATGGCGCTGATAAGCCTCGTCCAACCAGACCGCAACCACTCCTCGTCTTAGGGGTGATGGCAGCGATTCTTACCAAAGTGTTGGCTACTGTTGTGCTCTTTTCTTTTTCGTTATCGGTTTCCAAGCATTTGTCAAGCGTCAACGCCTGGGGCTCGCTACCTGGAATCTGGGGTGTAGCGAGATCCAGCCCACCAAAACCATGCTTGTGCGATCTCTAATGAGCTTGTTCAGTATCGCCAATATCGTGCCTCCGTAGGTTCACCAGACGGTGGCTGCATCTTGGAGACATTCTCGTACCTCATCCGGACAATCAGCATAACCCATTTGGCTTTCCAGAGCTATTGACAATTAGACAAGCCTCAGTGTATCATCAGCGGAAACGCACTTCGCGACATTTATATACACTACAGACAAAAAGCAATCAGCCTGTGGATCTTGACAATCATATCGAACAACGCCCAAAGCGTTCTGATCGACAGTTGTGCAGAGAAGAGTCTGCCCCTTCACCTCGGAGATCTCAAAAAATCACTCGCACCTTGTACTGGCACAAGCCAAACCCCAACGACCGTCTTGTTATCAGTGAAGGCTACGCCAGAGCTAGAGGTGGCTTGCATATTGACCATCTTGATTCGCTGACACAATCAAGATCTCTGTATCAGATCGACCGCGGACTTGCTGATTCGGCCCAACACTGGTCTCGATTTGGATACTTGGTTATCCCCGGAGAAAGCATTCCATCGTCATATCAAGAACTTGAAGATCACCATTCGGCACCTATCGCAGACTGTCCATATATGAATACGGCCAGTTCCCTGCTTCTCTTGTCTCAATTTCAGATATCCAGGCCATTCAACGAAGAAATCTGTGAGAGAGTATCTCCTCCTACTTCATTTAATCAGTCTTGAGGCTGGTCTTTGGCTATTGCCGCCAATTTGAGATCAAGTCCACTCCCCTCACTTTGATACAACATGGTCGACTTCCGTCTTCCTTTCAAGGCGCCTGAAGTCAACCCAATTACACACAAGGCAAGGGCTATCCCTTTCTTGAATCCGATTAACAAGTATGGACGTGTGTTCTTCTTCTCCTGGTTCGGATTCTTCATTGCGTTCTGGTCATGGTATGCATTTCCACCATTGGTAAGCCACTCAACCATTCCTTTCCACTAGATTCCCATACTTATGCTTCTCCAGTTGCACGACACCATTCAGGCGGACCTCAAGCTTACCAAGATCGATGTGGCAAACTCGAACATCATTGCACTTTGTGCCACCCTTCTTGTTCGATTGATCGCCGGCCCTTGCTGCGATAGATTTGGGCCACGATATACCTTTGCTGGCTGCCTTTTCATTGGTGCCATCCCAACCTTCCTAGCTGGCACTGCCTACACTCGTGGTCAGCTCTTTGCAGTCCGATTCTTCGTCGGCATCCTCGGAGGAAGTTTCGTCCCCTGCCAGGTATGGTCCACCGGCTTTTTCGACAAGAATATCGTCGGCACAGCCAATGCGTTTACCGGGGGCCTCGGGAACTCCGGTGGCGGAGTAACATATTTTCTCATGCCCTCGATCTTCGATAGTATTGTGAGAAGAGGAGTAAGTCCTCATGTTGCATGGAGGATCACTTTTGTTGTTCCTGGCATCATGATTCTGTTTGTGGCATCCTGTCTGCTGTTGCTTTGTGACGACACCCCGGATGGCAAGTGGAGCGAGCGACATACAGTGGTGCAGTCAAACCTTGCCAGTCATGGAATACAGGCGACGTTGGTGGATGCTCCTCAAGGAGGTCTCATGGACAAGCCAGTATCAAGTTCTGGCTCGGCATCTCCGGTCGAGCGCCCGGAGAAAGGAGAGAAGGTCCAATACGATGCCACGGGAGAACGAAAACCTACCGAGTTCACCGACCATGAAGCACAGCTCACGGATCAACAAATGCTTGACACGGCTCGAGGAGAAGTGGTGGTCAAGCCGACTGTGAAGGATGTGCTCAAAGTCATGTTTGCACCACAGACGCTAGTCTTGGCATTTTGCTACTTCAACTCCTTTGGTGCAGAACTTGCCATCAACTCTATCTTGGGCACCTACTATCAAAAGAACTTCAAGTCGTTGGGTCAGACCACGTCTGGTCGATGGGCCGCAATGTTCGGTCTGCTGAATGTGATTTTCCGACCCTCGGGTGGCATCATTGCCGACCTCCTCTACAAGCGCTTCCCCAATGTGTGGGTCAAGAAGATCTGGATACACACTTTGGGTGTCATCACTGGCATCTTCCTGATCACCATCGGTGTCCTTGATCCTCATAACACCAACACCATGTTTGGCCTCATCGCTGGCATGGCGTTCTTCCTGGAGGCAGGCAACGGAGCCAACTTCGCATTGGTGCCACATGTCAATCCTCAAGCTAATGGAGTGGTCTCCGGCATGACTGGAGCAACAGGAAACTTTGGCGGCATCATCTATGCCATTGTGTTCCGATATAATTATACCAACTACGCCAAGTCGTTCTGGATCATTGGAACGATGATGATCGGAATGAATCTGGCCGTGTGTTGGATCCGACCAGTGGCAAAGGGTCAGATTGGTGGTCGATGAAGAAGATTAAAATGATTTTGTGTTTTGGAAATAGCTAGGCTCATGTTTGCGTAGAGGTGCGAAGATATGTATTCCAACTAGATAGAACATGAATCGTTCAAGCCAAATCAGCTTTTCTTGTCCTGTTGTTGTGACGGATTGACCCTTGCGTTCAATCAAGGGGTAGTGCTAGCGGTCAACGAACCTCGCGATAACCCCCCTTCTGGCTCGAAGGCGAACTGTAAACAAGGGCGTATCCGGAAGAGAATCCCGCTTCGATTCATCAACCATTACGACTAGGATGGAAGTGGTCTTGGCATAGAGTAACCCTTCCACCTGTCGTCACCACTATATTCAGGATCTATTTTCCATTCATTGAGAGTGAACGTGACCCGTAAATGCCAGCAACGACCCTTAAGGGCACGGCGTCGGAATGGTTTCATGCCGAGCCGATGTGCCTAGAGAGCAATGAATCATGGTGTACTCAAGCCGCAGCCTCAGCCCAACCATTTCCTTATTGTTCCATCGTCATTCCATGCAGAATGACCTAAGATATTAATGACTTCATATCATGTCCTTCAACAGAAGAGGTAGATAAATCTACGTACCACATCACGGTCGAGCTTGTCCAAAAGATGTCCTCCCTCGTCACCTTCCAAAGAATTTGTTCAAGAGCAGTACCAAGTCAATCCATCGCACGCTACTCAAGTAGCAATTCATCGAGAATAACATTCCGGACAATCTCCAACACCAAAACAAGTGACAGAAGACCTTTCCACTCATCACCCTCCGCCAACATGCCCGAGAGCCTCTCCGCCAAAGAAGTCAACTCCAAGACCGACCCATCGGTCGCCAAGCAATATGACAACTCGACACCCAAAGACGTGCAGTGGAAAGAACTGTACGAGCTGATCGACGGCAAGAAAATCAGCATGCTAAGCACCTACCGTGACGGCGTCGGACCCGTCGGGCGCTCCATGGCCATTGCCCGTCGATCCGGGCCCGACATCCTGTTTCTCGCGAACAAGCATTCGCGGAAATTCGAGGACCTGGAGAAAAACAAGGAGGTGCAGATCACGATCCAAGACACCAAGACCCAGGATTGGATCTCCATCAGCGGCAAAGCGACGACGGCGTCGAATGAGGATCCCCGGATCAAGGAGCTATATTCTCCAACCATCTCGGCGTGGTTTGGAGACTTGAAGGACGGTGTGCACGATGGGACGTGGAAGGATCCACGCATGAGTTTGATCGAGGTGCAGAGTAATTATATTGTGTATTGGAAGAAGGAGACCTCGACCCTGGGATTCATGAAGGAAGTGGGCACGGCCGCCCTGACCGGCAGTGTGGCTCAGACGGGCGTGCACCGTGAATTGTCCAAGGAGGATATTGAGAAGGAGAGAGTGTAAATGATGTTCCAGTGGAAGCATTGTCATGGTAGTACTCACCAGTGCTATTGGGATGTGAATCAGTAGGGCAGGACGCATTTCTTGACATCAAGGCATTCTTGGTTGAAATATGATATTTAATGAAGGTGTCTCGCCCATTTCACAACTTGTGTAATATATTTTATTCCTGGAGGGTTCCAAGGTTGCTGTCGATGTGTATCCTCGATGTGAACCACGTGCTGAAAAGGCTGGAGTAAAAACACCCAGATGTTCTGGCCAGCGTTTACGCCATCGAAAAGGAGAGAATGGATCGATCCGTCTTCCAGAAGGAGGTTAGTCCCACTGATAAAGATTTTGTTTTTGGAGGCGGCTTGATTTTGGCAGCTGGAGGCCAGAACTGGGAAATTGGTCTGTCATTTGACCTCAAATGACATGATTTCCGCCCTTCCGGTGAGGTATCTGACCGTCACACAGAATTCAGCCACTGGCTTGGTCACGGGTTCCGAGAGCGGTGAACGGTGAACGTGCTCGATGTGAACCGTGGCCCCAAGTTTATTCACTCCTTAGATGTCAAAAAGTCTCAACATACATTGAGCTTCTCTTTTCTCAATTACCTTCTGTCAAACTTCTATTTGTGCTATTAGCGAATTTTCCTGTCAAGGTTCAGCCAATATGTTGAAGGTTCCTCATCGCAACAAGCCATCAAACCCGGTCACAAAGGCCGTGATATTGGTAGGGCACATGACCAGATAGTTAATCGACATGAGAGAGACTGACATCTATGAAGGTTGGTGGACCGTCTCGTGGCACCCGATTCCGACCGTTGAGTCTGGATATCCCAAAGGTATGGTTGATCGATATTCTATTGTTTCAATCTTTTTCTAACGGTCATCCTCAGCCACTTTTTGATGTCGCAGGGCACCCAATTGTCTGGCACTGCCTGAAGGCGATTTCCAAGGTCCCAGAGATCAAGGAAGTCATTTTCATCGGCTATTACGAAGAAAACGTTTTCCGGGACTTGATCAAGGACTCCTCCAAAGAATTCCCCAAGATCAAGATCCAATATCTCCGTGAATATCAGGCTCTTGGCACGGCTGGTGGTCTCTATCACTTCCGAGATGCCATCCTCAAGGGAAAGCCCGATAGATTCTTTGTCCTGAACTCGGATGTCTGTTGTTCATTCCCTCTGAGCAACATGCTCGACCTCTTCGACACCAAAGACGCAGATGCTCTCATTCTCGGTACACGGGTCAGCAATGATGCGGCCAATCAATTTGGTTGTATTGTTCCCGACCCTCACACTAACCGTGTGTTGCATTATGTGGAAAAGCCCGAGAGTCACATTTCAAACCTGATCAATTGTGGTGTCTATCTCTTCGCTACTGATGCCATCTTCCCATCCATCAAGAGCGCCATCAAGCGCCGCACCGAACGACCACGTATGATTTCATACCCTTCATCCGAGAATCTTGAGTCTTCCTTCGTTGCAGATTCTGATGAGGATGGTGGAAAGAACGAAATTATCCGTCTAGAACAGGACATCCTCTCCGACCTGGCCGACACCAACCGCTTTTACGTATACGAGACCAAAGACTTTTGGCGACAAATCAAGACCGCTGGATCTGCAGTGCCAGCCAACGCCCTCTACCTGGCAAAGGCCTTCCAACAACAGTCAGAAGAACTTGCGAAGCCATCTGCTACCATCGTGCCACCAGTCTTCATCCACCCCACGGCGACCGTCGACCCTACCGCGAAGCTTGGTCCCAACGTCTCCATTGGTCCGAAGGTAGTGATCGGAGCTGGTGCTCGAATCAAGGAGTCTATCGTCCTCGACGAAGCCGAGATCAAGCACGACGCCTGTGTTCTCTACGCCATTGTGGGCTGGAACAGCCGTGTCGGTGCATGGGCCAGAGTCGAAGGAACCCCTCTTCCCGTCACCACACACAACACCAGTGTCATCAAGAACGGAGTCAAGGTTCAGAGTATCACCATTTTGGGCAAGGAGGTCGGTGTCAGTGATGAAGTTCGTGTTCAGAACTGTATCTGCCTCCCATACAAGGAGTTGAAGCGTGATGTCACTAACGAAGTCATCATGTAAATCAACTGAGACTATTCAAGCCAAACCGAAATCAGACGATAGAGCACAGCACAGCACATGTTTTACGGCTTTAAGGAATATCCTTTTTCATCACGTTCACAGTTGTGGTTTGATAGACAAAAATATCTTTCCATGCACTTTCAAATGTGCTGGTAGGTGATTAGCTTGAGTTGCTGAGGATAGACTGTGGCCTAGCAGGAACAATAGCAATATTCTCTTCATCTCCAAGGCGATCCTGTTGATCGATGTGGTTTTCTAGCTGACTCATGTAATCAGGCGCCCCAATTGCGCCATGTTGACTCGCTTCCACGAATAGTAATCATATGCTGACAGGGATCTTGATCTGCAGCTCGAAACATATAAGACGAAGCCTTGTCCCAAATAATCTCGGTGTTCTGATAGTCTAGGCTACCCAGGTATCCAGATTGGTTGACTGGCTGTGATGTTAGGTAGTAGCACAAAACTTGCATCACCTTTCACCAATCCCTGATATGCATGAAACTACACCTATGACCCAATTATGAACCCGCAGTACACGAAAGCACCAAGTTTACAACGTAAGTTTCTTGAGTAATGAGGCTCGAAAATCCTGAGTGAGTGATCGAGGAGGATGCACGCTACCCACCAAGGCTCCGGGGAGCTGCATTTATTAGGGTTGATGACCTCGGCTTGAAACACGTGGCGTCATTGAAATGTTTGAGACCTTTTTTCACACTCAACTCGAAGTTCATTTCAAAAGCTGATGCAACAATTGTGAACTACCGATTGAACGCCATCATATACGCTCCAGCAACTGTTTATCGATTTCTCCCAGCTTAAGTTCCCGTTTCGCAAAGAGGAGAACGACCGCACAACATGGTTTACACGATAACAGTGCCAGAGGGCTATGGGTGAGTTCCGAGTCCCATTGTCGTCCCTGCCCCAGTCTCTTAACAATCACAGCTACGTCGTGCTGATTGCACTCGGCTTGACGCCAATTCTGTCCTTCGCGCAAGGCATCCTCGTTTCGACGTTCCGCAAACCCGCTGGCGTGGCATATCCGAATGCCTATGCCACACCACAACAAATGAAGGCATTACCAGTAGCCTACCGTTTCAATTGCGCTCAACGAGCGCATGCCAACCTACTCGAGAACATGCCACAATCCATGCTGTGCATGCTCTTTTGTGGGCTTTTCCACCCTCGAGCAACTCTTTGGTTGGGTGGTATCTGGCTCCTCGGTAGAATCCTCTACGCTTACGGTTACGTGTATGGTAGCGGTCAGGATGAGCAGGGAAAGGGTAAAGGTCGGACGATTGGTGGTGCCTTCTGGATTGGGCAGTTCGCCTTGATAGGCTTGTCGATCTACGTTGCTATGGGCTTGCTCTGATATGATATGGGAGTGATTTCTCTCATGCATGGAATGGATCTCAGAGAGAGATCCTTCTGAATATGGCACACTTTCCCCGAACCTTCCATTTCCACTTGTTAAAGACGAGGCCTTGCAAAAGTGGGTGGCTATGTAGATATCTATCTCCAAAATCCCCGGCGCGTTCTCTCATGTCACGTGAGTATGCTGAGGCAAACCTTCCGCTTTGGTCATCCCAGGCATTTTCATGTTCAGTCAACTTACGAGTACTCGCCGAGGCTGCGATCCAAGACAACTACTTCTTTCATCCACCACGAATACAGTCGACAAATTCAACACGAACCCTCATTGTCGGTCTTGGAAGGAGAGAAGTAGCACATACTTCTTAGTAGCCCTGAAAAGGCAACCTGGTACGTTCAAGTGAACCAACAACTTTTCCATCCAGGAACAAACATTCATCATGTCATATCCCGCCCCTCCAGGTTTGAAATCCTCCACAACACAACCGCCAGCTTCACTTCCTGCCCGACCGCCCCCTTCTGCGGTCAGTCCTGCGCCTTCTTTCAAGCCAAGTGGTGGGACGAAACCGGCATTTACTGCCTTTGCACCGCGATCAGTCGCAGCGGCCACCTCATATCGAACCAACAGTCCAGCACAATACTCTGCTGCGCCCATCACAAACTACAGCCCTCCGAGTGCCTACACTCAAACACAACCTAGCTACTCTGCTCAACCTCAATATGACAATTCATACTCAGCAGCACCTCAGATCCGGAACCCTTTCGTTCCTACCTCTGAAACGACTTCATCGGGTGCTTACCCTCCAGGCTACGACCCTGACTATGAGGCACAAGTCCAGCAATGGCAGAGCGCTTACATGAGCAGAGACAACGGAGCGAGTTCTGCGACTACAACCCGACCACCCACCACATCCACAGTACCTGCTGCTAATACTTCAAAGACAGAGCCACTTCACAATGCTGAGACGGCGTCCAAGACAGTCCAGCGGTCGGGAGGCGGAACAACTTGGACTGACAACACTCTACTCGAATGGGATCCTGCCCATTTCCGCATATTCGTAGGGAATCTTGCAGGCGAAGTCACGGATGAATCTCTTCTCAAAGCCTTCTCACCATACCCATCAGTTCAGAAAGCACGAGTGATCCGAGACAAGCGCACCACAAAATCCAAGGGTTATGGTTTCGTGAGTTTCGCTGATGGCGATGACTATTTTCGGGCTGCGAGAGAGCAGAACGGAAAGTATGTAGGCAGTCACCCGATCGTGGTGAAAAAGGCTGTCAACGATGTTCGTCCAGCTACACAGAAACAGAACAACCACAAGGGTAAAGGCAAAGGTGGTCATGGAAAGGTTGAGCATGGAGGTGTCAACAAGAAACAGCCAAAGACGAAGGGTGGATTGAAGGTTCTAGGCTGATCAGGTCCCTGCATTCGACCCCTGAGGGACAAGCATGATGTGTTTCCTCTCATGCATGATACCTGCTGCTCCAGCTTCCAACAACCAATCCCACCAACGAACAAATCCCACTATCCGAGCAGTGCTTAAATGCATCAGCAACATTCTTACACATTGATCTATATCATCCATAAAAGATTGAGCCTGACGACCCTCGAATCACACCCACGCAGGTGTGTCACATGGCACTCAGAGATGAACAGATAATGCACCGTCATGGCCATCCTTGGATCAACACCTTTTGCGAAGGCGTCCACACGCAGTTCGACACGCTGGTCAACGATAATTGTCTGTGCCGCATTTCTTCAGCCGAGTGTGTTGTATTCCACCAGGAATCGCGATCTCTCGTCATAGGTGCTGCAGTGCCTATATGCGCCATCATACTCGCGCTGTGTTCACCTCAGTGACAGGTATCGTGCTCCACACGCATGCGTTCTACCGTAAGGATCAAGCAACATGAACAGCATTAATGAATCCGATGCCGGTACTATCAGGATAAACCATCTCTTAGATAAATAATACCGTCTCGAAGCTTGAATGAAGCATGCCCCTCGGCGCACAGAATTGCTTCCACTCAATTCGTAGATGGTCCCAAACCCAATAGACACCGTGCTAGACACCATAGAATCTGCCAAAATTTCCAACCCAAAGCACAATTCAAGTATTTACCAAACTAGAGCCGTCTCCTCTGACCCTTCCTTAGCCCATTGCCATTGCCTTTGCCGCCAGACGGACTGAAAGGTGCAGTGTTAGTCTTAAACCCCGTCCCAGAAGCAGGAGGCCTCGCCATTCCACGTGCCAGCTTCAAGCTCCCCGTCGCACCAGCTTGAGCCTCACTCTGAGAATACGCTGTCGCTTCAGGAATGACAGCTACCGCACCACGGGCCATATCGTCGGGGTCTAGGATGACCGAGTCCTCGAGCGCCGTAGCGTCCCTCTCCACGACGACCTTCTTCGCTCCATTCGGTAGCGTGAGGAGATTCTGATGCGCGCCGTCGATCTCGTCCTCATCGCCACCATCGTCGACATCAACATCGCTCGGCGCGGTGGTGCCATCATCAAAAAGCGCATTCTTGGGCCTGACGACCCTCAGCTTGACGCCGTCGCCGCCGAGCGTCGAGTACACGCGCAGGCCGACGACGCAGACGGCGTTCCAGGGCTCGTCGGGCCCGTCGTCGTCGCCGCCTCCCGCCGCCCCTCTGAGGCCGTCCGCCCGGTGCTCGACCTCGATCAGCCCCGGTGGCGGGCTGTCCAGGCCGCTGTTGATGGGCGGGCGCATGGGCCCGCCGCGGCCGGGGCCGCGTCGTCCGTGTTGTGCGTAGCGGCGGCGGCGGTGCAGGCGCGTGCGTGCGTCCACTGAGGATGTCGAGGACGACGAGTCGGATTCCGACGGCATGTCGATGTCCGTGTTCCAGTCGAATGACGGGAAGGAGTCTGCGTCGGAGACTTCGGGGTCGTTGGGAACGTGCGTGTGGTCGTTATTGATGGTGCCGGGCAGGTCTTGAGTGGTGGTGTCGTTAGGTTCGGTGCCGGAGTTGGCTCCTACTGTGGCTGTCCTTGTGTCGAGTGTATCGCTTCTCTGAGTCACTTCGGACTCTTTGGTCTTCTCCTCGTTGGTGCCCGGTGTGGCTGGCAGGTGGTCCTCAGGTTGAGATAGGGGTGGGAAGTTGGGCAGTGGTCGAACGTCCGTAACTGCATCGATGCCATTGATTTGTACGATAGGGGTGGGCGGTGTTTCGTCACTGGGTTGCTCTTGACCTGGTGATTTGGTGTCCTTGGTGTGTTCTACTGTGTCGGGTTGTGCTGTTTCCGTCTTCGCTGTCGTCTCTGCATCTGCCTTCTTGACGACTTCTTCCAAAGGCTCGACAATACTTTCAGCAGGGGTGCCTTCAAGAACTTTCGGTGCTGGCTGCGCGACAGAAGTTCCCACAAGCTTGTCTCCAGACTTCTCGGCGTCTTCAGCTTTCTGCTTCCGTTGGACGATGATGTCCTCCCCACTGAACGACTTGATTCTGAGAACTCGCATGTCTTGGTCCAGTCCGTCCCGGTCCTCCTTCTCCTGCTTCGGACTGTCTGAGTTCTGCACATCCAACGAACCATTGCGTGTTGTGCCGTTCGTGGGCCGATCATCGTGCTGTCCTCTTCGCAAATTCCCGTTGACAAAAGGTGCCCCATGACGAGCAGCTTGCGAACGGTCTTTTCGCTGCAACCTCTGCTTGTCCCTCGCGTGTCTCTCTTTGCCCTTTTTCCAATGCTTCAGAGCATCCGTCTTCATCTTTTCTTTCAGTTTCTCGCGTTCTTTGGCTTTTCTGATCTTGTCTTTTGCCTTTCGCTGTTGCCTCTCTGCTTGTGTTTCGACGATGACACCTTTCGCGTGGGCAAGGTCATAGGACAGTCCCATTTGTATGAGCTTCTCGCGTCTAGTGGCCACATACATGGGAACGACATCTTCCAGATGATCTTTGTCGGGATTTCTCGTGGCGGTGATTTTCATGAGGACAGAATATGTACCTGCCTCAAGTTCGATGTCTGTACTGACTGATCGAGCCATTGCGTAGTTGCCATTTGACCGGACGATGTAATCGTTCTCATCCTCCTTCGCATCTGATTCAAGGCGGAACTGCAAATCATATCCGTAACCACCTTCCAACCCATTGAAATATGTGTCATCGAGCTGTGCAAGGACAATCACCACCCTTGTCTTCTCCGCCAATGTGATGGAGAACTTGGTGCTGTGATATTCTGCGGCCCATGACACGTTGACGTTGGTCCAGCATTGCGTGACATTCCACTCCGAGCCAAAGATTCGCGTACGGTCGAAATGCTGATAATTCTTCAATAGATCCTCGTAACTGATCCAGAAAATGCCGTCGTTACCGAACTTGTGATCCAGCAACTGCATCCATTCGGCAGTCCATTCAGAACTGCCGTCGCTCCACTTCCCAGTCCACTCCTTTCGACCCCACGGGTTACGAACTTTGAGTAATTTGTGCCCGTTGATTTCTCTCGCATCCATGATACTATACGCATGACCTTCGGCAATGCCATCACGCTCTCGCGGTTCGTTACTCGTGTCAAGCCAGTTCGAATAGAAGCCCGTCGCACAGCCAAAGAGGAACTGTTTACCGACCTGCATCAGCTCATTGTCCCAGAAGGCTTGCTTGTCCAGGATGTCGGTGCTGTAGATCTCCGTCGTGACACCGCCCGTCAGATCTTCGATGGCTTCACCGGTAAACCCTCCGTCGATGGAAGCAAAATCACCATGGGCTTTGGCGTAGGCCTTTTCGAGCAGTGGTAACCATGTCTCATTCTCGTCGCTGCATTGTGCAAAGTACAAAGCACGAGATCCGGTCTGGTGTGCCTTTCGATATTCCGCTTCCGAGTCTACACGATTGATGTCATCCCAGACGATTCGCTCGTCCTGGGCTTCGGCATAGTCCGGCGCACGGAGATATAGTTTGTCATCCGTTATGGTGTGCTGCCATTCACCATCTGCGCCACACGCGGGCGACGAGTTAGATTCTGTTCATACTCCAGGGGTTCCAGTCGAAGCTCACCTCGAAAGAATACAAAGCCATAGACGCCGATATTCTGGTCATGCTTGACGCAGACTTTATCAATCAGGCCTTTCATATTTCCCAGGCCACAGAGAGCTGCCATCAGATAGCAATCCCCATCGCGGCCCTGTCTGACATCACCTGCAGTAGGACCATTGATGTAAAACTGGGGTTTCTCAAAGATGTCCTACCCACGAGTGAGCACCTGATACCGCCATCGAGCCGAGTCTCCCTTTCACTTACAGTCACACGCTTGACACCTTTCGGCTTCATCGTATCTCCCAGATTACTCAAGCCATCAAGACAATTCCTCTGGCCAGACTTGAGATCCCATTCAATGTCGAAGTGCTGGTCGCGGTACTTCTGGTTCAATCGCTGACACTCCTTGATGATCCTGTCGACGTCGCGTTCACATTCGGCTCTAGCCTCTTCGTACGACCGGGCCGCGCGTTGCCCTGTGACTGTGCCGTGGGGAGTCTTTTGGGCCTTCTTGCGTGCATAAGGGTTATTGGGCAGGAGTGTGAATACTTTGCCTGGATAGCGGGAGTTCAGACGGTCCCAGAACTGGTCGACCGCGGCCTGGGGTGTTTGTCGACGAGGCTTACGGCGAATCTTGGGCGGAGCTGGTGGTGGTAGCCCGTCGGCTGCTAGCCCGTAGTATCGTCCTCCACCAATGTTGTCTCTGCGATCGTCGTTCATTATTGGTGCTCCGCTCGCGTAGAGCTCCGATAGAAGGAATGTAAGGCGATCAATGTGGTATTGGAAGATAATAAAGCCCTGTTGAGATGGTGCAGCTCGGAAGGACAACAAGCCCCAGTGTCAGGCTGAACAAACGGTTTGGTGTCACAGAGACACTCGTGTTTCTTGCAAAGTTACACTACGTCGCGGCGCCAGAACAAGCCCGGTATCTAATGTGCACTGCTAGCGTAAAGGAGCTCCAGAATTGAAATTGAGTCTTTTGAATTAAAACAAAGAGTTGAAGAAAGCAAGAAGCTGCTTCGAAGAGAAACAAGGCTGATGTTGAGGCTGGAGAGCGACAGTCTGCCACGCTGGTTCAGGCCCGAACCGGTGTGCCTGCCTGCCTGCCTGCCTGCCTACTTAGTTGGCAAACGCTGGGTAAAACGAGGGTGAAGAAATCAACCAGTCACAACAGTGACACGAGAGAAATCTACAGGAAAGCTTGTCCGTGAACACCCCTGTATTGAACAACGAATGGCTAGCGGCTCTCAGGCATGGCGCCGGTCTTTCTCGGCTGCATTGAATGTGCGGCTGAGGAAACTTGGGGATTGCCATTGCGCGTGAGCAGCGGTGGTTTTGGTGATTTCCTTCGTCCCTAAGCATCACCTGGGAACGGTCAGGCGTACATACATTATTTACGACGCGCATGATGGGAAGAGGGAAAATAATATTTCTTCTGCAAAACAGTAGAATGCGGATGCCGGTGGGCCTCGCCGCAGCAGAAATCGAGGATTTGGGTCAGGCAACAAGGCGACAAAGATCGAGATACATGAGCATCGCGATCCTCGGCGCGAAAGAACCTATCAAAACTAAAACCCTTTTGCTCCATTAATTCAGTGCCGACCGAAGTAGGGTATTCAATGAGGTCTAAATGATGATGGAAAACCATTCTGCCAATGGACTAAAGATTGTCAATCATCCGCGGCGAAAGGATTTATCAGAATGTCGATGTATGTGCTAAAGTAGTGGTAAGATGAAGTGACTGCGCAAGGGGGATGAGCAGAACTGTAATGTAGATATGTAGACGATTTGAATTAGGTAGATACTAATTGCTAGTACAGCCTATTGCAGGACGTAGATGATGATCGAGCCCAACAATATCAATAGATACAGGGTTGTTCAAGTAACGAAGACTTTGGTAGAGAAACATCTTCTCAAGATGACCATCTCTTCAGAAAATTGTTTAGAAACCATTCTTCTTCTCGTGAGAGCTGACGTCCTCATCGGGGATGATGACCAAGTTATCGGATCTGTATGGATCAACTTTAACCGACTTGAATTTGCGTGCAGAAACCTTGTTCTCGAACAGAACATCGAGCTCGGCATAGGTGAGACCCTGGAGACATAATTAGTAAATGGTTTCGTAGAGAGAGCATATGTTGAGTGGCTTACCTTTGGTTCAGGGAGACGGAAATAAGTCCAGATCAATCCAAGCAGATTGAGACCACCCCAGAAGAAGCAGGTCTTTCCACGCCAATTCCAGGCAGTGGGGTTCATCATGCGAGGTTGAAGAGTTCCAATGACTATTCCCATGACGTTGTACACGTTTCGCGAGAGTACGACAGTCTTGATTCTCAGACGGGTGGATGGAAGCTCAGCGACCAAAGAGTAGCAGACGGGTCCGACGGTGAAATCGTAGACGAATGTCAAGATCAGGATCAAAGCACCGGATGCCCAGCCGACTGAAGTAGAGAGACCAGGAACTCCGAGACCGCCAATAATCATCAAGATAATAAACATACCGACTTGGCCCCAGATGTAAAGAGTGCGGCGACCAAAGTGGGGCATCAAGAACCAGGAAAGGACGGTGCCCATGAAACCCATAGCACTCTGACCGACACCAAGGGAATAGGCGTCATTATCGTCAAGACCGGCTTGAATCATGAAGTAAGTACCCCAACCGATCATAGGAGAGCCAGAAGTCTGTTGAATGAGCCATGTCATGCAGGTAACCTCGGTTCGTCGGAGATCGACTCCCTTGAAGCAGTCAAGATAGCTAGTACCAGCGGTTTGCTGGATTTCGAGCTCGTTGGTGTGAATCATCATAGCCAATGTATCCTCAACGTTGAATCGGGTGTTTTTCTTGGAGGTAAGCTTGAGAAGTGCTGCGCGAGCTTGATCGAGCTTGCCATGGCGGACCAACCACCACGGTGACTCTGGAGCCAAGAATGCGGTCAGAGCGATTGGGAGTGGCCAGATCCATTGGATGGCATAAGGGATACGATATGCCCACTCGTCGGTGACATTGACGAAGCCCTTGAGAATACCGGCAGCGAGGAGCTGGCCAATAACCCAGCAGAGGTTGACATAAGTAGTAAGATATGGTCGGAGAGGTACGGGAGTCACCTCAGCGGCATAGGTGGTTGTAAGGGTCTGGAAAACACCCCATGGAAGACCAGAGAGGACGTAGCCTGCAAGCAACATGTGGACGTTTACGGCGAAGAATGTGATGAAGATGGTGCCAGTGATAAAGAGGAGAGCACCAATCATAGTCCAGCGGTATCCAATGCGCTCGGAAATGATGCCGTTCAAGAAGAGACCGATAATTTGAGCAGCCGCGGTACCGTTACCAAGGGCAGTCTGCCATGTTGGACTGACTTCGTATGTCTGAACGCCATCTTTGATGGGTCCAGGGCCACCGAACTTTCTGGCGAAGGACTGGTTGCCGAAGAAATTTCCGAGAAGGTAGGTGTCATAACCCTCCATGATCACAGCCAAGGAGAGACAGAAGGAGAACATGATGGCCTTTGGGTACAACTTGCAGCCCTCGCGGAAACCCATGCTAGTCTCAAGATCTGCTGCCGCTTTGGCATCCGCAGAGAGCTCAGCCAAATTAGGGACAGCAACCGACATCTTTCGGAAGGTCTCATCCTTTTGGTTGAAGACAGCCTCACCCTGGGTGGCTCCAACAACGCCGGCAGGGACAATGGAGGATCGTCTGCGACCGGCGTCATAAGTAGGGGCGCCCATGTTGGTGGCGTAGACGGAGACACTGCCATGGCGGCCAGTGCGACCGCCAGGGCCGCTTTCTTCGTCGTGAGCGAAGCTCATGGTGAGAGAGTGGTCAGGTATTCAAAGACAGGCGGATTCAAGATATCACCCGAGGTCCAGATGATTAAAAGATCCTGGAGAAAAGCTGACAGTAGAGAGAGAGCCAGATGCTTTTGGTCTGTGGAGAGAAAGTTGTGAACAGGGTGCACAGCAGCGGCCTTAGATATATGGATTTCGTGGCGCGAGTTCCCCTCGCTCTTGCCAGCTTGAATGACGCATGATTCGAGTACGAGGTGTCACCAAAAGGGAAGGGCAAGACAACAACATGCACGGCCATCCAGAGTATTCGGGCCTATCGAAAAGAGGTGTAAAGTCATTCGGTCGATTTGGAGAAGCCACTGAAAATTAGATCCGCAGGTCGACCCCAGTGAAAAGGCCGGATCAGGTATTCGAGTGACCATCGTCAAGGGTCGCTCAAACTATATTGTCGCGCATCAATTGGCTGGGGAAGCAAGACCAGGCGAGTTGCGAGGAGGTCAGGTGTTACTCAGGGTCGCAAAGAAGCCGGCGCACCAGATGGAGGGGGCTCGACGATGCTTGGGGGACCGCAAAAGCCTTCCTTAAGCGTTGAAAGCAAGTCGAAGCAAAAGCAAACGAGCAATGCCGTTGGTCAGATTGAATTACAGTGGCTGTCAAGAGCTGGCACAGAGCAATAACAGCGAGATAAGTGGAGCTGGTCGATGGAGAGCCTCGCTTCCCATGTGTTAACCTTCCACATTTGGAAGAGAAGTGAGGGCAGGCTGTGGGATTTGCGGTGAATTAGTGGATAGAAAAGATGAGAGGGAGACCAAGGATCATGGATGCCATCGAGAGTTTGAAGCTTAGGATCATTAATCACTAGCTGCATTTGACGTCCGTAACCCCGCACTCTGGAGTCTTGACACTCGAGTCTTCTTCTTGACAGTCTCGGTGAAAAGCCAGATCGACTCCACAACCGCTGTCCCTCGTCATGGTTACGAAGGATTCCAGTGGATGGCAATGGACATGGAGTGGACACCCGGCCAAACTACTTGGAAGGTGTTCCATGCCAGTGACCATGGACCGTGGACCATGAGAAAACAGCCCCCGGCTTCTCGGCTGCTTCCAAGCTTCCAAGCTTCACTCCTCTCTTGGGAGCCTTCAAGGCGATTTTCAATTTGACATCCGAGCTTGGATGGGGGTCGCCCAGATGATCTTTGCTTGCCCAAGCTTATGAGAAGAAGCCAAAAGTCAAGACAAAGTTGATGCTTGATTCGACACGCAATCTGGGTCGTCATGCCACCTACCCACCGGCCAAATAGCCATTGTCGTCTTGGTTAGGCTTTTTGTGGCATAGCTGTCCAGATTACTCAGATCATCCCTTTCAGCTCTTGGACTACTGGTCGACAAGGTTACTCTCGCTCCAGATGTTTTGACGTACACGAGAATGGAATCACTCGCTTGCTGAATTCCACTGCATGCGACACTGACGGCAGGTGGCAGACGCGCCAGGGATCGCTGCCTCAGGTGTCTGGTGTTGCCCTGGCCCCAGATTCAGCCTCGAGTGCCAGTGGGGTTCGTGCTTAAGGTTTTCCTTTGAGCTCTGATATATGGAGTATTGAGATTTACATCGAACCTTCATGTCGAGAATCAATCTGTTTCGCTGAACGTTGTCTCTTCATATCCCCCTGAGATAATCCTCCCATTCCAGGAGCCATCGATACCTGTAGATAGATCTACACTCGGTTCGACGGCTTTCGAACCCTTCCTACTGTACAAAACTCCAAAAGCCCGGCACTCGTTATTCCATGCTGATGGGCGAAAACGTCATTGCCTCGGTGACGTCGCTGGTACGGAAATGCAGGTTGTGTCTCTTTAGTGTGTGACTACTGAGTACTCCGTAGTCCTTCCGACTTAGCTCCATCGCAGAAGTGGTCGCAGCCCTTCAGCCAGTCTCACCAATTGGTACGAGGTACCTACGAGTAGGTGGCTGATCGATACCGTTATACCCATCGAGTTAGCCAACCTTCTCCCGCTCACGCTAAATCATACTCTGCAGAAGGTGGGTTGCTAGTACAAGGTAGGGATCTGATTGCCCGTCGGACTTCAGGTCCATGATGACATTGGGGAATCGCTGGCGATACCTCACAACTGTGCTCTTTGGCGATCGGGTCAGGGACTGAATCTCCCCAAACATATACCTATTCGTGAGTAAAGACGTACTCCTTGAAGCAAACTTCATCTGTTTTCGTGAATTGGAGACTGCCGAGGCACGACTTCACAATACAGACTCGAACGCCAAGGATTGATCATAGCCAGCTGAGGTACCTCGTACGTTCACAGATTCACAGACATAGCCTACTAGCTTAGATACCACAAGACGAGTTGCTTCATATCATCATTTGCTTCACTTCTGTCGATGCCAAGGCATTAAATGGTGACATCGTCCTGAGTCCTCACCACCCCTGGTGTTTGGGCATGTCTGAAGATCTCACCGGATGCATGCAGTCCTACGACTAAGCATGGGGTAAGATCCTTCTGTCTCGCTTACCTTACTGTGCCTGGTAGGCCGTCGCGACGTTGTTCCTTATGTCTTTTGTATCCAGAAGGACGGTTTGCGATGGCTACGGCGCGCCCGTGGATTTACGGTCTCTCGCACGCGACATCGAGCGTAATTGGCCTGCAAGGCTCCTCTGCAGAAATCAGCATCGAGTGACTAGCTGGGTGAATGCACCCACTGGTCCTTCTCTTGCAACCGATAGCGAGAACTTGGTTTTTTTAGACCCTTAGAAGAGATGGAGTGTGCGTGTGAGTCTGAAACAATCTTCTTACCGATGACACCTAGTGGACAGTGGCGTGCAAGCCAACACATGACAAGTTTCCACATACAACCTTGATGCACGATGCCAGTCGACCCAGAATCATGGGTGCCCGCGAAAGAAATTTGTGGCCGAGGTCATGCACAAGCACAAGCACAAGCATGGAAACCCACCCGGTTTGCGGAGTGCCGTTGGTGGAAACTGGAGAGCATCCATGATCCCAGTCGATAGAAAGCTCGGAGTAATCTGAGTAGTCCCCGTACCTACTCGTAGGTACCTAGTGACTCTGACACTGAGCACACCAAAAATACCGAGGCTTCTTAGCTCCCACCGGGACGGGAAGAACAATCATCCACTCAAAATAAGCCCGAGAAATCCGCCGAAATGTAACGCCCACTTCTCCTGTGCCCCAGATAACGCAGTCTAACGAGGCTGTCGAACAACCACCACCACCACTGGTGCTATTATGGAGCAAGTACTGTTAAAGCCCCAGACGCATGATGGAGAAGTCTAGAATCCACTTGCGGATACATGTGGTTCATTATTGTCACGTTGCCAGCAAGAGATTCTAACTGACTATGGCCGGCCTTTTTTGGCCTGCAACATAGAATTCCTCCGTGGCTCGAGTGCTTTCGGACACCGTCAATCATTTCTTCATTACTACTGGCTCAGGATTCATGGTTAATTTCTCCAGTACTCTAGAGTCTCGCCTCGCAGGGTTGCCTGATCCCATGCGACACCAAGCTCGCTGGTGCCAGTCTACATCGTCTCTTTTGATGTAAGAACCGCTTGAAAATCCTGACTGGCTCCACATGGCCTTTCAAGCATGCTCAGAATAGGAGTGGGACGCCCACTACTTTCAGAACACCACACTGATCATCAGGAGAAAAAGCTTCTGGAAGTCCTCTGGAAGCTGTCAAGCGAGATGGAGTAGAAGTCCCCTGTCTGGAGTACGGATCGCAATTCTCCTGAGGTAGCATCCCCGAACCCTCGCTTCTATTCAAGGATCGGAGCATCCGCTCTGCATCTAGCTGTGTGTCGCAAGCGCGGTTGCCGAGCATCCAATTTGTCCAGGTTACTTGTTCAAGATGCGCCGTTGATATTCAGCTGTGACAAGGCTTCACCCGCAGATTTACTAACCTCCACCTCCTCCTTGCCCTTGCCTTCGACAGATCCATCCGGAGTAGCCTGGACGTTACCAGCTCCAGGATATTTGGACCCTTTGTCTTTCTTTTTCTTCTCCTTTTTCGCAGGTTCTGCAGGTGGGTAAGCCTTCTTCTCAATAGCTTGCCATTCAGAAGATGCCTGGAATTCTGCTTGAATCGGAGCGAGCAATTCCACCAATGCCTCAGTGGCACCAGCCTTGAGCAGTTGTGGTGTCAATTTGTCCGCGAGATAGTCCGCTTTCAGAGCCTCAATGTCGTGATAGATCAGGGGTTCACCTTCGCCTTCTCTCTTGTTGCAAACAAAGGTGCCTTTACCTTGGGGATCACGTAGACTACTGATGGGAAGCAAAACATACTCCACAAAAGAGATGATACCATTTCCTTCAACCTCACCGGTTGCTGCATATGCCTTTCTCAGCTTCTTCCTCACTGCATCTGCAGTATCGAGAATGTCAATTTTGGAGTCCGGGTCTGACGCAGACATCTTTCCTCCGGCAAGGCCCGGTACCATAGGGTTCATGAGGTGGGCTCGTTCCTTGTATCCGACCTTGGGCAGGACTTCTTGTGCGAGAGCAAAGATCTTCCGCTGGTCGACACCTCCGAATTGGGCATCAACACCAAGGTGCTGTTCGTCCAGAGCTTGCATCAGAGGATAGATGAGGCCTGACAAAGGCGCATTGTCTACCTGCTTGACCACCTCGGCACCAGCTTTCTTAGCATCGTGTTCGGTAACAACACTGCTCAATCTGAAGATGTCCATAGTGTAGTCTGCGCTCAACTGGTAGGAGGAGCCAAGGACGAATTCGAGTTTCTCAAGGCTGACGCCGACAGTTTTGAGTAGTGAAGAAATGATGAATTTGTAATACTCTGCACGGAATTTGACGAGCTCAATAGGGGCCTTGAGGTTGTCGAGGAAGCCGTGGATATCAGCCAGGAGGATTTTGACAAGGCAACCAGCACGCAAGAAGTGGGCAATTTTCATCATGGGGACAAAGTAGCCACAGTGCGGTCTCCCTGTTGTCGCCGTTCCCCAGTAAATGACCAAGGGTCTCTTTTGCTTGATAATGACATCTTCGAGGATGTCCTGGTGAAGGACCTCTGACAATTGTGTTTTGATCAGGGCCAGTTTCTCTTCTGGTTGAAGCTCTCTATCCGCCATGCTTGCTGTACGCAGGGAAAACTGGAACAAAGTCGCTGACACCAGGCTGAGGTGGAGATTCGAGGGACAAAGGTAGCAGGGAGGCTTCGAATGCGGTTGGTAGAGGTTTATTGTTATATTGAATTGTGAGTCAGTCTCTGGTCTTGGATATTCAATCGGCACCCCGCTGCAGTGGGAAAATTAGTGGCGGTTCGGAGCATGAAGATTCCACCGTGTGAGCACGATAGAGGTCCAGTAGTCCACCGTATTCGCGATTTCCCCCCACCGAATCTGCACCCGCAGCGCATTGAATGTAACGCGTCGAATTGGCCAAACAAAAGCCCCAATTCAATCTTGTAGTAAACACACCGCAGCCGCAATTACCGTCACAGCAACCTCAGATCAACCTCAACTGCAGCCCGACACAACAAATTCGTAGGCCAGTCCATGTGAAAGACATCAATTCGTCCTTTCAACCACTGAAACTCTTAGTCACGGAGTCAACAATACGTGGATTTCTGGCCTCTCTACCCCCAAAATCCGCATTTCTACTGCTGCTGTCTCTGGCCGATCAAAACACGATCCTGCTTTTCCTTGCCACTTTCTCTTCACTAGCCAGAACAAACCACATGCCAAGTTCGACTGAATAGCATATTCTCACGATGGAAAATTACCAGAAGATTGAGAAGATTGGAGAAGGTTCGTAGACCCCGCCTCGCTCCCACATTCTGCATCCTCCCCCTGACTATTGGATAGGTACGTACGGTGTTGTCTACAAGGCCCGAGATCTGTCCAACGGCGGCCGAATCGTAGCCTTGAAGAAGATCCGTCTGGAAGCCGAAGATGAAGGTGTCCCTAGCACGGCCATCCGAGAGATCTCCCTCCTCAAAGAGATGACCGATCCAAACATTGTTCGATTGCTCAATATTGTCCATGCTGATGGTCACAAATTATATCTTGTCATGGAGTTCCTTGACCTTGATCTCAAGAAGTACATGGAAGCTCTTCCAGTCTCAGATGGTGGACGTGGTAAAGCTCTTCCAGAAGGATCTTCAGTGGATATGCGGTTAGGCTTGGGCAAGGATATGGTTAAGAAATTCATGGCACAGCTCGTCGAGGGTGTTCGATACTGTCATAGTCATCGTGTCTTGCATCGAGATCTCAAGCCACAGAATCTATTGATCGACAAGGAAGGCAACCTCAAATTGGCTGATTTCGGTCTCGCACGAGCATTTGGTGTCCCCCTGCGTACCTACACTCATGAGGTAAGCATTTCCCTGTTTATCTGCTTCTGACTATTTACTGACTTGCTTCCTAGGTGGTTACTCTATGGTACCGTTCTCCAGAAATCCTTTTGGGCGGCCGACAGTACTCCACAGGCGTCGACATGTGGTCTGTGGGAGCCATATTTGCTGAGATGTGCACTCGAAAACCGCTCTTTCCTGGTGACTCGGAAATTGACGAGATTTTCAAGATTTTCAAGTATGTCTCTTAACTCTCCCAACTTCTATTCTAATCACTTCCACTTCATTTTCTTGTAACCTGTCTCTTCTCGAATATCCACTAACGGCAGCTCAGAATTCTCGGAACACCCGACGAGTCAACTTGGCCAGGTGTGACGACATTCCCTGACTTCAAGACATCCTTCCCCAAGTGGCGGCGTGAACCCACCAGCAAAATTGTTTCAAATCTCGAGCCTGCCGGCCTGGATCTTCTAGACGCCCTCCTCGAGTACGACCCCGCGCACAGACTATCAGCCAAAGCCGCATGCACGCATCCTTATTTCGCCGCTGGCACGGCCGCCTATTCGCAGCGAACGAACGGGCTTCCCAGAACCAATGGCTACCATTGAGACCAAATTGTTCGAGGTCGATGAGGACAATCCTGGATGGTAGTCTGATGCATGGAATTTTCGGAATGATAAACGAGACAAACGGGTTTGCGTTGCATTGGATTGGGATTCATTTTGCCCTGTTGGGTGGGGGGCCAAGAGGCAACGATTTTCAGGTCTTTCGAGGGAGTTGGAGGTCACAATCGGCGTAGGTATTGTGGATCGTTGTTCCATGATGAAGAAGTGATAGAGGACGGGAGTTCGTTGTGACGAGCAGACTTTCCCTCTGTCATGCTTCCCACTAAAGACATTCAGAGATTTCAGCCGGTCACGGAAGAAAACAGCCTTGAATCACTCTGAAATGCTGCCCCTGTAACCTGTTCAAGGACGAGAGGCCGGTGGGATTTTCAAGTTCTGGCGAGACTGCATTTCTCCCCTTCCTTTTCCAAAAGTGTCAGCTTATAGAGATTCAGTGTATATCCGCGCCCTGTTTATCGCGTAGCAAGCGGATCTGGGAAGAAAACCTCCCCAGGCGAAGGAATTGGTAATGAATGCTCTTTGTCGTCTCTGCAAACCACAACATGATGCCTACCAAAGTGTCAACAGAAAAACAAACTCGGCATCGAATCTGCAGAATCCAATCCGCCCCATTCATTTCACCCGCGCGTGTCTCTCGAGAGGGCTCTGTGCGTGCCTTGTCAAGTTGTCAGGCCCGGGAACTTAACTCTTGCCTCTTGTGATTCGTTCGGCCCTTCCATCCCTGTCCTACTAGTTCACCTACCTACCTACAGTACGTTCCTCTGCCCGGCTTTGCGGAAGCAGTCCAGACGCGAATCCCCTGAAGCCTACGTAGATACATACTACCAAGGTATTTTCATTACCGTGCCTACCTGGCTTGGCTTGACGCGAGTCGGGAGGGAGAAATGAGCGTGTCGTCAACAAAAGCCATGTAAACGGACGCCACGGGTTGATTATATGTGTATCTAGATATGAGCAGTTGTGGGGGAGAGATACTCTAGGGCCAATGGTACTCGAGGCACATCATAGGTACCTAAGTCATGCCACGGTACACGCCCAGTAGTGTACGGGCTGGGTGGACGTCGATATCATAATGGGGGAAATCAACTGCGGTTCGTCTACTCGGGGACAAACAAACAAGGATCGGTGCTTTTGTTTCAACAATAAGCAGGAATTGATTTACTTTAATAAGTTATCAGATAAAGTTCTCTGCAACATTCTTTTGTCAACGACCTGTGTCTTGAAATACTAGGTAATTCCATCCATTCGTTTCGACTAGTGGGGTATAATAAGGTGCTCATGCAGACATACAGACTGAGTCAGTCGCTCAATGATTAAAGTGCGGGGGATGAGAAGCTGTGGTCATCAAGAGACAAGAGTCATCAAACACCTTTTTTCGTCTTCCTCTACCCGGGGAACAGTAAATTCAAATGCCCCTACTCTGGCTCATCTGTGTTTCATTACACCAACAGATGCAAACACGTTTAGACGGTGGTGCCAGCAACCTCCTTGTTCTCAAATGATTCCCGGACAGAAGGCCCGCTGATGCTGCCCCTCTTGCCAGTGTAAGCCGAAACCTGGAGCATGTTCAACTTGTCTTCCTCCTTGTCAAGAGAACGGAAGTTGAACCAGAAGGCGATACCGCCGATGCCAGCAAGAACAGCGACGATACCGTAGTTCCAGACGAGCAATGGGTCGGCAGAGAGGGGGTTGAGGGCCTGTGCGATGGCGCTGCTGAAAGCGTTCATCAAAAGGTTGATCGCCATAACGAAACTTCGCATGTTGTAGGGTGCCTTTGTGAATGCGTATTCTAGTGAGGTGATCGATGCGAAAATCTCGGAGAAACCGATAAGAACGTAAGGGATGGTCTGGACCCAGACGTTGATATCTGCAGGCTCACAATCGGAGTCGGAGGCATGGGTGCCGCATTCAGAGAGTCTGTAGATGTAGACTTGGATAACGCAAGCAGACACCATGGCCAAACTGGCGAGAAGGAAACCGACGGCAATACGTTTGATGGGTGTGAAGTTGATGTGAGCTTTGCGAAGTGCTGGGTAGATAACAAAATCCATCAATGGGATGAAGATAATGATGGAAATTGGGTTGAGATTTTGAATAATGTCGTTGGGAACACCATTGAGTTGCATGACAGCAGCTTGAGAGGTCAAATTGCCGGTCATCTGTCCATAGGCGAGCCAGTAAAGAGGGAGGTACAAGAAGACAGCGCAAGCCTTGAGACCACGACGGACCTCATCGACCCAGGCATCATCGAAGGTCATCCATGCTGGTCTTTGGGCAGCAGGAATATTGGATGGCTTGACGCGATCCCAGAAACCAGGTGCGTGCATACTCTTGTAGGTCGCCACGGGGTTGAGGTGCCAATGACCTTTGGCGGCATATGTCCAAAGGTGCCAGAACTTGGCGAAGACCGATCCAGTGGGTGGTGTGAGAACGTAGTGCTTCCTGCAGACAGCGAGGACCACTGGTGCGACCAGGAAGAGGACTGTAGGAAGCATGTAGGAAAGCCAGAAACCAACATACTTCTCGGCGTAGACCATACCGATCTGACCGACAAGTGAACCGATATTGATACACATGTAGAAATAGAGGAAAATTCGGGATGTGGTGACCATAGGATCCACAATCACGCGTTCTCCAGAGGGGAGGGTTTGGATTCTCTTTTTTGTTTCGGTTTGCTGCTCGGCCAGTAGAGGAGAAATGTTTGATTTGAAACCACCCGTGCCAATTCCGAGAATGATCAAGCCGACGGCGAAGGTGCCCAAGGCTGCAGAATTGTGCTTAATAACACTTGGAGCTGCCGAAGCGGTCAAGATGACGTGTCCGACAATAGCACAGACGATGGCGAGATGAATGGTTTTGTAACGACCAAGGTGGGCATCAGCGACATAGGCACCGACCAGAGGCATCACATAGGCCCAGAATTGATTAAAGGTGACGAGGCCAGTAGAGGCTCGTTGACCCATTCCGAGGGCTCCAGATTGGCCGTCGAAGCCTGCGCCAGTCGATGAGCCCTCTGGGAGAGGCTGTTGAATGAAATTGACGACTGTGAATGGTTAGCACTGCAATTGAAGTCGTACAGAACAGAAGCGAGTATTTGACTTACAGACAACGGTGGTGCCATAGTATGAGAATCGTTCACAAAGCTCGACAAAGGCAACGGTGAAGGCTGGCCAGGGGATCTTCCCGGAGACTCGGCGAAGAGTGTGCAGTTCTTCATCTGTGACTTCGGTGTCGTCGTCGAAATCATCGGCCGAGGTGCGAGGAACCTCTTGGACGCCGCCATCAATAGAGCCTCGTCCGAGACGCTTCTCATCGATGGTGCCAGCGAGGGGAGCAGCAGGCACGGCGGCCTGTGCAATGATTGGCGCTTCGTTGGATGCAATAGCGCTCATCTTGGCAGATTGCTTGATGTTTGTGCAAGAAGACCAAGGTGAAGAATGATCGATGATGGAGACTAGGAGCGCAAGTGGGTGATGAGGATCCCAATATATTTGTCTGTAGGATCGGCATCGATGAATCAATCAGTTGAGCAATTGAGCTCGTGAGCCAGACCTGAACATCAACGGAGCAATCACACGAATCAGGAAGGTAGCGTTCAACCCGTTATCAATTGATACCGAGGAGAGTCGCAGCGGCGATGTATCCCAAGGCCTTGGCGACAAGGTAGGCGTGAAGTGAGAGTCAAGTTAGTGGTGCGTTGCAGAGAGTGGATGAAGTCGGTGGCGCCGACCCTCCAAATCGGCTGGTATAGTGGCGAGACCAATACGAGGGTTAAGCTTTGTCTGGCAACTCACCACATATTCAAGGCTTCGAAGCTTGAGAAGAAAGTGCTTGTCACTGGACAACTCGTACCTCGTACTCGAGAGTGTGCCGCAGCCGCCCACCCGCCCACGACAGAAGCGTGCTTACCAGAAGAGATTGAGACTGAGACTGAGTAACAAATGAAGACCGTGACCGGGGCAAAGGTCTGGAACCATTCAGTCCAGATACCAGTAGAGGAACCTTGACATTGCGTATGGAGGTCCCCTGTCTGTTCAGATTGAATGGGTACTAGGTAGATCGGTGGGCAGTGGCCACAACCTCTATCAGTCTAGCAAGTACGGAGTAGTCGTAGCACTGGACTGGATGAAACCTCGTATGGAGAACAAGACAACAAACAGAAGGAACAAGCTCGATCAAAAGTCTGAAGGAGCGATCTTCCGCATGCCAAGCATCTCCTTCGCCCTTGCCAAGACTCTCTTATCTAACGGCAGCCAGTGAGAGCGCGGGCTTGTTTGACCCATGACGCTGGAGGCTTTTCTCAGAAAGCTGATCTCATACTCTGCCTTGGGTTGCGTCTTGATACTCGTAGACCCTGATGTGCAAAGAATTTTTTGTTACCTGTAATGGCTGTCCGTCGACAACGGGAAGTCCTCGGAGTCCGGATGCTCTTCCACTGGTAACAGAGGCCTGGAAATACAATCCTGATAATCTATCGCCCCCACATAAGTGAGGGGACTACCGACCTAGGGAACCAGGTGCACTGCATGTCAGTGGGCCAGGTATGGAACCTGGTTAGATCTACGATTAAAGACGAGTGGCCAGGGCCTGGGGACAGGGAGGGATCCAAAGCTCACTCCACAGTACCACACAGGTCTGCTGTAATTCCAGTTGGAGACTCGACGTTGTTTACCTAGTAGGTTAGGTAGGCGTCTACTGTAGTCTACGACCCCAGTATAACTCTAAGCAAGTTCTGAACTCAATACCAGTCTTACAATCGCGTGGTCCACTTTCCGTCTAGACCAGATTGCCCAGATTGCACCATATGAAAGGAGAGTAACTGTGTCTTGAAAAACAATGCGCGCAATTGTGTGATTGCTGATTAGTTGGTAACATTGAACACATGATCTCCGTCGACAACTGGAGCGTGCATTGTCATGATCGACTAGTCGTAGTATCCTTTCCAAATCCTTCGTGTTACCAACGCCCACCGCGTGCAAGTTCCCTTGTCGGTTGGTATTGCCTGGATCCAATCATATACACATGTGAGACGAGACGTGGATCAACCCCATGTTTCCTGCCCTCTCCTTTTCAATAGGGTTTAGGAAGGGGAAGTCGTGCTATCACTTTTCTCGCCTCCACTCCGAAACCATGGCCAACTCCGATGCTGTCTCTTGCACCTCGGCTGTCCTTGACATCGTTGATTGGACAGGCCACGGAAATCCGTTTCATGCCAAGCTATCCGACTGTAACTCTGCTATCACTTACAATCTGCTGGCTAGTGGCGGTTAAACAATTCAATAGGAGAATTGAATTTGCATCGATGCGCGACTCGTGCCTAGGCATTGAGAGACAAAACACTTGTTCCGAGGATGGCCGTTCAAGCCACACCACAAAGTTCAGAAACTCAACGTTGCGTGAGATCGAAGGTGCTTTGCTTTACCTCAGGCGAACACTGAAGCTGCAATAACGTTTCATCAAAACCCCTCGACGATGGCAAATACACGAAATTAACACAAATCTTCTCAATGAGCGTTCGTGTGTATGAAGCTTACCCTGTGGCGAGTGATCTGTACTCGTATGTAACGATTACGGTGGATTTGCAGCTAAGGCTGCACGCCCAGACTTCCAAGTCCTTCCAGAAGGATACCTAGGTATGCTCTGCATCCCAGGTTACTCTTAACCATTGTTCCGTGATAGCCGCACATCATTTATTGGCACCCAAGTCCATTGGCCCTATCGTGCTATCTTTCGCCGCCCTCGGTCAGACATCACATGCATTGATCTTACCCATACTCGTGCGACTCTGAGTTCCGATCTGGACCATCCTTGAAAGGTCCGCTTCTATATCGGCGATTGTTATCCGTCATACGTTTCGACCCTTTCACTAATGCTGGTCTAGACTATGTATCGAGTACCCTTCTACAGGTTTGAAAGGGAGTTGAGCGCCTGGAAGCGCACACATCATGTGACAATCAATCCACACGTTGATCCTCTGCCACTTCAACCTGTACGGAGTACGAATCTAACATTTTCCCACCCTGGTTCGCCCTATGTGGTCCGCATCTAATCGAGCTATCGTTTACGACAAGCCAACTCACCCCCAGCCTCGGAGAGACGAGTGATCCATCAGATGTGACTGAGCTTTGATCTTATCATAGAAGCGAATAAGACCGTTATCAACATCCCAACTCTCCGACGTCCAAGCCACTTGTGGTCTTGGAGTACATTCGTCTATGTCCAGTAGTGCATGAGAGTAGCTGCCAAGCTTGTGCCTTCCATTGGTTGCATACTGGTAGGGCCGGTCTTCACGAGTATCGAGAAAGACTACCACGTCTTGGTTATCACGACTAACTGGTCTGGTATATCGAACCAGCATTGGCTGGTTCGGATAGGGCCAAAGTTCGTGCTGTACAGGACCGCAAACCACCTCCTTATCACAGGTTCGTGTCTCTTTAAAGTGGATGGCTTACCTTCAGACCCGGGTTTGCTAGGATTGCCATCGATGTAAGATACGCTCCCGGATCGATTTGGCAGCTTATCATGCCAATCAGCTCGAACGTCGAAGAGATATATCTGATCGATGAACACCTCTCACATGGGCAGATCCGTCATGTTTGACAGAACACTTTGATAGTCTAGATGCATTTTCGTCCAGTACCATGTTGTGCTATTGCCTGTGGCCTTTTGGCTCCTTGCCATGCGAGCGCTCCAGTCTCGCTAGACCGATGGAAGAAGCGACAAATAATCAAGTCATTCGAACTACTTGGACTCCTTCAATCGCTGCAGATGCGGCACCAGCCTTTCCCGAATAAATTGCTCAGCCCCATGCAACGCTACACCCAGTGCCAATACATTAGGATCAGGAAGCTTAACCCCTGGGTACGTGCCTGTAAGGTTGTACAAGTTGAACATGGTGTCCCGGGCTTGGTTACCAGTGCTAGGTAGGACAATGTATTTCGCAGGCTTCCCCGTCACTGGACCCCGTCAGCAGTCTTCATGCTTTGTTTGCTCCGAGGTTGGTGGGAAATTGCTACCTTGCTCGATTATGGCGCATATCTCATGTGGAGTTCGCACCGCATCCATCGCGTAGAGATGTTGATAAAGCAGTTCCTCCCGTGTGGTCTCCCATCGGGTCAAGATTGCTTTCACAATAGCAGCCAGATCGCGCTCGACCCAGAGCATGTGGACTATGGGAACGTCAGTGGGCTCCAAATTCGCGTTGTTGAAGGAGACCAAGTTCGTATTGACAGAGTTCAGACTTACGTTTCACGTCGCCTTTGATGATGGGCTGCTTGAATTCAATGTGATCATCGTATTCAACCACGTGGCTACGAAAGACCTGGTTCTCATAAAAATTACCGGTAAAGACGAAAGCTGCGGGCAGACCAATCTCCTGGATATAGCTGTCGACGCGATGTTTACCTTCATAAATCTCACATAATACTTTGCCTTTGGAGATCTCAAGGGATGATGGTAATGTGCTCCAAACGAAGCATTCGACACCGGCTTGGAGTGCCGCATGGGCTGCGTGGCGGCCCTGAGTCTCCTCACTTGCGGGATCGTTTGTGATGGTCTAAATCTGCCATTAGCTTCACTTAGATAGTCAATCTCGGAACCATGTGCTCCCTGACACTATCGTAGAAATTTGTGGCTACGAAGGCGCCCCAGCAGCCATTGAACGCCGCTCCTAAGGAGTTTCGATCGGTCAGGTCGCCCTTCACAACCTCAGCTCCCGCTTCCTTGAGAGCTTTCGCGGCTTCCGAGTTTGGATTCCGCGTCAGCGCGCGGACTGTGAAATCTGAAGGACTTTGCAGCAACAGCCTTGCCACGGACCCTCCTGCGAACTCTTTTCTCAGCAAGATTGGACTCGCGTTAGAGTGGTGAGGATATCACCTTGGTTTCCTGTGGCTCCCGTGATCAGTATCCGTCGCGGCATTTCTGCGACCAAGCAAGGACCACTGAACTGAATCAGGTTTCAGGAAGCAATGGAAATTGACGCGTATCTCAGCTCCTGGCCTCAATGGCTCAGCATTGATATAATATTCGACGTCACGGTGCGGAGTTGGTAGTTTTCAAGTGTCTTTATCCAAATGGTGCACTTCCCGATGTCGGTTCCCCACCAATTGACCTGGACATTTGCCGAGGGTGAGTATTATCCTGGGCGATCACCCATATTACCAGGCCTATACTAGACTTATAGGTTCAACTCTCTACGAGAAACAGAATTCTAAGGGTTTTCCCCCAACAGACCCAAAGAGCTGCGCTTTGGTTCCTGATATCCACACAATAAAGCATCTGGTTGTCTTCAGATGAAGGAGTATCATGATCTTGACTGACGTTATGTGGCCCGATACCAGATCGTGGTTGTAAAGGACCGCGTCGCGTCCAGGTGTCCGCCGTGATCACCATATCCTAGCCCAAACTCGAAGAGGGCAAGTGCGAGAGGGAACCCTTGGCACTCGGTGCGATTCCCAGGTACGGAGTAAGCAGTGACGCCTGCAATTCGAGTGGCAGTGGCAGTGGCAGTGGCAGTGGCAGTGGCAGTGGCAGTGGCAGTGGCAGTGGCAGTGGCAGTGCCCCTTGAGGCTCAGGCTGCGCTGTCCTTCTGGGACTTGATGGAGGAAGCACCCGTTCCAAAATATCTACCTACGTACCTAATGTATCATTAAAACTATCTCACTGTTGTCTCTAGATCTCTTTCCCCCAATCGACATTAACTTCCAACATCCTCTCCCTTCAATACATCCCTTGCGATTACCTGGCTTCTTCTCATCTGTGCCCAACTGTCCCTTGTCCGGTGTACTTCGGTCAACTCTCAAATCAATCTGCTCCAAAACCTTACTTTCCGCCTATCCCACTCTCCATCCAACAACTGCCCCACGGTCTTTTCATCCTGATAGATGCCATCATAAATATCAAGTCTCCTTTAACCTGGTCCTGTTCTTCATCCCATCGTACTTGTTCATTGCGGACTACAACCTACAACCACCAGAACACTACACATCCCTCCACTGCAAGCTCCGGCGCATTCAAGACCATCTCCTCCATCCGATCAACAAACGCCCTCCATATATCTCGTCGAACAATTCATGAGGCACTGAAGGCTGTTCAGAAGTTTTCAAACTAGGTGGAAGGCCGCGCCGGGTGGCTGGCGTCAAGCCAGGTCTGCATTCTTGTCAGAGGCACCCGCATCTGCCTTAGACCTCGTCGAAGAGGCCTCACGCAGACCCTGTCCATATTCCAGGATTGCAGTCAATACACCACTTCTCATGTGCCATCTGCCCATTCAATGCCTCTGTCTTTGCATTGAGCTGTAAGCAATGGATACCACCCAAGGATTTGCTACAAGGGACGAACTGTGGCGCCTTCAAGAAACCCTGAATGAACTTTCTGCAACTCAGGTGAACCACTCGGACAGAATCATGCGTCTAGAGCAGAAAACTCCCGAGGGGTCGAGGGGTCGAAATCTGTGGGGCTCAGCTTCGCCCTTCACCGGTGCAATGGGTACCTCACATCACGGTACGAACAAGTCTCACTCTTTTCTTGATCCAACCAAATGCTAATCAACAGATAAAGAATCAGGTCTAAACCCCGCTGCTGAGGCCTTCCGAAACTTCGATGTGGACCCGGGAACGAGCATGATGAGTTCTTTGACTTTGGACACGAGTGACGATCCGAGGAGAGCTGCTGCTTCAAGGGCCAATTCGGTGAGATTCGACGAGAGTGCAAATAATCACTATGGGTCTTCACGGCAATCCATTGAGCTACCAACTCGTACCGGAAGTGGTCTTGGAGGACATGCGATGTCTGAAAGATCTCTGTCGCACCGCTCCGATGGCCGGGCCAGTGCCTCGGGTTTTGCAAGAACAAATAGTTTTGGTTTGGAGTCCAGTCGACTTCTCGGTTCCATTCACAATTCACCTCGTGTATCAGGAAATCCTCCTCCTGGATTTTTCGTCCTTGGACCGTGTCCGGCCATTATTCGATGCTGGCTGACCGAGACCTTCACAAACGACTCCCTCCTCTACGCTGCGATATGTTCTGGCTCTTCTTCATCATCTGTCAGCTCTTCGCTTGTAGACAAGTTGGATCTGAGTGATTCTGTATTTGATGACGCCGGCATCCGAACAATACGACTTCCGGTCTTCTTGACTGAAGCCAAGATCCATTCGGCAGCATCTCGAACTGCCAGTCCTGTGCCTCAAATACCTACATTGATTGTTAAATTCATTGTTGATGAGCATCCGGTGGCGGACTACTCAATTCAGATCATCTTGGGTAGTGATGTATTGAGAATTCACAACGCGGACATTTTATTGTCTCAAGACAAGCTGATGATCTTTGACGAGGAGCGAAATCAACTGGCCATTCCACTAGTTCGACCTGAGGACGACGCGGCATATAGAGATCTGAGCACAACATCACGAAAGCGGGCATCATCCATCGAAGCAGTGCTACCACCTCCCATGACTCGCTCCGATCAGGGCCAGCTCGGAGTTATTGGTCGACCAGGGAGATCTGCAAGACCAGAGGGTGGGTCACCCACGACTGGCACATCGAGTGGTGTGGATCTTCCGACCAACTCGGACATGGGAAGGTTGGAACCGACGAACGAGCCTTCGACAAGATCGAGTCTCGATCTGAATGCTTCAAGAGTTGCGACTGAAGATTCAAAATCCACGACTGGGAGCGAGAAGTCTTTTGCAACACCACTGTCCAAATCAGAATCTGGAGTCTGGGCCACCTCTTGGCGTGCCACAACTGCTAACGGAGCGGGAGGCGATTCGACTTCCAAACAGCCATCAACTTATGCTAAGCCGAGCAGTACTCGCACCATGAAGGTCTTGCGACCAAGCAAAACTATGGCAAACGCGAACAGAAGTGCATCCTCCACAGCCCTCACAACTGACGGGCATGATAGTATGACCTCAAAACCGGCTGATATTGTTCGACAAGCAGGCCAAGCTGATTTGGGACCAAGCAAGGCTACACCAGCAACACCGACCACCAAGTCGAATCCAATAGGATCTGGAACCGCTTTCGGTTGGCTCAATACTGGCCCTGGGCGACGGACGACAGCCAGTGGGTAAAGACGCCACCAGTCTGGTGGACTCCAACGGGCTTGATCCAGGATGTTGAACAAGAGCTTTCTGAAGGATGAATCAGCTCCTACATAGCATATGTAGTTGCATTGGTGGGATGAAATGATGTGCAAATGCTCCTTGATTATGTATTATTCTCAGAAGATTCCAGGCATAGCTTGAGATCAAGACTCAGAAAAGACGCACGCAGTGCGCACGCCTCGAGGCAACAAATCTACATGTTCAAAAACACAATCCTTGTAGACTTCAAGTTTCACAACAGGCAACTCCCATGATGTGGTAATCCTCACATCTATGTTTGAGGGCAGCGAGTGCAAGCACCGTTGTCTCCACAATATTTCTAGCCTCCACCCGCACTCCAAAGTTGCACACTTGAATCGCTTCATCAATCATCCCGTTAGCCCGATTCGTAACAATATTCCGACTATCCAGTACTGACGTTCGAATCTGACGGACGATTCTTCATCCTAGCCCTTGAGCTCACTACTGTCTATCAAGGCTTGTTCTTGAAATCCGTCTGTCTCAGTTTTTCTGGAAGCGTCGAACATTGATCCTTACGCCCACGACCTCTCATATTCTTGCCCTACCTCTGTCTGTCTGTCCCTTCCAGTGCCCCTCCACGACCCGAAGCGATAGAGTGTCACGCTTCGTAGTATTTAGTATCAATTTCTCCTATCATATATTTGTTCGTTTGCCTGCCATGGCTACCACAAAACGTATTGGTATGTACTGTCCACTCTGAATTCGTTCCCTTCTCATGGTCACCCATTCTGTCTTTGCCAATTTGCTGCCCTCTTCTGGAGTTGCTCTTGTGGCCATGTTGCGATGGGCCACTGGTCAACGATGATGTTGTATGTTTGTACCGAAGATGGTCAGAACAAGCACAGAATGGACTGGAAGGCAATACGACTGGACTAGCAGAGAATAATGGGTAGCTACCGCGTGGCTGTTCCTTATGTTGACATCCTCATCCTGTCTCATATTTGCTCCCGTTGTGCACCTGGGCTCCGTCCTATTACATCCTCATTGCGATGCATAGTCTATTCCAGATTGACCTCGCTAATCATCATCTTTTCTTCCAGAACGCCCGGTACTATTGTACGTTGAGCAATCCAGCAACGTGCCTTATTTATGGCAGCATTACCTGTCTGGACAGGTTGTCGACTATTCCTGCCCTACGTTTCGTCTCTGTGCACACAACCTATACTGACATCTGTTCTCTTCTCACTTGATAGCATCTGCGATGTCCAGGAGAAATTTCGAACTGCGATATGGGAGTTTGAGAAAGTGTGAGTCTGACATCGTCTTCGCAACCCCGTTCATTCCCGTGCTCCTCAGATATCACATGTCTGCCTCGTTGCTACCACAAATATCAAAAATAGAAAACGTCGCTAATACTTGATCCTCTCTACGAAATAGTGTATCCACGACGGAGAAGATGGTCAAGGCCGGTATGCTCAATTGACGTCCTCGAGACCCAGAGGCACATGCTGCGATATTCACCACTATTTCCCTTTTGAGGAACCGATTTATCTTTCTCTTCCCCTAAACATCTCCCGCTTCGCAACCACATACTCCCCTGGCCTTTCCCACCTCAACTCCCGTCAAAATGATCTCACTAACCATGCTCCTCAGCCTCCATCCTCAACATCCCCGTTATAGCGACGACGCAGAACGCCGCACGACTCGGCGACACGGTCTCGGAAGTGTCCAACCTGTTCAGCGAGCAAAAGACGCCCGTCAGCGTCATCGACAAAACCGCATTCTCCATGCTCGTCCCAGAAGTGACTCCACTCCTGTCCAAGGGCGTAGAGTCGAGCGCAAAACACTCGGTCATCATCACGGGCATCGAAACACACATCTGCGTCACGCAGACGACCATCGACCTTCTGCGCCAGGGCCACAAAGTCTATCTCCTCGCGGACGGCGTGTCGAGCTGCAACGAGCTCGAGCGGCCCATCGCACTCGCCCGGCTGGCCAGGGAAGGTGCCGTCGTCACCACGAGTGAGAGCATCCTGTTCGAGCTGCTCGGCGATGCGAAGCACCCGGATTTCCGCGCCATCAGCGGCCTGGTCAAGGACACCAAAGAGAAAACAAAAGGTGCTGTCGCCTCGCTGGGAAAACTGTAAAACTTGGGTTGATGCACTCAGTGTCCGACCGACGCTAGCCCGGCAATGTCGCACCGAGGGAGCAGTTTGAAGCTTGGACATCTGTCGGGTGCCGATGAGTCGGATTGCGGAGGCGGAAGTGTTAGGTCGTCCCGCGAGCTCTCATCTGTACAGATTTATTGTCCACCTATATATATAGCCTTAGGTACTTGTCAAGCAAACTTCAAGTCCTTCAACCAGTGTACGGCCAGTCATTCTCGCTTCAGAGTTAAGATTTTCGAAAACCTCGTCGCGTTTCCTATTGATTGTGTAAATAAGCAGATAACGCCTCCTGCAGTTCTGATCCGCATCCTGACTTGTATCACAGAACACAGCCCCTACTACGAATACCGCGCAACTAGGAGGGGATCAACGAGGGCGATAGCAAACGCCCACCGTCCAACGGCAACCAAATCTTCTGTGGCCGTCATCGTGGTCGTCGTAGTGTTGAGGTTGGGATCGTTTTCGTTCAGCAGACCGCCTATTTTTGTTGTTGCTGCTGTTCTCGTACCTGGTGGGCACTGGCTTCAAGGCGGGACGAGGAGGAGACAGGAAGGGAAGGGAAATTTCGCGCGGTTCCGTCGTACTCTCTTTCTCCCCCTTTGGATTAATTTCTCATCAACTTGAATAGTACTGAATGATCAATCGGACAGCGTCACTCGATTTGGGTGTCCTCTCCCCACCCTGCCATGGCGGGTGCACGTGAAGTGTCTCGCTTTGCGGATAATCACTGAGAGGTGAGTGAGGGATAGACAAGCCAGCAGACGTACATGTTGTATCTGGTAGGTACCTGGATAGTGTGATCAGGAGTTATATCGTTGTCAATAGGATGAGTCTTGAATACGTCCGACTGTCTTGTGACGGGTGTTTCATAAACGATCAACCAGTGAAAGTTGAAAAGGTGAAGACTAGATATACCACAGCGCAGGCTAATAATTGCCTCTGAACCCAATCGATCGCCATCATCATCGTCAGCACTGGTTGTCGTGACCTCAACGAGATAAGTCCGATTGTGATATTCGACCTTTCGCCGCCACACAAACACGTCACACAAATATATCAAGTGCCCAGAACGCAATGGCACCAGATTTTCATAAAAGGTCCGGGAAATTGATACCGTTTCGAAGATGCTATGGAATTGCAAATATAATGAATAGTAGGGAGATAACAACAAGAAAGATCGTGTGGCAAGAGAGCTCCATCAGGGGTGGTTCGCACGTGATTCGGGGAACAAGGGCCATAACAATTCATTCAGCAGGGTTAATCAATTTGGTACTTTTGCGGGCATGAATGGATGAGGTAATCGTCTTCTAACGATACCAAAGATATGAAACAGCCACTGGAATAACGAGAACTGCAATGACCAGTGCCACACTATCCAACACGTTAGTATATCATGCAGCTTGAAGACAGGAGAAGCACTCACTTTCGACCGCGAAAGCTATCGGACCGAGATTGATTGCTTTGTTTGCTTTCAGGAGAGCTTTTGATGTCACCACTTCGAGCATTGTTCCTGCCATCAGTACCCTCCACAGTGGCAGGTTCTGATTTCAACGGAGAAGGGGTTAGTCCAACAGCACCATTTTCCGTCGCGACCGAATATGGTGGTGGTGCAATATCAGGTAGGGGATCATCCTTGTGTCCATCAAACTGGGAATTTACCTTCTCAGACTTATCCTCAGCGACATCCTTCTTGGGACCTTGTTCCTTTACAAGCTTTTGACCAATATTTGCCGGTACACTCGTTGGGCCCTTGTCTTCACTCACAACCGGCACTGACTTGCTACTCTCCGCATTTAATGAGGAATCAGATATCGTAGCCTTTTCCGTATCAGCGGAGAGTTGTGGTACGACGCCTTTCCTTGTCTCTGGCTCTGAAGCTCGCGAATCCACTGGTTGGACTGTCAGGACGTTATTGATGTTTCCGCAGCCATCATCAGCTACAGAAAAGTCAGTCTTGCGTGGGCTATTATCAGCAGAGGGAGAAAGATTTGAAAAATCACTTACCAGATGGTGAAGATTCATCCAGAACCCACCAGTCACCAGGACCTAGGCGAAACTTGTATTGATAATCGCCAGGTTGTAGATCCGCTTCATATGAAAATTCATTCTCGGAAGCAGGGGTTTCACTCTGATTGACTTTCATCTCGAGAGGATTCCATTTCGTGAAACTTCCAGCAACAAACACTGGAGGCTGAACCTCAGCTTTCCGGAAGGTGATGACGGTAGAGACCATGATGTTGTTGCAGTTGCTCTAAGCAACAAAACGGAGTTCCTGAGGCCGTTTGATAAAATCGAGAAGATTTGCGAAAATCCAGATGATCAGAGAGACAGAACAGAGCGGCGAAGGCTAAAATCGTGATGTTGTTAGTGAAGGTAGGAAAATGGGTGAAAACAACGCAAAGATTGTCTTAGGTGGGGGAAGTAGGATCGCCTCGCGTACGGACATGACTCCTTGCTTCCCCTCGATGACGAGGCGGTCTTTTTCGTGCCAATTAAATGTTCTTTCTGTGATGCTCGGACTGGCAGGAAGCAGTATCAACTGGCATGAGGTGTTCCTGCCTGACGCAGAGAAGGCAAACGGACCAAGCAACAGCGTTCTGAACAGTCAAAGAAAACCTCGTCTCGACAACCAAGGCATCCATCAGGCCTGCAGCATTGAAGAACAAAATACGTCTCTTGAGAATAGGTATTTCAATTGGAAGGTAGAAAGTAACATGCACCGGGGGAATATGCAATCAATCAATGCAAGGCTTACCCTCGAGATATTCGACACAAACAACCCTCTATGATAAAGGGCTGACTATGCGTATTCCCACTATCTAGAACAAGCACGTGTTCACAGCCGAAACCCTACGCGAAAGTCGAATATATGCTGAGACTTTGTTAGCAAGCTGACATGGCATGATATAATACCAAAGATAGCGTACCAGGCAACCCAACGATCTCAAAGAGTTTTGAGGGAGAAAGAGTCACGAGAAAGTCGTGGATGCAAACAATATCGATGAATTGAAGGTTGGCAGCCACGCGGTGGTATGCTGCTTTGCAATTTCCACACTGCTGGGTCAAAGCTTTTGGTTATCACAACAGATATGACAGCGGCAAGCACGATCGACTGGTGAAGCGCTGAGGAGCAAAAATTGAAACACTTTGTCAAAACTGTCACACCACAAACCCAGTTTCTATGGAGGAGAGCTTAGGTGCTCGAAGCCCATGTCTTCGCCATCAGCCAAGGTGGAACAGGGAAGTACCATGCTTGGAAGGCAGTCCAATCCGTACGAATCTTCCGAGGACGCTGACCAGGCCACCCCAAGGTTTTATCGCGTGCATTTCGGATTTCTGGGACCGGCGTAACAAAATGTTGGCTAATCCCCCGCAGAAAGGTAGGAACGAGGTGCTTATTGGCTGAGTGGGTTTGAAAAAAGAGCACATGCGATAAGTGTTAGAGTGGAAGTTCAGATGGGTTTGTTGGGATGTCAGTTGAGGGACGGCATTAGCTTCCGCCAAATGTCCCAGATTCTCCACTCATACTCATCTCTTATCAAATCGCACGCAATGTGCCAGCCTCGATAGCGCCACAGGTGGCGTACTGATATGGTGAAGTTCAGGTTTTGCACACGCGTCGAATCAAGGTTGTCTTTCCACGGCACGGCATCGCCGTTATCATGGGTAGTAGAAACAGTTTGCCGAGCGGAAAGAGATCTACGGAGAAACGATGAGATCGACATGGGTGGTTTTAGTTACTTCGGTAATGGACATCGGGTGAGCGACGTCATCGCAGTCAATATTTTATCAAACAATCGAGTGTAGAGAGTGCTCAACAGAAAGAAATACGCTGCTCTGTGCTGGGGGCTGATGGCCTTGCATGGGATCTGTATACATGCTAGTGACAGCGACTTGTTAATTCATCAGCAACATCGAAGAGTCCGGTGCCAAAATAGGCGGTAAATTAACCATGTGAACTTCAACTAGAGGGCGAAAGAAACCGTGGAATGAAATACCAAGTAGGTCATCCAATATAGAATTCCCCTGCCACAGCAAACGTGTAGATCTCTCGATCCAATGTAATCACCGATTCAACCCGGCAATGACTTTATCAACCGCCTTAATCTGCTCCCTGACCTTGGGACAATAATGTTTGCGCAACAACTCGGCCTCCCAAATCCCGGTGCCCGTGGCCAGCACATTCGAGCCTTCGACACTATCGCTCTCCCCGCGGAACACGCCATCGCCCTTCCTCTCATCACTGTACCACAGCGGCTCGATCTTGCGGGCATGTTTGTCTGCGATCTTGGCCATAAGTGTCAAGACCGACAGGGTCGACTTCTCTGGGAGCTGTAATGTGATGGTTAAGAGACGCCTGTAGAATGCTGCGGTCGTGAGTGTTGGTGGGGGCTGGGAGGGTGTGAGGAGGATGGATGTCAGGACTCGGTTAAGCAAGAGGATGGGCGTGGAGATGTTGACTTTGTTGGCTACTGGGGAAACGGTGTCGTTTGTGTTATGTTTGTGCGGGTCGGCGAGGCGGAGGGTTTTGGGACCCAATTCGACGTCGGCGTCAAGGGCGAGTGGATAGAGTGTGCGGAATGCGTGCGAGGTGAAGAATGACAGATCGAGTTGGAGGCTTGAGGCGGCTTTCGAGGCTTCCTGACCCGAAAGGAGTGTGAAGGCGGTTTGAGTCGAGAGCAGTGTCTCGCGCATGCGATTGCGTGTCGCCAGGGTGTCCATCTCAATTTCACTATCTTCAGTCGGGCCGTCTTCATCCAATTCACCTTTCATGGCGATCTCGGCTTCACCAATGATGTCTTTCAGTGCCTCGAGTAGATCCCCAAAGAAGTCTTGGTTGATGAGATGGGCATACTTTGCGAGTCCTTCCAGAACGGCACCCATCAAATGGGGAATACGTGCTTTGAGAATGCGGAAGTAAGTGACAAACACCATCTTGAGAGTTTCCGACTGCATCTTTTCCTTGGCCTCGTAGTCCACGATGGCATCCGCCTCGCGCATGTCCTTTTCGACAGCCTTACGCTCCCTGGCAAATTTGCGTTCCTTCTTGGATCGATGCTCCCATTTCTCCTTTTTGACTTTTCTGCCGTGTAGTTTTGACATGTCTTCTGGCTTGTCGATCCTGGTGGTCGAACTTTGTGCTGTGAGCTCAGACAGCAGACGCAGGTGGAAGAAAGTGTTCAGGATTTCTTCCCGTACCCGATAATCTCTGACTTTCATCATCTTCGTGATCAGAGTCACAGCCTCCAGTGAGGGCGCCCCATCATCGTCACCAGCAAAGAACTTTTCTAGTACTTCAATGCACTTATTGTAATCAGGGGTAGCCTCTCGCCCAGCCAGCTCACGGACCAGGACATTCAGCAGTTCGGTACGGAAGTTGAAATGGGGCACTGAGAGAAGAAGCGTACAGACACAGCTGATCGCGACGCTACGTAGTGAAGAAGTGCCGTCTTCACCTTTTTTCCCCTTGGCTAGCGACGCAAGGTGCTTGACATAACCGTGATATCCACTCACAAGGGCCTGCTCATACTGCCGTGTCTGACGAACATCTTTTGAGATTTTGTTGCCCAACTCTTCTTCCTCATACGCGCGAATTCGGTAGCCCGGAATGACATCTTTGTAGACTGCCGCTTGGGCAGCTAGAACCAGTCTTTTCACTGGTACAGGCGCTTGCGGCCCAGCCACCAAGGCCAATTTCTTGAACGAGCCTGCGTGTTCTTCAGGATCCTCGTTCAATAACTCGGCTATGCGGGCTATCTCTTCCTTAGCTGCCAACACATGCTGCTTGACTGGGATTTGAGGTACAGATTCTGGCTCAGTGGGAGGTGTCTCAGCGTCCTGTCCACCATTCTCTTCTTCATTTTCGGACCCCGAGCCTAAGAAGCTATCCGAGTCTTCTTCCGGCTCCGGTTGCTTTTCTTGTGTCTTTTGTTGTATCCGCCCATCGGCGGTGATAACAGGTAATCTAGAGGATTCTTTGGTCTTTTTGTTCCTCGATCTTTGTTCGTATTCTTGCTCCAGATCCCAATCAGCTGCTCGGGCGAATAGATCTCCTGATTTAATCGTCTCGGAAGGAACACTGTCATCGATGGGAGGCGTAACTCGCCTGCGCTTTGCAGGACGACCGTGAGGCATTGCTGCTTTATTGCTGGACTGATTAGAGGTGAAGACAGGGAGAATTGTTATAAAAATTTGAGGCCCACAGAGACTGCGGGGAGCCAATTTATCCGGAGTTTATCCGATCACCTCCAATTTTCAATATAATTTTTTTGGAACTGCTTCGATATGACAACCCCGATCAACAATACCACAGCACACCTTGTGAGAAGTGAATAGCTGGGAAGAATTTGTCCTTCTTGCATCATATTACTAGCCAAGATGAGACCACTTACAGACGTAGAGACGCAAACCCTCTTCACCAAATTGGCCAACTACACTGGTCGATCCCTTACTCAATTGATTGCCCCAGATCACTCCTCAGAGAGCGACAAGGACGACCGCCATGTCTTCCGCCTCCACGAGTCCCGAGTCTACTATGTCCGACTGTCCCTTGCAAACCTAGCAACCTCCATCGCCCGCGACAATCTCCTTTCGCTCGGCACCTGCGTGGGGAAATTCACGAAGACAGGCAAGTTCCGGTTACACATTACCGCCCTCGACGTGATCGCGCCGCACGCCCGCTACAAGTTGTGGGTCAAACCGAACGGTGAGATGCCATTTTTGTACGGTGGGAATGTCGTCAAGGCACATGTTGGCAGGTGGAGTGAAGACAGTCCTGAACACTCTGGCGTTGTCATCCTCTCCATGGATGATACACCTCTCGGGTTTGGAGTGACGGCTAGGTCAACTGCAGAGGCAAGAAAGTTGGATCCCACTGCGGTGGTGGCATTTCGCCAGGGTGATGTCGGCGAATATTTGAGAGAAGAAGATACTCTATTCACTACCTGAGTGGTTTCGCGCACTTTTGCCAACCAAAGTCCTGGTATTGCCCAGCGACACTGTTTCATCAACAACAACCGAACCCGCTCAGTCTAAGATCGAAGTCTCTCTTCGACGGCAAAGGACCATAAGAAAGGACTGAGGTGGAGAGAGGTGATCGAGTGATGTTGTACACCGTCCGGTCGCAAGAAGATCCGCAATTTACTTGGACACCAACCGTGGAGGACCCCTTCACGATAGCGTTATCTTCGTACAATATTCGACAGGGGGCGAGTTATCGCCTCTCACAACATTCACTTGGCGACATTATCTCAACAAATGTCGTCAGACCAGCTCTTAAGTTTCCTTCATCAGAAGATCATCCCATGGCAATGCATAGCCGCTCAGCTGCAGCTCTATGCATCCTGTTCCCATTGTATGATCACAATCATATGCTCGGCAAGGCACCATTCGGTGCGATGACCAGCCCGCCTCAAGATCAGCGGCACTCTCAGAGTATCATCACGAGGCTATAGGTTAGGATGGGTTCCAAAAAAAACCACCAAAAAAACCAAAAACGCTTTGGTTCTGAACGCGATGGTCATATGGTCGTTCGTGGTTTATTATTCGAAGCAGAAAGGTGCCACCAGCCTAGGCGGACGACTTTATGGTCGATCCCCTACATATCTTACACGACCAATTGATTGAGACACACCATCCCTTCCACGAAAAGCTGTCAGATATCAATTAGGTGCTTGTGCGGCCGTCCAACATATAAATAAAGTGGACCTAGGAAAGGGTGAGGTAGGAGGAAGATTCTCTATTAATTCAAGTTCCCATACAAGTAAAATGATACCCGAATCACCTGTACTGTTGACACAAAAGAGAAAAAAATGAAATCCATCGGCCCACCCCGACCCAGGTTCCTCCAAGAATCTGTTCCCCAGATATCCAACCCACACAAGGTCGGCCTTCTCTATTCGCTAATATATCGAGAATTCTCCTTGCCTGTATTCTTCCTCTTATCCCAAGCATCATAATGGCCCTTCTGATCGCTAGCCCATGACCAGTTCTTCTCATCGTCAGTCGAGTCACTCACCCTCCGACGATGACGAACAAGAGCGTCCTTTGCTGCCTTTCCACTGTTCTCATCATCAGTCGTGCTCGTCCCCCTCCTCCTCCTGCTCCTCCTCCGTAGAACAGCGTCCCCTGCAGCCCACCCCGTGCTCTCCTCACTCCGGGACCGCCTTTCTCTCTCAGACTCCTCGGTAATGGTATCATCCTTGGCCTTTGATGCCCCGGCACCACGGCTAGCAGAGCCTTTGGTGGGCATTTCTTCTTCTCCACTGTCCTCGCGGTGCCGTTCACGAGAGTTTGCAGATACGGTGGTGGTGGTGGTGCCTTTCTTTTTCTTTTTCTTCTGTTTCTTGTCTTTGGACGTCGTGCCCCAAGACGCGCCCCACCCGTCATCTGCAACAGCTTTGGATTTTGCCGTCGTCGACCAATCCCACTGATTATGATCCTTGTTCCCTTTGTTCTCAGTAGGAGCTGCAGTAGTGCCATGATTGGCATTCTTGCCATTTAACCCGAAAGTCCACGCTGATGCTTCGAAGGCTTTTGGAGGCTCGCTGGGTTGCTGACGTTGGGTGAATTCGTCTTCAACTTCAACAAAAAGTGGCTCCGGTTCCTCGTGTATCTCATAGATCCGGTCCTCAATGGGCCTGTTGGCGATATCGTCATCATCAACTGTATCTTCCACATAGGTTGATCTTTCCCGGTACGGTCCCGCCTTTTCAGCCTCATGTTTCAATGGTCCTGGCTTCTGTTCCTCGGTCGTCTTTGTAGCCGTGTTTTCTGTGGTCGTTTCCATGTTGGAGGGCATTCCCCCCGTGATCTTGGCCAATTGCATGGCAGTGATATCCTTGTCACTTTGAAGCTCTTGCTCTCCATCATCTACATCCTCCATTGCCACTCCCTGGAAACCATATGGCCTTGGTGGGCGTGATGATATATACTCTCTTTCTCGATACACTGGTGAGAGGCTTCGTTGGCCTCGTGCATAAGCGCCTCGAACAATTGTGACGTCTCCATATGGGTCATCCTCCAACGGTGGGCTTCTCGAACGTGGTAGCCTAATCTCGTCGAATCTGTCTCGCTCGCGGGATTCGTAATGCCGAGAATCTTTGTTGCCTCCCCGCATGGCGAAACCCTCGTATGAGCCATCAGAGAAGGAGCCGCGTGATCGCGACCTTCGGCGTCGCACGTCGGCGTCTATCTCATAAAGACGTGACCGAGACCGACTTCCGCCAGGTGCGAAGGGGTTGGTGATTGCCGTCTCACGAGCCTGTGCATATCTTGATCGTTGATCAGCTTCAAAGCCATAACTCCCGTGTGGTTGCGCGCCCGAAGGGGCCATGTGCCGACTCCTTTGCCGTGACAGGCTCGCTCGGGGGCCTACAGTCCATTCTCTTTCCGCCGCATAGTCGTCATTGCGTACATGGTTATTGATAAGTATAGGGGCTGGGGGGCCATACGCTGCTGGCGTGAAACGGGATGGGTGCACGATCTGTCTACTCGATTGTGGATACCCGTAATCGTGGACAGGAGAGGGAAGCCGCACTGCTTCATAATCGTCAAACGAATTATCGCGTTCCCTTGAGGAAGGCAGAACATATGACCTGTTCCGTTGCATATCAAAACGGGTTTCCTTGGGCCGGGCCAGGGTAGCATGACGGCCTGGCAGCATTTCGTGTCGCAAAGGCAAGAGTTCAACTCGTTTGTGTGGAGTATTCATGCCCTCCAGAGAGTCTCTAACGAAATCTCCACGCAGGCCATTGAACCCAATGTCGTCACTTTGGACAAATCTGAAACATAAAAAGCGGCCTCGGATCAAGTTGGAAGCCGGGAAATTCTGCTGCTTGATGTATCGTCTGGCCGATGTTCTTTCAGCGGCTTGCATGGACTGGAAATCTGTCGAATGTTAGAAAAGAGACATAGCAAGCCATAAGAATTGAATGCTTTACCTTGATCGTATATGATGACGGCAATAGACCTGTACTTCTGATCGATGAGAGAGTCAAGCTCTGAACCCTTCACCAATTCTTGTATGACATAATCTGAATCCTGTGATGGTCAATACCAATCGCAAAGTCGCGGGGATAGTGGTTCAAAATCGTACAGTTTCAATGTATTCGTATCCGCCATCCAACAATGACGAAGCATCGACCGTAACAATAGGAAGGATGGTAGAGTAGCCACCATCAATCATGAAGACCTCAATGATGATGGTTGCTTGTTTCTGAGAAGGAGTTCGTTCATCAGGAGTTGTATCAGACCTATCTGCCGGATGTCCAGTACTCTGTACTGTCTCTGGGTCCCGGATGTCGTTATCGACGTCTTCATTGATGTAAAGCTCAATATTTGGTCTCCGTGGCCCAGGCAGGGGAGCTGAGGGAAGTATAGGGAGGATCCTGCCGCCATCCTCCCCCTCATTAAGCCAGGTTTTATACTTTTGATCGCTGTGAAATGGCACCCGCACGAGTATCATCTGTACCAGTGAGTCCTTGCTAGGTCGACGTAGCAAGAATGGCGACCTCGTTTGTTTACTCTGATGCAAAGAGATCATGCTCCATTTGTGTTTCGCGTCCCGTTGTTTCTCTTCAAAAACATCATTAATTTGCTTCCTATACCATAAGTGTAGTTGAGCGTAGCGTTCCCACATGAGTTGGCTGCTCTTCTTGTAAGTCTTACTGGCGATGAAGTCATCTAGCCAGTCTTCGGCTAAGGGCGTACAGAAGCGTGATTGAGATCCTTGATCGATACACCATGCTTCTAGAACAGGTCTTTCGAGAGGTTTCTCCATACTCGGTGCCGGTTTTAGTCGCGATGGAGTTGACAATGGCTGCGAATACCTTTCCCTCTGGTTCCGTACACCTTGAGCTTGTTGGCTGCGCAACGTATTGTTGTTATGACCGCCATTGTCCTGAGATATCAACGCAACTGGACCGTTCGGGGCCCCCGGGGTATGTGCGACACCCACATTCATATCCCGGCCTGGACCAGCTAGCATCAATGGGGCGTTGCGCATGATTCTATCGATCTCGTCCTCAGCAACATTGGCAGCCTGGAGTCTCTGTCGAAGATCATGGTCTTTTTCCTGCTGTTTATATGCAAGTTCGGCGGCTTCCAAGCGTTTCATTTCTTCGTACTGCTTGATAGCCTTCTCGGCAATCAATTTTTCTTTAGCAGCTTCTTCTTCTTGTCTCTTCATCTTCTCAAGTTGCAGCTGTTGAAGTCTCAGTTCTTCCGCTTTCCTTTGAGCCTCGGCGTGCTTATTCTCTGCCCACTCGATATACTGCTTGAGATGTTCTGCAGATACATCGTCCTGAATCACACTGCTTTGTTTGTGAACCGGGTACCGAGCATTGTCTTGGATCAAACTGCTCTGTCTTTGACGTGAGTGACGAGGCCCGGGATCATGTGAAGGTACAGCATAAGGTGGCGGAAGAGCCTGTAAGCCTATCAAAGGTTGCGGACCAGACGTATTGTTATGTTGTCGAGCGACGGCCTTCTCAAATTCAAGATTTGCCCATTTCAGAGTTCTCGTCCAGGAAGGGATCTCCGACAAGGCCTGTTTCTTCTCCGCGTCGGTATCTCTACCAAGGGTGAGTACGAGTAAGAGAGGGACACGAGTGGAAGCTTACCCAGTCAATGCAATCAAAGATAAATAAGTCAGGGTCAAGTCTGCTTTGATACGCGAAACCTCGAGCTGCGAGATTTCTAACCTGGGCTTTAGAAAGGCAAAGCGAATCTTTTCGAAACACGAGAGCTCAATTTCATCGGAGCTGACAGTATTGGGATTCATTGGTTTGTTCTTCTTCTTGAGCATGACACGAATCTCGACAATGGCGTCGCTATACCGGTTTGCGAGGCCAGCAGCTTCCAGGACGCCCTTGCTTCCGTACAGCCTTCCTTTCTTCGCAAGATCACCCAGGCGTTCCATCGCCAACGAGGTGCTCTCGATCTCAGCACCCATTCGGGTGAGTGTTTGTCGGGCATCTTTGTAATCTCCGATCAAAGTATTCAGTGTTTTGGCGAGGGAGAATCCTAGTTGAGCAACGCCAACGATGGCGCTCGCCTCTCCAATGCCCGCCATCGCTCCTGAGGAATCAGCTGGAATTGACCTTCATTGAGCTACGGGGTGCGCCGTGGAAAAGGGAAATAAGATCTATACATGACTTCGATGCTACAAAAGACACATGAGAAAAGAATATTCATATCTTGACGAGTGGTGCAATCTGCCAGAAAGTCAGCCTCACGGAGCTAACCAAGGCTGTTACATTTGAGCTGCAGCAGTGGGCGGCGCAGGGTCGTTTGAGTCCTCGGCCCCCCAGCGTTCAGTACCAACCCTGTCTCAAGTACGACTCATGAGTACAGGGACGAGATGTCCGTAAGCTGTGAAGATAACATCTGTCCCGAGAGTTCGCATAATTGGTAGCGACTAACTTGATATTCACCTCCACATGATCTTCAATGTTAGGTGTCAGGTATGCCTTAGGTAGGTACCTAGGTAGGTAGGCAGGTCCCTCGGGTAGTTAGAGGCGCTTCTCTTTGGGGGACTCTAAGGCCCAAGACGCCTGGGGCTGCCTTAGTCTTTAAGCAGAAAGGACCCCCGAATACGAGTACGTGGGGCCCACTGAGGCCTGATCCGGTCGGAGTCATAGCCTGAGGGCACCCCAAGACTCCCAAGATCATATCTCTGTTACCGACATGGTTTCTCTGAGGCACCATCAGCGACAGTACCTCATAAGTCCTGATTCAAACCTCTTCCAAGGAAATTCTGCTAGTTGCACTACCAGAACTTATCGACCTTCAAACCTCAATTCTGATATGCACATCTTAGCGTTCAAGGCTGCATGAACCCGTGGAACCTGCAAGGCGAGAAACGCTGATGCCGCGTCATGATTGGAGCACCCATCGTGGCGCAAGCGCCGTGACCGACACTGCCCATCAAGTTGATTCCCGGGCAGCCTCATATCCATTACCATCATGATCCTGTCCAGGCTACCAGGCAAACGCTTGATTCCTCAATTGCACCTTGTGACATATAGGAGACCTTCTCCCAGAGTTGCTGCTTTGTAAGTTCGCAGTGAGATACTAAATCGATGAGAAGGACAAGATGTTGAGGAATTCACCACATCCTCATCCCGCCTTCTAAATCCAGATCCAAGTGAGGCCAGCCAGATACAATGCCCTTCTTCACTCCTATCAAACGCCGCCGACATGCCAAACCAGCACCGTCCATGAACCTGGATGCGTCTACTTCCACACCCTATCCTCTCTATCCCGCCCATGCCCCTCAACCCCCTCCATACCAACATCAATGGCCATCGCAGTCTCGTCCTTATCTGGCCTCCACACACTCTCTCCCTCCAACGGGACATCAGAATGCCTCACAGCCGCTGTACACCTCAAATTGGTCGCCTCCAGAGGCCCAACTTCAGCCGATTCAGCAGTCCATTCCTGTCTACAGTCATTCTGTTCCGCCGGCGACTGCATTTGATCTGCATGCGAGAATTGGGGACAAACTCGACGATGTCATCTCATTGATGGACCAGGGCGAGTTCTCTGGTAACGAGCGAGAGCTCGCCATCACCTTACCTGATTCTCCAGTCCTTGCGTATTCCCAACCACGTACTCATGATCGGGATGGGAGGAGGGCAAATCATCAAGCCAACAACAAGAGAACAAACAATAAAAAACCGCAGCAATCGAAGCAATCGAATCAAGTTAATGTCTTTGATAAACTTCAATACTATATGAACTCTCGTTTGCCTGCGTCTTTACCACCTCTACGAGTCTACATGCCCACATATCCTCTCTTATGTCTGGCTGCTCAATACTCTGCCAGTGCCTATTATACCCCGCAATCGTCATCAGAGCGCAAGGATTATGTCTCTGCAGACGGTCGGCTGGGTACAAAGGCAATGGTCATCAAATCGGTCCCATGTGATGACAAAAAGACAATTGTCTTCGCAATTCGTGGCACAAGTATGCTCAGCATTCGCGACTGGGGCATCAATCTACAGACTGGCCCAGTATCAGCTCGAGGATTTCTTGACGACGAGGGTAATCTTTGTCATTCGGGTTTTCTCAAGGTCGCAAAAGCCATGGTCAAACCCATTGCATCCAGACTCCGAACGCTACTGGAGGAGAATCCGAATCGGACAAGCTGCTCTCTCCTGATCACTGGTCATAGTGCAGGCGGTGCAGTTGCCAGTTTACTCTACGCCCATATGTTGTCCGAGTCTGTTCAATCTGAACTCAACATCCTGACTGGTTGTTTCAAGCGAGTACACTGTATAACCTTCGGTGCCCCTCCAGTTACTCTCCTACCACTACAGAAACCAGACACTGCCGATGGAAGATTGAAGAAGTGTCTCTTCCACTCGTTTATCAATGAAGGCGACCCGGTTGTGCGTGCGGAACGTGCCTATGTTAAAAGCCTTGTCGATCTGCTCTCGCAACCTGTCCCCTCGGCTGACAGCCTTGCGCCGCTGCCCTCGAAACCTCCAAAGGCCTTGAAGTCCTCGACCTCTGCACTTAATCTCCTCAGTGCTTCCGTATCACGCCTAGATCTTTCACTGAATCATGCAAAGAAAACCCCTCTTCATAAGCTTTCATGCTCTAATCTCCATCTTCCCAACGGTGTGGCTTCCAATAAAATCTGGTGGGAACCTCCTCCTGCAACACTGTCCAATGCCGGACGATTGGTAGTTTTACGCGTTCCCACGGGCGGAAGAACCGCGGACGTGACGGCCAGCATCGTCAAAGATGATCAACTACGGCAAGTCATCTTTGGAGATCCTCTCATGCACGCCATGGACGTGTACGCCACTCGCATCGAGGCTTTAGCTGTGCGTGCTGTCACTGGCCGAGGTGGACAACATTGAGTTCACACAATTTATTCGAACGTACAAGACTATGGATTGACAACTCCAATTTTACGTTTCACAGATTTATGATTCCATTATATGACACGACCACAGGACACGGAGTTCAGGAGTTCGGTTTGAAATTTCTCGTTTGATACCCATGACCCGAGGCTTCTTCCATAGTATCATCTGTGTGATGTTATCTTTCATGTTTGATCCAGGCCACAGTATGGAGATGTCCTCTCCCCAAGGGGGAATGAAAACAGGATGCCTGGGTTTGACCCACGCAAGGAAACAGCAAACCAAGATATAGTATTAATAGTTCCTACAGGTGAATGACAAAGACGGTACATACAACTCATCACTTTCTTTCGCGCCGAATCAAGCATGCTTCTAGAATCAATCGAAAAAGGGGATTCTCTGGCCCAGTACGGAGTATTGATCGGCTACTTTTGAGGGACATAGAGTTCTACGCCCCAGATCCGGCTATTTAACGTTCAGCGTACTTGAATAGACCCCTGTAAACTTAGTGTACGACATATTTCTGATAAAGTGTATTTTGCCTTTTTTATATCTCAGATGCAATTTCGTAAGTGTTTGGTCTTGAGTGTCCTCCGTCTCGCTTGAGACTGGCAATACAAATAAGCCCCGATATTCATAAAAAAATATGTGATCAGCGACTCATCTTGCTGGTCTGCTTTCGCTTTCCGTAATGTGAACGAGCTGAGCTTTACTCCAACTTCCCCAAAACTCGCACCTGTCTGGACACACGAGCCCCGACGCCGAACAAACTCGGACCTGGATACGAGGCCCCTCATCACCCGTCGGAGGATTTCAAAAGGGGCACGCCTACGCAAGTAAGCAGGCGCAAAGGCGGCCGTGTGTTCGATTGCCAGCCCTCCTGCAAGCCACTCAGCGGAAAGCGCTGTGATTTGATGTGCATCGATCCTCCTAAAACGCCGATCGCTGCGGCAGAAAACCCGAAATCCCAATTCCGAGGAGGCTGACGAGGACGAGAACCCCAGTTTCATCAAGGAGCCATCGTGATCCATGATCGCAGGACTATTAGGTGGGGTTTTACCGCTCTTCGATATGCGTTTCAGCGGTCTTGCACGGCGGGATCGGGGGCCTTTGACATCCGTGTCATCATGGATGTTCATTCCCCATTCCGTGCCCATCTCCACATGGTCGAGCGCAGCAGATCGCGCAGAGTTGGAGGCTTGGTGCTCCTCGGCTGCTCCCATCTTCTCCCATCCCACATGAAATTCGGATGTCCTGCATAGGCTATGACCTCATTTGCTGGCGATGTGCCGTCCGTCTTGGGACGTGGACACGGCACGATACGTACGAGAACATATGAACATACACATCGTCTGAAAGTGATCTCCTCAGTGACAGAGGCTTTGCCGAGCAACGGTAGTGTACGGTACCTCGTACACTTAGGCCTGAATAGGTTTGTGTTGCACGGCCTGTAGGCTGTGGCACTCTTGGTCTGTGCCTTCCGACCTGGGGCCAGAGTAGTTTTGAGAGCCTCGTGTCGAGGATGCTCGGCGGAATTGATCCGAAACCGTTGCTGAATATTTGGTGCTGAGGGCGGCATCTGTGCTTCCTTGTGTACGGCTCGTCGGATACGGGTCCCGTCCTGTCATGGTCTGAATTCAGACAACAGTGAGGGATTATTGGCTGGGACGGGAGATTGAACTAGAGGAGGAATGGTTTACGAATTCTTGATATCCATATTATTTTGATGTTGCACGTGCTCGGGCATGACGCTGCATCGGAATTTCTGGAAAGATCCATTTGTGCACCAGAGCTCAGGCACTCCAACTGTCGATCTTCCAGGTATCGCCTTTAGTGGACTCATGCATTTGACTCTTTTGGGTTGCTCAAGGCTAGATTGGCTTGGGACTCGCTAAACTGTACATCAACTCCATCAACGATGATTTCGCTTCGAAGACAACCATGAAAATCGTTTTTAGACATATTGACACCTCGGCTGGGGGACCCGTTTCCATGCCGGTGCAGATAGAACGCAGAACTCGTGCAGGATGAATGCTGCCCAATGAGGAGTCTTGAAGATGTTGAGAAAAGAGCAAAAGAATATTAGTGTGCTGGCTGGTAAGAATGGTATTTACGGTGCCAATTGTGATTCGCAACTGCCCGAAGCCTAGTCATCCATCTTTAAGCACCAACAAATCTTGTCCTCCGGAAGCCTGGAGGTCCCCATGCGCTCGTCCTTGGATTTCGGTTTAGTAACCGTTGTCTATAATCATGTAAACCTGTCGTCTGCCGTGACGGCGCAGGCATGGTCTTTCTTGGCCGTGCTTGGCGACCGCTCATGTGCTTGGAGCAAGATTCTTGTCGGCGTAAGGGTAAGGATATGTCCATGGCCGAGTTTTTCCGTTGGAGGTCTGTAAACGCTGAATTTGTGGTCTCGCCATTGTTGTCGAGGGAGGTGTCTTCAGGTACTGTGACATATGAATTGTTTGTCAAGGTGGCCGAGCCGGCTTCGGTATGGGATCCACTTTCCGTGTCATCAAGCGCTGTGGCGTTTCCAATGTCGACTGTGTTCAGTCCGGAGATCTTGGATTCATGTTTCGTAGGCAGTGGCACCTTGAAGTCAGAGTGGGACAATATTGCTGCTGATTCCGTCCCTGTCCTTCCGTCCTGCTCAGGTAAGATAGGCGCTATGCTAACGGCAGTAGTTTGTTGAGGGTTTGGCCGATCTCTAGATTCAATTCCGGTTTGCAAAATCGAGAAATTTTCATCAGTCGTGGCAGTGAGTGATGTATTGGCATCCGGCTCAGGGACTTCGGATTCGGGATTGTGCAGATCAAGGATCGCCTGGTCCTTGACTACTGCAATCTGTTTTGTGTTCGCTACCACGTTGTAAGGATCAGGGAGTATTTGATCCGCCTCCACGTCAATATTAGCAGTAAGCTTGTCTTCAGGCACAAGACCCCGAACTGCAGTGGGAGTAACCACATTCGACTCGTGGTCTGGCAATTTTTTGCTCTCAAAAACAACCTCTTCTAGACGTCTTCGCTTCCGGCCTGTGGACAACCGATTGGCGGCCTTTCTCGAAACAGTAGTCACAACTTCCGGAGCAGCGTCACTTTCGTCAGACGCTTCAGGGTCTGGAAATTCTGCTGGGGTCTGGAATATTTCCGTATCTGCTTTATTTTCAGGGGTAGCAGGTTCCTCAGGTTCCTCGGAACGAAACCGCTTGTGCGTACCAGAGGAAATCGCGGATTCTGCTGGTGGTGAAAATTTGAGCCTTTCAGGCAAAGATGTGCTTTCAACGTCATCTTTGACGACTACCGGTTCCAGGGCCGTCAATTCAGAAGTGATGGTGGGAACCCCTTGAGTTGTTGGCAAAGCAGGTTGAATAGGCTCGTCTGGGGCTAGTTGTTGCGGAAATTGCGGAGCCTCGTGACCGGCTGTGGTCCCAATCTTTGGATCCCCAGAGGACGAGTTGGGGAGAATGTCATGGGAATTACCGGTGAGTGAACTGGGAGAAACTCTAGCCTTATTAACCACTGTTCGTATCTCGCTGGAATCTTCACTTGTTATGTTATTCGGTAGAGGTGTTGAGCGTGTTATGCGTGTGATAGATGGCGAAGCTGCCGTTCTAGCAGTTGATCGTGAGGCGGATGGCACCAGAATCTCAATGTTACTGGTAGGCGCTGAGACTGGTGTCGAAAGGCCTTTGTCCTGAGATCTTGTGGTTACCATAATGGAAAAATTTCTCACCACAGTATGAGCTGGCGTTTCTGGAAAACCCGTCCCAGCCCTGAAACTTAGAAGCAACGAGCAGCAGTGGTAAATACAGCTGACCAATTCCTAAGCCAACGAGATTGATCACTATCCTGCGTGACTAGCTCAGGTGGGTAGCACAGAATATCTGATTGAATCAACTTGATATCTGTACTGGCATGTCGACTGAAGAGACTTTCGAGCCAATGGAGAAATCGGTAATGGCGGTAAAGATCTGATCTTATCTTATCTTTCTCTGTCGCCAAACTTATTCTCAGTGAGTCAACCCCATAAATACTTAGCTACACTAGTGGACCGCTAGCACTAGTATGGAACTACCACCGGAGACTACGTCATAGGACAGCTCCTTCGGAAAGTGCTTTCTATTGAGGTGTTGACCGAATACGCGACTTTTGACCACCTGGGCAGGAAACTGGGGCCGCCAAGGTTCTGTGAACACCGCGCGGAGAGTCGCCTTTGCAATATTCTGCTTCTTCTCGTACTAGTAGCGCGAAGGATGATCTTGACAACATCTTCATGAAAGTGACATAAATCGTCACTTGACGTGTCAACTGGTTTCTACGCACTGTCTGCTACCAAGGAAGAGCTCTTGGGTTGCCTACCAATAGCCAGTCAATAGTGAAATCATCGGTCGCTCATCCTGGCCAAGATGAGTTCTATCGCCAGAGTTAGATCTCTTGATCACCTTGTTCTGACAGTTCGAGATCTGGACGCTACAGTTAAATTCTACGAGAGCGTTCTGGGCATGCAGCACAGTTCTTTTTCATCACCAAAAGACCCCTCAATTACCAGGCATGCGCTCAAGTTTGGAGTGCAGAAGATCAATCTGCATGTTAGTGGACACGAATTCGAGCCAAAGGCGGGGACTGTGCAGCCAGGCAGTGGGGATATCTGCTTCCTTGCTGAGGACAATGTAGACGATATCCTTGTCCGTCTTCATGAGAAGGGGATCCAGGTTCTTGAAGGGGGGCGTGTGGTTGAAAGAACAGGTGCACAAGGTAGACTACGGAGTGTCTACGTTCGTGACCCTGATGGCAATCTGATTGAGTAAGATGAACCCATCTCGATGTCCCATGCAACACAAAAGTCCCATGGTGACGTGGCTGGGCCTATTTCAGAGTTTTGGAAGTTGGCTGACCGTCGTGGCCCCGAGGTCAATAGGTTGTCAAATCTGGTAGCAAGCGAAGACGCGTGATTATCGCCTACCAACCGACCCTCATCTTGGCTGTTCTTAACTAGACAGCATCGAGACCGGAGGCATAATGGTTTCGGTTACGAGGAACATTTCTCGTGTCGATCTGGAACTGATATTGCCATGACCATATCCCAATAGAAAATGTATGGCGTCCTACCTTCCATTCTTCAAACTTGAAACCACTCTAGTTGTGGCCTTTCGCACTATATTGTTAGTCTGCGTACCTCGAACCTGGTTGAGTCTCGTGAGCTAGCTCCGAGCATCTGAGGCACTAAAAGTTCCAACACTTGGGAGCAATGAGCACCTTCGGAATATGAGTAACAGAGATAGGAAGCTGATGTAAGTCACGATGTTAGTTCCTCGGACGGACAGAATAAGCAAGCCAAAATGAAGAAACGCTGCATGACGATCTACAGAGTGAAACCTGCTGTTTTGCTTGTTTTGTAGGGCCCCCGTGCGAATGGCCTTGTATTACTGAAAGTTTATATGTATTAGAGTTCACAGGCTGGTGAAGTCTTGAAGACAGAGGATCCGCTATCGAGTTAAACGAGGAGAGCTAAGAGACATCGGGCTACTCCTTTGTAGCATTGTTGCTCACGGAAATAGCATCACAGGTTCTAGACTCGAGGTCCAAATCTCATAGACGAAACCTACTGGTACGGATACTTGTAGGGCATCACGGTGGATTCTCCATAAGCAGCAGAAGTCACTGGCTCACAGCTGATGAACCGAGGACAAGCACGGCTGTGGCTGAAGTCGCTTTCGACTACGTCTAAATGTTAGATAGATCAGCTGCCTGGTTCCGAGCGTCTCAGCGTCAACGCACCGTTACGGGGAAGGGATACCTTCGAATTGCATTGTGACCCAGGTTGGAAATAGATAGCTGTCAGTAGGCCAATCAGAGAGTCCAGACAACCTTATGGCGTAAGTCTGCGGCCTTCGCCAGGTGATAAGCGTTGTCATATCACATTACAACGGTGTCGCGGTGCCTAGAAACCTTGCTCATGCCCCGCAAATTTGAAGCCTCTTGACTCAGGCTGTGTCTAGTTACTTGCAGGCTCATAGCAGGATGCAATTTGCGCACGACTCAAATCATGCTGCTTCACTCGCTGTGAGAGGTGGTAGACTACTCGGTAGTTTCGCTCTCCAAGCCAATTCCAGTTGCAAGCATGACCCTTCCCTCCCCTCCGAAGTAGAAATCAAGAAAATCCTCAGCAGTCTAACAGCGGGATGTATACTAAGCTTCGGTCTCAGTTAGAGAGGTAGGAGAGGTACATGGTGTGTTAAGTAGGCAGATCAGTGGGGGAAGCTCAGTACAAGTCAACGACTGTATTTTACGTCAAGCCGATGGAGGCGACTTCAAACATGGACGGCCCTCGACACATGGACGTTTGCAACTAGCCAGGAGGCATCCAGCTTCAGGAGTCGAACTATGTGGAAGTAGTCCGTGGGATCTCGCTTGGATGACATGCGTGGAAAGGCCTTTTTGATATTTTAGGTGGTTGCTGAGAGCCTGAGACGGAATACCGAGTACTCTGTACGGAATAGCCTGCACGCGCAACAGCCACCAGGACTCGGCTCTTTAGACCAGTGGAAAGATTCCTCGAGTGTTCAGCAAGCCACTGAAGACCTTAAGTACTAGTAGCTTGCGGGCGCGTACCAAGTGGGAGACAAACTAGGAGGCCCCTGGGCCCCTTGGCCTGAGTAATAAGAGGCCCGAGTCCGAGGCTCCCATGACTTGGCTCATGGGCGTCATTGCTCAACTGTATGCCACATTGGGGAGTCAGTTGCGCGGTACTGTGCCCAAGAGTCCCGGTGGCCTCGGAACAAGAAGCTAGCACACTTGGGTAGTCTTAATATTGTACGCCTTGCTGGATTGCATCTAGTCGGGGCGTCGGAAGCGATAACCGAGATAATGCAAGAGAAATCTTAATGCTCCATCCATTGTTGCCAACCCTTGAGACCTACCAACACTATCCCCCAATGCCCCCGTTGTACGGGTACCTCGTACCATTCTTTTGCAAGCTGCAACGCCGGTTTCACGGCACCTACGTCAATGTTTTGCTTAATGAGGTTGCTGTTGCTGCTGCTGCTAAAGGATGTTGGTCCAATCTGCACCTCCGAGGTACCAATGACTCGGAGTCGTACCGATCAATGCCATCGAAAATACGACGCACCATTCTGACTCCAATGAATGCCCATGCGATACGTACTGATTCCCCAAAGTGTTTACGAATCTCTCGTGAGGTTGCACTCAGGATTTCGGCTTCTCCTATCAAGTCTACGGTGGTACGGAGTGGGGTCGTGAGACGTCAGATAGGTTGTGAGCATGCATCAGATCTTCTTTGTTCGGTGCATAGTGAGCCAGAGGTGTTTGCTCTTTTCTATGTTGTGCAAGATATATACCTAGTATATATAGGGCATTCTACCGAAGCACCTCTTTGGCACACCGAATCAATTGCTTGTGATCAAGGACGACGTTGGGCATCTATCTGTATTTTTTGGTTCAAGGGGACTAGCCCAAGGCACACCCGGGAGCGTTCGTTGGCCAGCTAACTATCTGTTGGTTGCTGGTTAGGTTGCTACTCAGTGATGATCCTCGCCCTCTATTCTCCTCGTGCATTAGATAGCGGTAGGGGCATTCAACCAGTCGGTAAAGACAAACAACATTAAACTTCAGTGTGTTTGTGATGGAGTACATGATACATCAAGTATCAACAAGTCATTCGCTTTGCGATGTGCGAAAAGTTGGAAATACCTGATTATAAGCCCCTTAGTCATCCGCGTCTCACCCAAGCGCATAGCCCCCATGGTCGACAGATGCATTCGTCAGTGTGCTCCGCACAGGTCTGGTCGCTGGGCATGCCGATCGCCCAGAATCAACAATGCTGGATCGTCGTCAACAAAGCCGCTAGGCTCATACGTTAGGAGTTTACCTTTCAAGGTGGAACAGTGACGAATTGCCCAAGAATCCTCGAGCTTCGCCTTGAAATGTTCTCGACCAAGGAGCACTCGTTTCGAGTCCGCTTCTCCTATGATATTATCCACACCCACCGGGAATCTACTAGTACTTCATAGGTAACACTTGAGGCTAACCACCACTCGCTATAATTCCTTTCACTCACTACTCCATATGTGTCAATCTGACATGTCGAGGTGAGCTAGTGATGCAATCCAGGTAGCCTTCCAATGCAAAGGGATTGCAAACAATGCCAAGTCGGTGTGATGAAATGGAGCCTTTTCACGGTCAGGGCATCCGTGCTTTGGAGTTAGCACACGCCTGGCACGAGCGGCAACAGGACGACTCCATAGTAACATCTATCCCCCGATCGCTTGCCCATTCCCCGTCGACACCGACCCCGTGGCCGTGGCCCTGGACCTGGACCGCGTCAGGGAATTAGGGGATCTGCAAGCTCGACAAAACCTTAAAAACCTCCGAGCCTGATTGCTGACTCTTGGAAACCCTTTACGAGGTGGCCATGGTGGGCGCATGGACCTGAGCCAGGCAGTTAGAACATCAATACGAGGTGTTCCGTAAACCGTGCTCGCATCTCCCCCTCAGGCATGCTGACAGCCTTAGGCCCCTTGGGGTCTTCACAAAAGTTAGGTTGTGAGTATCCGTTTCCGGCTGCGTTCAAGGTTTTCCCTGCCCTTACGGAATCCTGAGGAGTTGAAATCCGTACCGTGACTCGTGGGTCCTTTGACACTGGATCACTCGGTTCAGCCACCGCCCTCGGACAGAGCAGCTCCTACGCTGGCCGCTCAAGAGGGAGTTCAGTTAAGGACTCAGGAGCTGCCTTTCACACATTTAAGCTTCGACTTGCCCAGTGCCCTTGTTCGAATGGGTGTTGACGATCTCCACGGCTAATCGAAAGCATCCCCAAGCAGCACCGTGCAATCCCTGGCCTGTGAATCTCTGGTAGTGTTCACGGCTTCTCAAATGCCGTACCCGCGAGTACTTCGTACCACTCACTGGCGCTTTTTGCAGCCTTTTCTCACCCTTCGTACGCTGCTTCATGAAGGCACTGCACTTTAGCTTTCTGGGTATGTCGTTGAGGCGTTTGTTTACAGGCCTTGACGGCAGACTCGTTCCGGTCTCAACCACCGTCTTCAAGGTTCTCGTTGCCAAATCTGCTCCACTCTTCACAGATAGTCCTCACAGAGTCGTAGTGGACTTGCCAGCAGGTTGGTACTGCTCCTGCCAGTTTGGGTGACTTCGTTAAACTCCGCGAATCAACCATACATTTGCCCGCACTACAACAACCTTTTGGGTCCCTCGACAGAGTACGCTCCAGACTTCAGCCTTCAAGATAAGGCTCGTCAATTCCTTAACCCGTCGCATGCCGTTACGTCCAAGCGCAACCATGACCAGACGCTTCCCAGCTTCAAACTCAGAGAACGGAGTCGGCCCTAAGCCATCCACCATACCCAAAGCACTCGACCTGCCTAACTACAAGGTGCGAGGTCGATGGATTCAAACCCCAGTTTTCTACCGCCCTGGGTGGTCTCCAAGTCCTTCAACCAGTGGAGTCGGTCACTTTGAAGAAACTCACTTACGCAGTTACGACTCACAGGTGCAGAGATTCGTACTGGCCTAGTCGCAGGTCCAGAGCAAACTGAAATACGAATGCCAAAACCGCCCCAGAACACTCCACACCTGGTAGGTTGATACTTGGGAGTGTCGGCCAGTACCTGCAGTAAGGTGCTTTCAATCCAACAGGGCAGAATGGATCAGGCGATAGATTGGCACCTGCACTTCCAACGGACTACTATAGTATCCGTACATACCTCGTAGTACAACCCACTCCAACTGGCCATAACCTGGGTCTGAAGTTGAAACCCTCTTGTTGAAGTTTGTGATCTGTGACCTCGCATGTCCCATCCCGAATTTCGGTGATCATTGTCGATCTAACTACTCGTAGACTCGTAGTTTCCCTCTCATTAGACCCTTTCCTTTTCGTCCATACCTATTACCTATCCGTATGGCCTTTGGCATCCACTTGTTCCCTGTTCCCTGTCTTGCCAGCCACTGTGATCATCACGCCACAACTCGCCTTCTCTTCCAGTTCTTTATTATCCTGTGCCCTGGTCTGTGGCACCCACCCCTGGTCCTCGATTGCGCCAGTTCCAATTCTTCCTAGTTAGCATCGGGGCCGCTTGCCAAGTAGTAGCCCTGGTTCCTACCTCTGAAAGACTTCTCCAAATCTCTTAGTCTTGCATGATTGAGTAAAGGCTACTTCATATATACCCTGGATACAACTTCCAAAGTTCACGGTAATAGTCTGTCGAGGACGAATGCTCGGACTACCATGACTACCGCTGTGCACTTAGTTCTTCCAGTTTCATCTTCTACTTCCAACCACTTATCACTGTCCGCGGCTTTTGATGAACCATCTCAGAAGGTGATGCAATCGTACAATCGAGTCTCCGCGTCTGAGTCTACACTTACCGTGCTCAAGCCATTGGGTTCCCACATAACACAGGGTGAATCGTATCAAGATACACTCTTGAGACCCATATCGTCATTGCCATCGACACGGTCCTCACAGCCACGTCAAACCTTGCCGCCACCTTCCAAGCTGGACCATCACCAACACTTCCTGTCTCAGGATCATAGACAAATAAGCCCAACTGGGACACAGCAACCGCCCCTCGCGGGGCTTGCAAGGTATGAAACAGACCATTGACCTACTTTGGGCCCACTAACAAATTTAGACCTACATACGGATATTCGAGAGCCGCTGCTGTTATCAGTGAACCTTCTGAAAATTCGTTATATTCAGTGGAAGGCAATAAAGAGTCGACATCCGATGCATCAACTGCTGTTGGAACACCCAACAATTTCTCCATGGAGCAGCCAACACAGATCCAAACGTTCGGTTTGACTACCAGCAGGTGTCGTCTGCATATCAGACAACAACCAAGAGCAGCAAGAGCAGGCCCTGATGGAAAGGACCGAAGGTATTGTTCGTCATAATGTCTCATTGCTTTCTCTCTAACCTGTCTCAGAGCGATCGACCCTCCTCCCATTTTGCAACTACACATCCAAGACTTTGACCCAGATTCGAAACAAGACGTGGCCGAGTTGTCGAGCCCGTTCTGGGTCGTACATTGTAAATTAGTGGCAGCACAAACGCCTGACAGAGATGTTTCCACCATGTCTCAAACTACTGAGGATGGACGAAAGGAAGTGCAACGTTTACTTCTCGGCACGACTGTCGCAAGCCCAACCAACACAGCTGATGATCCTGATCCGCCTACACTGGTCCCTCATCCTCGGTCAGAAGCAGCTATGACCGCTCCACCAAGTCCAACATCAAGGTTCTTGCCAGTATCGTCTTCACGTCCTCCAGACCAGCCACGACCTCTGGACCAAATCCCAGGGACGTTCTTCATTTTCGCCGATGTCTCAGTACGCAAAGCTGGGGAATATCGACTCCAGTTTGTTCTTATGAAAATGGACACCGTGCACCTGGCCCAAGGTGCTGTCATCCCTGCCATAGATACGGTCACAACAGATGTTTTTAGAGTTGTCAACGCCAAAGACTTTGATCAAGTCCAGCCAAGTACTAATTTGGTGAAGGGTTTACTCGACCGTGGTGCGGGTTTTCCGTTGAAGTTGAAAAAAGGTCTACGAGAAGGACAAAGACGCAGGAGACAGACTTCCGGTGGCGTCTCGGAGGACGAGTCTGATGACGCGGATCAGACCTGATAAACCGGATTTGTGGAGTTTGCTTGCAGATTTGATTCACACGATTGTGAACAAAGCATTCAAATGGTAATGGAGGATTACGACCAGTGCCTTAAAAACAGTCAAAGGAAACATTTGCAGCATCTGGATATGCGACAGCAAGCTTCTACAATCATCCTCTGGTCACATTAGAAATAGTCATGGTACAAATGGTTATTTGATCTGGCCTGCAACCACGAGCGATTCCAAGCTTCCCGGCCAGAGGGCTTTGCTAATGGCTCGAGGTCTCTCATTCTTTCCTGGAACCGCTCGCCCGGGGGGCCAAATAATGGAGAACTCATTCGACCAAGGCTTCACCCAGTTTGAACAATGTATGTCAGCCCCCAACTGTGGGTACCTGTATATCATTCCCGAATTTCCAAGGATCCATCCGCAAGGCTTAGCGACGGGGATGTTCGAGAATGTTACAGGTGAATATATGGGTCTAACGAGATGATTTAGCAAACTTTGCATTGGCACATCAACGTTTCAACCGGTCGGGATTTTCCACCTTACGAAATGAACCAAACTCAACCAAAAAAAGAAAAACAAATTCTCACTCTCGTTCAAGGCCTAGAGCATTTTTCGACGAACTCTAGACATTCTTTCAATTGGTGCGCGGGATCTCATAAGATTTGACCGACTGCAGGCAGAGAATTCAGAGGCTGCAGCGTTGTGATGTCCCATGGTTTCCCTGGTCCGAGAAAGTATTCGAAAGGCTAAATTTGGACACGCCATGTTTTGGAAGTACTGTTCCGTCCAACATGGTACGTGCGGGTCTCACAATGTCGGCGGCGGCGGAACCGTGCATCAAGACGCCCAGCGCGAAGAGCGCCAGCAGTTTACACGATCCATCTACCCATAATACTAGTAATATATAATAATGGCGTGGAATGATGATGGATTTCAGCAGTTTTTGAGGCTCTGGGAAACAAGTATGCTGTAATGTTTGTAAATCTGGGGCTAAGGCTGGCGATTGAGGCCTAGACCTTCTAAATGTGGCGGTTCGCCAGGCCTGGACTCATATAATCCAAGCCATGAAATCTCCAAGATCTCAAGAATGTTATACATAATGTCGACGTGTACTTTCACCAAAAACCGTCCCCCCGTGAAAAAAGAGGCTTTTCAACTCGAAAGTCTAGATGATGTGCCGTGATCTCGGGATGAAATTATTTGGCATACACCATCAGACTCGCATATGCCGAGCGTTGCACAAACATTTGTAAAGTGGGGGAGGGCAGACGAGAGTTTCATATCTACTTAGGTACCGATCGATCCTACAAATTTTGCGGATATTCTATTCGCCGTGGAGGCCCAACAAGTCGGCACTTGGGGAAGACCTTGTCCCACGAACATATGTGGTCCAGAATCACACGGCTCGAACGATCTCCAAGGCCGCGCAAGTTTACTCCGGTTGGCTTGTAAACTAGGCAAGGACTTGGAAATGGCATTCGGCATCATTTGCCCAAGAATCCTCCAGAGGACGACGGGGATCAGGCCCTGGAATCGCGTTCAAACGCCTTGGCATCCGCGCCTTGAATGTCGTCAAGCATTTTTCCTTCTGATGAGCTGGCTTCTGGAATCTCGGCTGCCGACCTTCTCCTACTCGGCAGCCAGGGATATACGGATACCAGTCCGCATCTTGGATGTACCGATTAAGTGAGTTAGGCAGTGTGGCACAGCCCCGGCCCCAGGGAGTTGAAACGAGCCTTGGAGTCCTTTGACAAGGGTTTCGACAAGAAATACGACAACAACATTTGTGAGCAAGGAACACAGCAAGCTTTTCTGGAACCTGATTTTCGGTCGGTACAGTAGGTATGAGGTAGGCTTGCTCGCGTCAACTACTACTAGCGATATTACGGAGTACTCCGGACATGATACAGGGTTCATCGTCAGTGTCGAAGTGGTGGACTAACTGCAACGTCGTACGGATACCCCAACCACGGGTCTTTTCTCCCCACTTATCGCCCAATGGCACAACCTTGCTCAGCTATCATCCTCGAGTACCGCTGTTCGGGGTCCCCTTGTATTACGGATTGTTGCTTCTGCTTCTGCTTCTTCGAGGTTCGTATTGACGAAGCTTGGGAGTATGGCTCCAAGCCCGTCTGCCAGATTCTCGAGTCTGGAGGAATCCCCCAAAAATGGGCCAGGTATTTATTGAGGCGTGAGTAGACGTCTTAAGAGTGCAAAGGAGAAACATACGTGACATATGATACGGACTGAAGCAGTACGCAAATTTCTCTGCATGCGAGTTTTGGTCTAGGAGATATTTTACACGGTACGCAAGATATGGTTAGATCAGGGTTATGCTGTTCGTTTCTGCCCTGCCATGGCTTCGCGATATGAGGAGATGGGGAAGAGAGATACTCTGGCTCGCTCCCTGAGAATCGGGTGTTAGCTAGGGAGACGATCTAGTCATGAGTCCTTTTTTAAGAGGTCTTATCGTGTGAACTCATGTCTAAGAGACACGCGATTGTAGAAATTGGAATCTTCTCGAAATGTCGAACGGTAGCCTTGTCAAAACGAAATACATCCACCAAGTTCTTGAGGAGTCTCATTCTGTAAGTTCTGACGTTGTCAATCATGTCATTAAGGTAGTTAACACGAGCTACTGTAAATCTGAGGTGTCTTTGCGAATGCAGTTCAACAGTCACCTGTGATTTGGATATAGCATTACAGAGACACACCCTCCGGCTACAATGTTTAGTCAATGACGAACATTTGTGACGAGGAAGCGGATTTGATCAAGGATGTACTATAAATGTATCAACAGTTCTCCTCTACTAGATGCGCAGGTAAGGCCGGAATCTAGTTCAATGCCTACGAAACTCAGTTCTTCTACGTGGAATTCTCAATCGCAATTCCCGAGTATCGCACGTCTTTGTGACTTCTTGTGACGACAGAAACGTCCCTGTTGGGATATCGGATCGTGGGTCCTAAACTTTGCATTATTCGTGCACTTCGCTCTCGGCCATAATTAACATGATAAATCCTGATTTGCAGGGTGTCTGTAGCCTTGTGTCTGCGCTAGAGGAAATGGATAATTGCTCCGTCCATTCATCCATGCTGTGTTCAGACCCGAGGAGAGTAAAGTTTCAATCACAAGTGACTTCGCTGTGTGACGTGGATTTAATGAATTGACCGCGGAAACAAGTCCACTAGTGTTGGTCGCATGGATCAACAACTCGATCTTTCGAGGCCGATTACACGTCTAAAAAACCAACCAAGACACGTCCACCGGGTAATGAAGCCTTTTTGGCCATACCTACCTAGTTGACCTTTTGGAATTAGGGAAGACATGATATATTTGGAGAAACAAGAGACTGATTCACGTAACTGCTGCAAGTGATCAACATGCTCGGATACTGCAGTACAGTCTCGAGCATTGGTCCAGGTCCAGGCCACGTTGATCAGCAGCTTCCCACAGCTCCAGCACAGTCTCCAGTTCTGAATGGAACGATTATCCACGATGTGGCTTTTCTTTCTCGATAACTTTGAGACCGCAACCTATAGGATATGCCATGATTTAGCTGACATCGACGATCGCAGACAGATATATGCATACGACGTCAAGGTTCGAACTTTATCATTTGGGGTATGAAGGTGGTTAATTATCAGTAACAACCGGTAGGGAAATTGTAGACTTGGTTTGTCCTCCTGCCCACAAGGATTAGTGGAGGTGACCTCAAATCCAGGTATTGTGAGCTTCCCCAGTTTGAGTTCACGAATGAGTATATGGACGCCGAGCCCAAAATTGTTAGAAATGAGATGCGAAGTACCTTCAACGATCATCGTCAAGACTTAGACCAAGAGGGTCCTCTCAAACCTTTTTCGTGGAAAAAGAAGTCCAAAATGGAGTGATAGGCAAAGCCTTGCCGATGTCAAATCCCTCACCAAATATCTATCCTCGATCAATGACAGATGAGCAGGTGCCCAGGTGAGCTCGAATGGACGATCGGTTGGTGCCGTTTAACCCAAAACATCAGTTAAGCTTGCACGTACGAAGTACGAGTTACGATAATGGAGCTTCGCAACTTCGGTTGCCCTCTCGTGAACTGGCACGATCCAAAAGAAAATGACTCGAAGCGAGCGTGATTTACTTCGTATACATTTGTCCAAGACAATGCAGGAGGTGATTGGAAGTCAAATCGTAGGCTTTCTGCGGCATGAAGAAGTGTGAACCTTATTCTGTCGTACAGTATCCTTTACGGGCTTAGCCAAGGTTGCCGGAAGCTGTGACAGAACCTTCGTTGGCGGTTGAACCACTGAGTCAGTACCAGAAGAAAGAATTGACTTTTGCCAGCTTCCTTGAAGGGGCAGTACAGATCCACTAATCCGCACAGGCCCAAGGATGCTGAGTACAAGACGTGGAGAGCATGGCGAAGAACTTTAAGAGCGCCGATCCAGCGGCAGGGTTCCCAGTCAAAGTGATCACCGCGATCGAAATGACATTTGGCCATGTGCGATTTGGTCCAGAGATCATCGTCAACGTTCCATCGATGACTACTGGAATGCATTTACTATTCTAGTTTCACACTGGGTCAGCCTTCCTGTCGCGTGCACCCGTACCCGTACGGCTGTGCTACTGCCTATCGATTTCAGGGCACCATTCGACGTATGTGCGTCGTTGCTCGTGGGTTTTTGTAGTCAGGCAGATGCTTTTCGCGATCAAAGTAAACCGATTTCTGAACTCCACCATTACCATTATTCTTTCCGCTGCTTTGGCCCACTCATGCATGGGACGTGCTTCCCTTCCTGGGCCCTCCAGCTTTCACCGACAACAAGGCACACCCATTCTCGATATCCTACTTTGGGAAGTTGCCTTCACCAATGGTCTCGGACTCTCGGGGCAGTTGCATCTGCCCCTTCCACGCTGATCCTTCCTGACTGTTGGATGGCAGTCGGCATCAGTTGCCTCTGCTGTCATAGTCGCTGCAGGGATTGCTTTATCCGATGTGGCTGAAGCACCCCAGTATTTGTCTGGCAGTAGGTGTCCAAGATTCGCCAAGGTACGTATTTCAGTGCTGCAGTTTCTCCAACGCCACGCTTCTCAAAGCTACGTAATGGTTGTCTTCTAGAAGAATGGAACACTTGGACCAGTTGGACTTGAAATCATCCTCGGATCAAACATGTCCTGTGCTTAATTTGCACACTGCTGAGAACTTACCTTCTTTTAGCTTGGGATTACAATGTGTCACTGCAAGATGCGATCCATTCGGACAAGCAACGGTTGCTTGGACTGGAGGCGATGCCAAAATAGTCTCAATTTCAGCCCTGTTGTGGGCGTACGGATAATGGCAGGATGTTGGCAGATCGTTTAGTGAAGCTCAATACTGCCTGTTCGGTGGTTCACCGACATAAGGGCGAAAGTATAATGTGACCATTCGAGAGTTTCTTCATGCCGTATTCCGAAGCAATGAGCTCTTGACCAAAAGAAGCACTGGTTAGTGATCATCCCAGACCACCTCCGAGAGACATCAATATCTTCGCATACTTTTTCAAAATTCGGGCTGGTTTCTGCACGTTTGACTTTTGGCGCTGCGGAGAAGTTTGATTATGATGATGATTCATGTTAAGGTTGGAAGTTACATGAATCATGCTTGAGAGGGGTTCCTGCTCCCAAACTCCACTAGAAACTTAAAACAGAGGTGAAGACTTATGGATTTCGGATGGCCATGACATGTTGGGGTTTTGAGGGGATGATGGTCGCCATTGATGCACTGTGGACCTTCCAGCAGCCCTGTCTGCAAGGCACGTGCACGCTGGTGGTCGCTAGCCACCATAAAGAAAAGGTCTTGAGACTGGACACCGCGGGATAATTTTCTGTAGCAACGAGTTGTAAGAAGCTGACTTCAATATAATGCACTATGCCGATTATTAAGAATCCACTTCAGGCGGCTCTGAAGTTGGAGATTTGAGGAGAAATACCATTCACTTCAAGCGTCTTTCAGTCTCGAAACAGCAGGGCAAACCCATCTCGGATATCAAGTTAGATTTCGACGAAAAGAGCCTGAGAACTCCTGCATGAAGGTGAACTTGCTACTTCTATCACATTTTTTTTGAATTTCTTCTCTGAATCACCGTTCATATCTCCAGTCTCTTCGGCATATTTTTCTAGGCCTTCGCGTTGTTTTCTCGTGGCCAATTCTTTCTGATGCTCGCGTCGACGAGCCTCTTCTTCCTCTTTTGAGTTGTCTGTGCGATTTTAAGCGCGTCTAGGCCCCTAGTCGCATGGTCTGTCTATTTTTCATTTAAATTCGTGGTGTTTTCGCACATATGACCATTTGAAAACCTGAAGACGGAACATTACGCGGGAATAGGTGCGTAAACCTCGACAGGAACAAGGGTTGACATCGCCTGTAGAACAGCGGAAGCTCACTTCGCCTAGGTAGTATTTTTCCGGGTTGGCGGCAGAGTAGAAAACACGTGGTAATTCATCGGAGGCCTTGGTGGGCTTTGTGTTGAGCTGTCTCCTGGCGTTGCTGCTTGTATAGGGGTTCGGCATTGAGGAGGATTGTAGAAGTCATCTTCCATTCAGGATTATCCCAGTCATCAATGGTATCTTGCAGCCATTGTATTGATACTTCAGCATCTGGCGAGTGGCTTTCTCGCAATGCTGCCTGTCCTCGAACGAGATACGATGTTGCATCTTCTCTGAAGCCATTTTCCCGGAGGAGGACCGCGAGAAGGAGGTAGCGCTGTCTCGCCCTAATTGGGAAATGTCGCATGCCATATGCACTCAACTCAATCCACCAGAGACTCGTCTTGTCACTCGGCTTGCGCCATTTTCTAGATTCTGGGTGCCAACCTTCCTCTTTGAGGCGATGATCACCTAATCTAAAGCAAAAGTCTGGATCACCTTGCATTGCAGCCTGCGTCAGCAACTCAACCCATCTTGGGGAGCCAGGCTTAACCTCTTCGGTATTTCGAAGAAGAAGCTCGGCAGCTCGACTATCGTTCCAACCATCTCTGCCGGTGTTCAAAGCCTCCGCATAAGTTCGCTGAACTTCTGCTGCATCATCGCTGTCAGAAGGTAAGTGAGCATAGTATTGGTCTGCAGCTCTCTGAAGCAGAAACCAGGGCAACTCAAGTCGTTCTGAAGGGATGACCTGATCGATGGTATTAAAACTGGGTCTGGTCATGGTCGAAAGGTCGACCGCAAGCTGATATAGAGCTTTGGCAGCCGTAGATGACTGTGGCTTCCTTAGGGAGTGATCCAGGTATAGAGACATGGAGCGCCAATTCTCTCTAGCGATGGCAGTACGTCTAATGTAATCCAGAATATTGGGAGGCAGGTCGACAGGCTTAGACAGTGCATCTGGGTCTCCCATCTCGGCCACGCCACGAGTTCTGAGCTCGAGTTTTGCGAATTCTATGGCGGCATCCCCAATACCTAACTCGAAAGCCACTTTTAGAGACATACTTCCCAGTCTTAAGTATGTCACCTGATTAGTCCTGGACAGGTCGGTCATAGCAGCGACATAGAATAGTTTTCCAAGATTTGCAGGGTCGGTCAATATGGCAACTTCGCTGGCACTCATCTCAGCCAGATAATCCGCCTTCCATTTGGAACTGGCCCTCACCACCTGAGCGGCTTGTGCAGGAGGATAGCCAGCGGCAAGGAGCTCCGAGCGGTGCAAACGAAGTATGCGTTCAGCGACTCTGAACTTCACGATGCCCATATTGCTGAGCGTTGAAAGAATATCGCCATCGTCGGTAGAGTAGTCATGATGCGCAGATTCCTGTTTTTGAATTTTACGATAAACACCCTGGGTGCTGTTCTTAGCTTCCCATTTAGAGAGTCGTTGATTTAGTGGGGCTTTTGCGGGAAGACCTGGAGTGGATGAGAAAGGCCGAGAGCGAAAGGAAGTCGCATTCAGCGACGACGAGAGAGACAACACATTGCGCCTTAACTGGGCGCAATGTTTGAGAAGACGCATCAAGAGTGAGGCGACCACATGTTAATGCATTAGAGGCAGTCGGCGACCAAGTTTTGGCGACGAACAGTGGCAGATATATCAACGCACACACTTGTTGGGTCAGATGCACTGGACCTGAGTATCAGAAGTGAGGTTGGTATCAATGAAGTAATGTTCACACCCGACAAAAATCCAGAAGCTCAAGGTTGACACGTTGATAACACCAGATCACGTGATATATCGCTGTTTTACTACCTAGGTATTTGAGCATACTCGTAGTTGCTGCTTTGGCTAGCTTGCCAAGTCCGAGGATTAACTGCAATGCGGGACTTAAGAGTTGGATGTGCATGTCTCAACTGGATGTGACAACATCCTGAACCTTGACCCAACATTTGAATCTCAAGTGCCGGACTTTATTAATTCAGCAGAGGTGTCAAATGGCGAACGACATCCAAATACCCTGAACGAAGCCCGCCGTACACCTTCAGATTACCCTCTTCCAGCGCTGGTCAACAATTCACGAAACAAAGTCCGCTCTGTCATCTCCCTCCTCGAGCGGTCGCACTCATTCTCTTAGTATGCCAGCTCCAGGCGGCACGAAGCGTGTCAGAGGCGTCCAAGTGTATCGTCCTTTTGTCTACGGAACCGAAGCCCTACCGTTCGATCCCGAGAACCGCCCCAAAGACGCTCCAGCCGATCACACCCATCGGTGGAAGGTGTTCGTTCGTGGTGTTAATGGCGATGATATATCATACTGGCTGAAGAAGGTTCAATTCAAACTGCACGATACCTACGCTAGTAGTGTACGCATGCTTGATAAACCGCCGTTTGAGGTTGAAGAAACAGGCTGGGGAGAGTTCGAAATTGCCATCAAATTCTACTTTGCGACTGAAAGCAACGAAAAGCCACAACAAATTTGGCACGGCCTCAAACTTCACCCATATTTTGGAGATATCGAACAACAGAAGAAAGACCGCGCATTGATCTCTAGTGTATGCTACGAAGAAGTCTTGTTCAACGAACCCGTCGAGGCCTTTTATGATATCTTGACAGGCGGTGGCCGTGGGTCGAAGGCTAAAACCAAAGGTGCGAAAGCAGCCAAACCGCCGCCAACAGCCGAGATCCCCGCCAAAAGCGGTCCTGGCAACAAATTCAGCCGCGAGGAGGAAAGTAAAGAATTGGATCGACTAGGTGAAGCCGTCAAGCAAGTCAAGAAGCTACAGGAAGAGGAGAAAGCAAAGAATTTGACCCTAGAAAGCAGCCTCCAGGAACTGCAAGAGACTGAAGGGAAACCGATCAAGAAGAAATAAATTCGGGCCTATCGTGCGACAAGATGGTCTACTCTGACTGCCGGAAAGAACCTCATAGTCGAGCTGGAATATTGGAGTTCCTTCCCATCAATTGTGCAACCCTTTCAGCTATGCCCCAACTTAGCTCATAGCCTCGCCCACCGGCGCCGTAACTGTGGACAATTCTTCTGTCTTGGCCGAATGCCTCAACTTCCGTTCGGACGCCTCCATCACGCCAGGGTCTCCTGCCAACATTGTCCTTGATTACCTCGAACTCCTCCACGGAACCGACAAAGTCGGGGAATGCCTCGACACACATTTGGAGGAGCTTGGAACGAGTTTCAGGCCTTGCCTTCTCGTAAAAGTCTCCTATCTCCTTTGTGCCTCCAACGATAGTGCCACCGTGCCTTGGTCTTGGTATTAGGAATATCCAACTTCCATCACGGTTCTGGCGAGTGATGGTCTTACAATATTGCTGCTTTACTAGTACCGTCTGGCCCCGAATTATTTTCATCTTGGGATCTTGATCAAAGTTTCGACCCGAGCAATTGACCACGGTTTTTATCGGGGGTCCGCCATCTCTTTGTAGGAGGTCAAATGCTTCGCTTGCTCTCGACAAGTGATATTGAAACACTTTGCCCCCTCTGGCGACAAATCGATCCAACAACCATTGACAATAAACATGAACATTAAGGGCGTATGTCTGGTAATCACATCCCCACTTTGCACCTACTGGCAACTCACTCTGCTCCAAGATGCGAAAACCATCACCAGGACCTGCGTACACATCGCCTGTTCTGAGACCTGACACGTCATCCCCAGGATTTTCAACATATTCTATACCCTGCATGGTCGCAACACCAGCATCTGGAGAGTTTCGGGCAATGTTCCTCATGACTTCCATCGTGCGAAATGCAAGTTGTGCTTCATCGCGTAGTTGCGCCGTTGATTGTGGTATCGGTCGATAATGCGCACCCGCCCATGCAGACGCATAGTCCGCCGAGGGGACATTGCTATCTGGAAACTCTGCGGCAACGATTGTGATGACCGCCTGGGGATATCGTGACTGAAGGACTGTCGCACATGAGAGCCCGATGACTCCAGCGCCAATCACTATTATGGGTTCGATAGACCTGGACATTTTGTCTATTCTCGATTTCCGTCTACAGACCAAGTCGCTGATGAGAAGGGTCAAATTGCTAGTTGTGAATAGTCAATGAATCTGCGTGACTGTTTCACCGCGCAGATCTCGATGGAAGATTTAGTGCGTGATTTATCTCGCGCACGCCCCGTGATCCTGTATGGCAATCCACAGGATTGACGTTTCCCGCACCAAGGTCTATTCCAAGTCGTCAAGAACAGGATAGAGGCACAAAATGACTTCGCGGTCGATCGGCTCGGTTTTGTAAAGCGTCCCCAGAGAATGATTATTGAACTTGCCTTCTGATTCTTTTCCGCTGAGTAGCCGAGCAACCAAGGGACCGGAAGTTGTCAATTCGCAGCATCTGGCAATAGATAGGTATACTAGGCTTTTTGGCCGAAATCTTTCGTGAGGGTTTTTGCTGCCCCGCATCACAGGGCGCGCGGTGAAGAGGAGTGGATGATAGCTGTATAGCAGGAGTTCTAGGAACTCTGGTAGAATACCTACATTGTCTCGGATATCCCGTGACAGTATATCTTTCGAGGTTAAGCCTCCATAAAGAGGGGTGGGTAGTGTAATGTGGTTGTAATGAATGTATTATGAATCTTAAGTCGTCTTTCATGGTACTAATTCTAGTCTCAATAGCGGGGGAAGGATTATCAGGTACCTACGAATTTCCCGGGTTGCTCTTGACGCATCTGCATGGCTAGCGGTAATATCATGTGCATGCACAAGATACCTAACTTTAAGTGGAATGATATACAGAACTAGAGAGTAGATCATAACGTCCTTTCTATTTGACTTCTATCGTGGATTGATTGACTTTGGGGGCGACATAGTGGATACTGGCTTTATGTTTGATCGCCTGAACTGCATGATCACTTGAGGCTCCCCACATCTGAACTGTTTATACTCGGGGGTGAATTAGTGTGAGTGCGGGTATGGCCGAGAGATTTTCTTGTCGTAGAGGTGGGTGTTTCTTGTTCCGCAATATGAAAGATTATCGGCCTTGTTGTTAGTGGAGGACGAATGTAAAAATGAGAGCGAAGCATGGAATGGCTGTCCAAGAAAAGATTCTTCCATTTCAAGTGAAACTCGCATGGTATCCACCTAGTGATACTGGCCTTCCAAGTCACAGCGGTTCACGTAGCCTCCGACCCTGGATCCAGCAAGACCTCAAATGGCCGTCCCTCGCTCAAAGCTCTCCCGGATGTCGGTCGTATACCGATCATAGAACCGCGCCAATTTGAGATTGAATTGCTTGTTCTTCTCGTTGATATACGTGACATCGCCGTCGTTCTCCTCACGACCACGGTCCTTCCGTTTCTTCATACGGATATCATCCGCTTTCTTCAAGTCCGCGACCAGCCGGTCAACATTCTCGCGCTTGGGTTTCTGCTCGACGAATCCCGTGCTGTCGTTGTCGGCATAGAAGCGGCCGTCCTTGTCAATGGCCACGAGCTCCCCGTTGTCCAGCTCGACAATCTCCAGGCCACCCGTCCTCGCCGCATTCTGGATGATTTCGGCCTTTTGGGCCTCGTAGTCTTCTCTGTTCTTGCCATTGTCTTTCCGCGCCGCTTTCTCCAGGTCCCGGATCTGCTTGTCGTAGATCTTGCCTGCCTCCGAAGAGTAGTCTTGGAAGTGGACGTTGTCGCGCGCAAGTTTTTTCCGCTCCATCCGCTCGTCCCATCGCTCGGATTCCTCTATCGTGTAATCCCAGGCGCGCTTGCGCTCGAATCCGCCCTCGCCATGTTCTTCTTCCGTATCGGCTTTGAGAAGGTTGTGTGAGGCGATGGCGCTGCGCCGGGAGAGGTTCGCTAATACAGAAGAATCAATTGCTGCCCTCTGAGCTTCGGATTTGGTCTCGGCGAGATTGGATTTTGATGAAGCCGCTGCTCGCGACTTCAAAGCGGCGAAGCGGGCAAGACGATCGGAATTGGTATTTGTGTTGGGTGGAGGAGCGGCGGGTGCGGTCGAAGTAGATTCCGCTACGTTTACTTCCGTGGTCTCCTCTGTTGTTATTGGTTTTCCTTGGAGCGTCGGGTTTGAATTCGATGAGTCTTGTATTGAATCGGTTATTTTATCTGGTTCTGGCTGGGCCTCCATGGGTGCGGCGGGAGTGTCTACGTGGGTATCGCTTAACTTCCGGCGCTTAGCGACAGGCATCTTGTTATTGGTATGCGAATAAATAGAAGTCGGAAGATGATGGATGTTGATTATTCTTCGAACAGGAGAGAGTATGTCGAGTTGGATCAAGTTTGATCAAAAGTTCAGCCTTATGTTCGGCAAAATTCCCTCTTTTGATACACTACGTCAACATTCTCCAAAAAAAGTATCGCAGCAGTCAGTCCACTCACAACTCCTCGTCCTGACCATACTCCGGAGGTCTTCAGCTTGTGTTGGAGACTTTACTACGGTACTCTTGACATTGAATCATCCAGCCATGGCTCAAGCAGCCAAACGGAAGCTTGTGGTTGCTGGTGGGAACGGGTTTTTGGGTTCCCGCATCTGCAAATCAGCCGTGGCTCGCGGGTGGGATGTTACTTCAATCAGGTAAACTGATCCACGCCTTCTCTACCTTTCCACTGAATGCTGAGTCCTCCCCTTATAAAAGCCGATCAGGTGAACCGACATGGTCATACGTGACTTCGGAAAACATGCCACCCTCATGGTCAACTTCCGTTACATGGGCCAAAGGCGACATTCTGAAGCCAGCTTCCTACACCTCCTACCTCAAAGATGCTGACGCCGTGGTGCACACCATGGGAATTCTCCTTGAAGCAGACTATAAGGGCGTTGTCTCGGGGAAGGAATCCATAATCTCCGGCCTGTCACGGGCATTTAGTTCCACAAAAGCTGGCAGCGCAGCCGACCCACTGAACCGCGAGCCCGGCGCAGATCTGGGTACAGGTGAAAGCGATGGCCAGATCACCTATGAGCTTATGAACCGGGATAGTGCAATCGCACTGGCGCAGGAGAGTCAGTGTCAGGATGTGTCCACGTTCGTCTATATTTCCGCTGCGGCCGGTGCTCCCATGCTCCCCACGAGATACATCACAACCAAGAGAGAGGCGGAAGGCACGATCGCGAGTCAGTTGGTCAAACTGCGATCAATATTTATCCGGCCAGGCTTTCTCTACGACAACAGCAGGAAGTTCACCCTCCCAATTGCGGCTTCCGGTATGGTTGGCAGCACCGTCAACAGTCTAGTGGGCGGCAGTCTGACCAGGTTGTTTGGTGCGGCAGTAGAGAAGCCTTTGAAGGCGGATCTTGTCGCGGATGCGGTGGTCGAGGCCATCGAAGACGAAGGCACAAGAGGCGTTGTCGATACTAAGCTCATTGAAGCATTGGCGGCGAAGGCTTGGAGAAAAGGGATGCTCTGAAGGAGCTGCATATTGATGATCGGACATCATGTATAGTATAATTATGGCACTCCTTGGAAAGTTTGGTCGCACTTCGCTCAGTCGGGCCTCGACAGATTCGCTGTGTAAATAGTTTGTACAACAACAGGAAACACTCCAAGGCAAGCACGAAAGGTGCTACCACAGGGTAGAATGAAGAATCATTAGAAAATAGTATTGATGAGACGTCTGAAACTTCTATTGCCTTCAGACTTGTCAGCGTCAGATCCTTCTGAGCCGATCAAACCGTCCTTCTCGATAGTTTAAGACACGGCAGTGGCCCACCCGCAACATTCCGTGTCATTTCTGATCATACACTGCCCCCACCGGCCCTGAAACGCCCCGATACTGTGGTTCAAATAACCCGCTATGCTTAACACACGTTTCTGAGTGAAGATCTTTGGGTCGACAAGAGAATAGTCGAGATGTCAATATGCGGCCATCATTCGTAAAGGATAGTGCACGGAAGACCATAGATTTATACAAAGTGGAGGAAAAGAGGGACGACTGGTTGATCGGTCCGTGGGTGTCGAACGGAGTCGGTGCACGAAAGGCGTATTGTTGATTAGGGAATTAAAGAGTCGCACCAGATGTCATAGGTTGCTCGTCGGGCAACTCGAAAAGGACTTTGCGGGTCACCTATAGATCAATTAGCTTCGTGTCTCAGTAGTTGCATCAACAACCACTCACTGCCCAGGCGCCTGCTATCGATGCCACAATGCCGCCAGAAATCATCATGGGCTTCACGCCTCTTGTACTTTTGAAAAGCATACCGCTCAGTGCGCCAGCCACGATACTGTTAGCAGCATCATGCTTGCCCCGGTAGTACCCTATTGTTGAGTTGAAACCGTTGTAGACCATGGCAACAACTCCGGCCGAATTACCTAAGAACGGGCCGCGTCGAGTGATGCTGTTCAAAACGCTGTTTAGACGCAGTTTGGGAGGTGCAGACGCCGGCGTCCGGTTCAATCCCTCAATTAAGCCCCAGGTACCTCCAATTGTCAATGCAGATAGGTATGTGACGCCAGTGCCATAACAGAGATCGTCCGACCATCCGCGCGAAGGTAATAATGACCTGGAGCCCGGGAGATCTGAGAGTTGAGATTCGTCCAGCGAAAGGTAGTCTAGTGTCTGTTGATTCAGTCCCGCAAGCGGATGCAGCTTTGATGCGTCTGGAAGAGAGAGATTCCCGAGGAATGAGGACGCATCAGCTGCGGAGTTGGGGTCATAGGGTGAAGTGGCAGTTGCGTAGCCACCTATCGACGGAGAAGAGGAAAAACCTGAGGCTGCAGGAGAAGGCTCGGGTGACTGCTGCTTGGAGGATTTCCGACCGCTGAAAGCGTCCCACACCGACATGATGGACTGTTATTACGAGACGAAGGAGAAAGAGATAAGAAAGAAGGGAGTCGTGGCGTGGTCGACAACGTCGTCTTTGATCAACGCTGAGCGGGTGACCGAACAAGTTGGAACTCGAAATAAATCGAAAGGCGATTTTGGCACTAACCCAATCGAGTCAACACTGATTTTCTTCCGATCCTGGTTTAAAGATTTCTTCAGGAGGACCCCTTGAACATAACCATGACCAAAGAGAACTAGCTACATGTCAATTCAATGTCTTTACTACTCTGTAGGTCTACTCGTGACATTGTATGTCCATCCAACAAGCCATGAGTTCAATCGCGGAGGCACTGGTATCACCTCCCCCGTTAAGTCATGCTCTTCTTTCGAGCTTGGGCAAGGGAGCGCTTAGGGACTATTTACGCAGTCCGGAACTCTCAAGTGTCTTTGCTGCAGAGGTGGTTCCACTGTGTTCAACATTGATGCTTACTGCGAGAAGCCCGCAAGTCATTGACAAGCATGTCACTGCTGCATCGAACGCTCTCTGCGTCTTTCTCAACGAAGGTGTCTCGAGCAAAACACCCGAGTTCTGTGAGTTTGTGTTGTCCAAGGAATCATGGTTGGAAGCCCTCCAGTGTGTCCACAAAGCATTTGACGATGGCAAGAACAAGCCTGCTTTTCAGTTGCTGGAGACTCTGTGCAGTCTGTTACCCCGAATCACCGGGGATCTTATCGTTGAACTTCTGACACGATCCGCATTACCGCTTCTCACAGCATTAATTCTGGCTTCTCCTCGATCTGATGTGAAGAAGTCTTGTCTTATGCTGTCGAGTTTGGTCCGGAAGACTCCAATAAAAAGTCTGTTAAGTATGCTCACTGAGCAGATAGTGGAGGACAACAAGTCAAAATGGAATCAATGTCTTTCATTTCATAATATTTCAACTGAGGATCTTCTCAGCCTGGGCCCTGAGAGCATGGTCTCCTTCTTCTTTGCACTAATATTCGCAATGATTGACCTTGACACAAGAACATCTGCTCTGAAGCTCTACTCCTACTTGTGCAATGATCAAATTGATGATCCTGCCACGTCCGAACTGCAAAGCCTGGGCGAGCAAGCCATTAAATTGTTCCTTTCCAGAAACCAGGCCACCTTAGGCGATTTCGCCGAAAACGTACTGCCAGCTATTCTTGGTGATAAGAAAAGGTTCTTGGTGTTTGTCAATGATTACTCTTCGTCATGTCGAGAGGATGAGACCAGAATGTCAATTTTTCTCGCTGCACTGAAAGTTGGTCGATCGAAGAATATACTGTCCGAAGATGGTAAGCGATTCCAAATCCCTTGTAAGCCCCAGAAATCTCACAGCTGTTATAGAAATGGCGGGTATTTTGAACCAAGCGGTATCCGAACTTGTGGCTTCGCCAAAAAGTCAAGAAGACCACAACCGGCCTTTCGAGTATCTACTTACTCTTCGAAACCCCGAGCTCAGAATATTGGCATACGGTCTAATGACAATATCACCCGCTGCAAATGCCGCGGTGTCTCGTGGTATTCTAGATTCGGTTTCTTTTGGTCTCAAATACTTACATAACGATGCCGATGCCCATGAAAGGGGCGAAATCTTGAGTGTCACCAGGAGGTTTTTGAAACGAATATCTGCGAGCCATGCAGCTCTATCAAGAACACCAGAAAGTAAAAGGCAGGGTGAGATGGTCGAAATCATCCTAAAAGACTATCGAAGCTTCGCCCTCAATCTTTACGAATTTCTCAAATCGGAACTTGGAGGCCACATCTCCTATCAGCGACACATCCTCGCTTTGCATTCCCTACGCTGCTTCATTGACCATGTGGTAGATCCTGGAATATACAAGTATGATATTGTCCTCTTCAAATCGCTAACCAGTCTGATCCTCGATCCTTTCGAGGATGTGAGAAGTACTTCTGCGTCACTCCTGAAAGTCTTAAAAATGCAGTCCCCGATGACTTTGGCCAGCATTATAGACGATGATTTTATTGCTTCGGTAAGTCTTCTTGCGGTCGACACGGTCCGAGGGGATCATGCAGATGGGCTAGGAAGACTGTGGGCTTTGTATGATACCCTGGATGAAAAGGTTCCTGGTGTCATGGAGTGCTATGATCAAGGGTTCTACTCCTCTAGGTTGACAACACTACTGCGGCTGCAGCGCGAGTGTCTATCCAAAACTACAACGCTAGGCTCCAGTTCTCGCTTCCCAATTCATGGATCCCTGCTCTCACTTTGTTACCGGCTTCAGGATATGAAAAGTCAAGCCACCATAATACCTACCACTTTTCAATCGACAGTCCTTGACGACTGCGTTGCCATATGGGGAATGGTGAGATCAATTCTTTGTGTCGACTCCCCGGAGACCGCTTATGAAGCCGAGGACGAAGAAGGGAAGGAAGGTCCGAAGGATTTATTGGCCTATTCATGGAGAGCACTTCGAGATTCAAGGTATGCATTCTTGGGTTCCTGTGTGGTCTTAGCTTACGAAATCAGTCTGCTTCTACAGTCATTGTTGATGGCTGTTGAACTAGACTCTCCATTACACTCGGTCATAGGAGACATTTGCTTGGACCAGCTGATATCACTCCGGCATCGTGGTGCTTTCTCAACTGTTGCACAGACTTTTGGTATATGTTGTGATCGTGCTCGACTGTCCCCAAATGAAAAGATCCGCTCTCTTAATCAGAAATGGTACAAGGTGAGTAGGAACATGACACTCAGTTGAACATGTTATTAAATAATGCACAGGTCTCCCTATCCCAGATTGACGAGCAAGGCGACCGCCTAACGCGCCGTTCAGCTGGGCTGCCGGCCATGTTCTCAGCACTGTTGAGCCCCGGAGATCCTTCTTTCTTCTCCTCAGCTGTGCTCAAGCTCATCTCTTTGGCTCAAGCAACGAGCGCTAAGAGCTTGGAGGATGAGCAGAAATTGCCACAAGTACATGCTCTCAATTGCTTGAAGGAGATATTGACAACTTCAAGATTTTCTGCTATTATCACTCAGTTCCTCAACCCAATCCTAGAATTAGCAGCAACAAGCCTTTCATCCTCAACATGGGCCATACGCAACTGCGGCCTGATGCTACTGAGAGCATGTATCAATCGCCTCAGTGCCAAACTTCCTGAAGCTGCCGTCCAATCAGGTACAACAAGATCTCTTTCGGAAATTCGTGACACTCCTAGCGAGATTGCGCTCAGTCTTCTGAAGAAGGCAGACAAAGAAACGGAAAGGACTGCTGTATCCGAGGCCAAATCAGCAGAAACTTTATTCTCAGCATTAGACCTATTGGGACACACAACGCTGCCGGACGCAAAGAATAGCATCGTCGACAAGGCACTTTATCAACACCTGTCTCATGCCAACTGGGCAATTCGAGATCATGCTGCGCTACTACTGTCTAGACGTGTGATCATTGGGAGCTTGTCGCTATTATTAAGAAGCGCTCCTGGCGAGATAGGGTCAGACATGTCGCAAAACACTGCTCATGGAATTCTACTCTGCTTTAGGTACATCTTGAAGGCTGCGGCGAACTATCTCCAGCGAGATGAACTGGACAATGCACTTGCTGAGCTTACGGAATTAACGAACATTTTCCAAAGTGCGCATCAAAGCTCTCCCTACATACACGCTGCGATTTTCGACATATTGAATGATGCGGCAGCTCTTGTATTGGAGCACCAGTGGCCTTCAGATGCTTTAATGGCCATACCCACGGCAAAAATCGCTTTAGAGAGCCAGAGGAACTCTCTCCACGCTCCCTACCTGGACCAAAGGCTGCTCCTGTTCCGAGTCTATACCCTCCTTATTACGAAGGCTTCCCCGGGGTCAGACTTGAAGGACTCCTCACTTGTCCGTGATCTTGTCTCATCCTCGGACTGTCTGAGCTACGTGATGGAGGTTTTGTCCCATAAGAGCTTCTGGTCCAAGGTTCCTCACGGGGTTAAATTCCTTGCGTATCTCACGCGTGGTCTCCATCAGGATTCCGGCGTGACAGCTAGGGTACTTGATACTGTGGCAACCTGCCTGGTTGATAGCATGGACAAGCTAGATACCTCTTCTTTGCCAGAGATATGTTCAATTCTGGGCAAGAGCGAACTCGTGGAGCCAAAAACACGAGAAGGGGTAAATATTGGTATGAGACTTGATGCGTATCGGCTCTTCGCGCCGAAAACAGTCAAAGATGAGAGCCAAGGACAGACAGCCACAGATTTCGACCTCTGGGTCAGCATGATTGAATTTGCCTCGAGGGATGTCCTGGATTTTCCTACCAGGTGGAGTGCAGCCAGTGCGCTTTCAACATGTTTTCGACTGATGGCGCAGCAGCCGGCCTTACTGGTAGCGGAACAGGTACTACTGCGCTCAAAGATGATATTGTACAATCTGTTGAACGACGACGATGAAGATGTCCGGGCTGAGGCGTCTTCAGCAGCAGCAAGATTACTTGGGCACAATGACCCAACACAGCACAAGTTAGGCCTCTGTACGATGGCTGCAAGGGAATTGCTGATGGATAGGATTGTTGAAGAGCATGGAAGAACGCTCACACTTGCCGAGAGTGCAATCGTACATGTCATGCTCTTGAGAGAAAATGCGTCGGAAATCTCTGATTTGCACTACAGCCTGGCTGACATTTTTGCCGTGCCGGTAGCATCGAAGCTCAAGAAGCTCTTACTTGCCAAAGATGATCTTTTTGCTGAGGAAAGTCAGAACCTCTACATCGATGATGTGCAAGAGATTCAGCTATGGAAGAGGGGTTTGGAGGGATGTGTTGATGCTTTCACGCAGCAGCAACTTGACCTTATTGCTACATGGGTTTTGGAAGGACTCCAGTCTGTCGTAGATTTCCTCCTGCCTAGCTCGACTGCAACGGAGGCGAAAGAGGATGCTGGAGCGAATGGAAAGCGAGTGACTGAAGACCTACGAGACCCTGATGGTAGACGGGCCACCCTGCATCCATTTGGACCAACATATGACGCAGACTTCCTTGTTGTCTTTATGAAAGTCATCAGTATAGCTGGTGTGATCTGCCCTAGGTTGAGCAGGGCCGAGCAAGAACAAGTTTTAGTGGGACTGTGGCAGGCTCGGCAGATTTGTCGTGATCGCCAGGCGGATGAGATGTTTACCAAGGCAGTGAAAGAGGCACTGGAAACTTCACGTTGAGGTGAATTGCCTTTCCCCATCACACCTGAGATAGCAGCCCTTTGTTTCCGGCATCGAACTTGGATGCCCATCAACAAGACAAGTTTTGGTTGGAAAGAAGAATCAAAGCAGATATCATAACAAGTTCAGCTCAGCATTGGATACCATCACGGTCCCATCTCGGAACTATTGGATATCTGTGTCTTTTCCTGTGAACAGTAAGTAGTAGCTGGTTCTGTTGTTATCATGATTGATGATGCTGATACTAGTAAGGCTTTAAGCCAAGACACCGGATCCCATCTGACTCTCTCCACCTCTTCATTTGGATAGGCCGTCAACATGACACCTGCGATCGGGATTCTCCTTTGCTTTGCCCTGATTTTGCCCCTATGTGCCTGGGGAGCGTGGTACTTCTGGATGCCCATGCTGCAGGAAACCTTGGAGACAGCAGAACGAGGTGAAGCCAGGGCGGCGGCGGCCTAGAACTCTGTCTTTCAGATGAATTGTAAGAGTACTGTGTCTCGAGAGGTTACCAGCCAAAACACTCTTCTGGGTGACCATCTTCCTCATTCACCCTTGCTATAGTCCCGTGACTGTCACCACGGTCTAAAAGCACTTGCAGAATTCACACATTCAACTGCGCACCATATCCAGGACCAACCAAGAATAATAGTTGGTACTTTGATCCTTCTTCCTACCTGTTTAACAAGATCTCGTCTTCATCTTCATGTTTTTGCTTTCTCTCTCCAAACGACTGCCTGCGTCAATATGTCGGTCTCTGCACAAACAATCGCAACTCAAACAACAGTGGTTGCGCTCACACCCACATTCATCAGCGATGTGACGACCACGACCACGGCACACCTTGCCACCACACTATTTGCGACTCAAGGACAAACCTTGACCATCACATCGCCTGACGACCCACAGACTTCTACCACCTCTACCACCTTCACCACTCGATACCTCCCCACCACAACGACAGCATCTGCCACAGTAACTCTAACTGAACTCGACATCTACCTGCAAAACACACGAGGGGAAATCTACTCCACGTGGATCATTCCATTTCCTGTCGCAGCCACAAACAGAGAAACACCCACTCCAATCACCTACGTGGTCCAGCCAGGCAACGAGTCAGATGGGGGTGAAGTCTGGGACAACTGGACGGCCAGGGAACGCGCAGGACTGATCGTCGGGGTTATTCTGGCAGCAGTGTTGATATTCGGAGTTGTCTATTGGTATTTCATGCGGAAGAACAATGTCTGGCTTGCTCATGGATGGTGGCCATGGATGGGTCAGGGGGCCATGGCCCAAGCAGCACCTGGACCGCCTGCTCCACCAGCGATGAATATGGTTCAGCCTACTCATGTCAATGGTGTTCTGATGTCATACGGTTATGGTCCGGGTTACAGTCAGCCAAATGGGGGTTTCTATGGAGTGCAGCATTGAGTGGTACTGAGACCAGACGAGGCTCAGGATTTAGCTGGGAATGAATAGCTACTGTAAAGCAAGACAGTGGTGGCTAAGGATGAGTCCCTGGAAATGTCGATATGGGAATTATGAACTCTCATTAAATCTCTGTCTGTGGATTCTTTGCGTGTCACAACTAATTTTCTTGTAGTGATGATAGCTTGAGTGAGAATCATGAAGAGGAATACCGTAGTTTTGTAGGTGGGAGGTGGGCGGTGGGTGGTGGGTGACCAATGACGTGGCCAAGTGCATCTTGGGACTGAATCTCATGTCGTCGCCTGTTTCCCGTTCCCCAACCTGCATCCTGGCTTCTGCTCCACCACGACTATTGACAGAGACAGAATATGGACCACTCCGTCCCTCCACCTCTGCGTCACACGCTCTGATTCCTCCTTGACCTGCTGAAATTACTCCAAACATGTGGCAGGACGACGAGGACAATAACCCTTATGGGTCTTTCAACAACCAGGACCCTACGGTTGATCCCACCACCGCCTCATGTACTTGCTCACTTCCCCTCGGCTTTGTCCAATAAGAGAGCGGCCGCGACTGACCAAGATCACAGATTCAAACCAACCGTCTACCCCTCCCTCCTCTCAACCATCTCCGAATCAGCCGCCCCAATTTCTCTCCAGACCAAGCAACATCAGCGATGATGGCGAGGAAGACGCGGCACATCCAGAGGAGGAGGAAGACAGCACACCTGTCCCCCCTAAGGGCGGATATGACGGGAGAGTCCAACAGATCCTCTATGAGAACCCTGATCTCGAAATAGTCATCACTGACGCTGGCAAGAGCTCTGATGGAGGTTACATTGTCTACAAGATACGGACGGGTGTAGGCAGCCACCCATCTTGTCTATTCGTTGTTGGCTGACTCCAGCACCAGGACATTGAAGTTGCCAGGCGCTACTCGGAATTCAGCTCGCTACGTGTTGCTCTGGTCAATCTTCACCCGACTTTGGTCATCCCACCCATCCCCGAGAAGCATTCAATGGCAGATTACGCCGCCAAACCGACCCGAGCGAAGGAAGATGCGGGCATTATTGATCTACGGAAGCGCATGCTCGGAGTCTTCCTCAATCGCTGTCGAAGAATGAGAGATGTTGTTGAAGATGGCGTCTGGTGGCGGTTTCTAGATCCCAATTCCAGCTGGGTAAGTCAGACTTCAAATCCCCAAGCCTCCCAGTGCTGGAATGGCATTGATCAGATCATAGAATGAGGTCCTACATGCCCACCCAGTCGCCTCAGTTCCCAAGAACAACCTGAAAGCACCTCCACTAGACCCGGCGAATCCGACTCCCGCTCACAATTGGCTGCCCATTCCTCCAACTTCTGCCAAAATCAGGCCTGGCGGACCGACGTCGACTAGTGGAACACCTATCTCCCCGCCTGATCAGTCGTGGCCATCGAGTGCTGCCCATACCGTGCCCGGTCCGCAGATCTTTGGCCGCTTTCCTATCGCAGCAGACAAGTTGAGCGAGACTGACTTGGATCCCTACTTTATCAACTTTGAGTCTTCTACACGGGAACTGGAACTATTACTGCAAGGCAGCATTGAGAAAGTCAACCGGCGCACATTGGAGCATTTGACCAAGCTTTCGGCCGACCTTGCAGAACTTGGAGCACGGTACAATGGGTTTTCGCTGTCGGAACAGTCCATTATGGTAGCAGCAGCCATTGAGCGGGTAGGGCAGGCGGTTGATAGCACATATATCTCGACTGAGGAGCTATCCTTGAGCCTTGGCGCCACATTTGCGGAACCCATGCGGGAGAGTGCCCAGTTTGCAGGGGTTGTGCGCAATGTTTTGAGATATCGTGTCCTGAAGCGTGTGCAGCAGGAGATGACCCGGGAAGATTTGGACAAGAAAAAGTATCTCCTTGATTCTTTGGAGAGGAGCGAGGTTGAGGCCAAACGAATTGATGCATATCTTGCCAATAGTACGACGCTGTCGAGCCCTCCTCGACGATCGACTTCAAATGCATCGGCTCGAAGTCAAAGTGAGGCACAATCACCTCCTGGTGGCCGAGAGGCCCACGAAGAGACTGAATCGGTCGATTCCGACTTCCCACCCACACATGGCGATGCACCAGGCTCGCCTCCTTCGTCCTATCAAGGTCAAGGCCAAACCCAGACCGGGCCGACCTCACCAATATCTCACCGAAAGTCTCCTAGTGGGAACTTTGTGACCAACAAGATTTTTGGCAGCTTCAGACACGCAGTCAATGGGTTTGTAGATGTGGATCCTGAACGCACTCGACGTGATCAGATCGGTAAGACCCGAGAGAGCTTGACACAGCTGGAGCAGGCACTAGAAGTGTCCGAGAAGGATGTCAAGGATGCGACGCAGGGTGTACTGAAGGACCTCAAGAGGTTCCAGAAGGAGAAAGAGGACGATATTCAGCGATACATGGTAAGTGATGTCAAGAGGAGACCTCTTGGAGTGCATGCTAATGATTTTGGTTCGCAGATATCGTATGCTCGATGTCACATTGAGTGGGCGAAGAAGAACTTGGAGACGTGGTCAGAAGCACGCGAAGAAGTGGACAAAATTGTGGCCCCATGAACTCAGCCGGTCTACTGAAAGCAGAGATTAGGATATCTTTCAGCCTTGTGAAGTGCCTTGCCTTTATCCGTTGTGTGGGTAGATAGCCCCCATGCTAGTAATGGGTGATGAGGAATGGAAGCCTGGTGCCTTGCCTCGATTCAGTCAGGTGGCCGCCATGGTCACGCTCACATGGCCAATGATTAAGTTTCCATATTGATAATCAGATGAGGTCTTGGTGACAATATGCATGAGAGCTAGAGAATCCGATCCTATTGCCCAGGTAGTTACAGCGGGGTGACGCACAGTGTGGTGGGTGCCAGTGGTTTGCCTATGTCGACCAAAATGCGTCGTGACTCTAAGGCGGACTTTGATGCTACAGTACTCACTACCTAGGTAGGCACGGAACTACTGTTGTGACAAGGTACCTAGGTACCTACCCAAGTAGTGATCAGTGAATCACTTGTGACTGAGGGTTTCTTGGGACTTCCTGCCTGCAGCGCCTGCAGTGCCTGAATAGGACTTGAAGTAAAGGCAGGTACGGTGGATGGTTGATTATTGGGGTCGCAGCTTCCGCGATTGCTATTCGTGGCTTCCTTCCACAGCCTCTGCCACTGGCACTTCCTCCCACCGTGACTGCGCCGCAAATTCAATCGTACTCAGGCTCAGGCTTCGGACTGCAAGGACTTCATCTTCAACTTCTAGAATTCCCACTGCCACCCCACTAAGGCTCATTCCACACATTACGTCGACTCCCACTTACCAATACCCCATACTGGGACTATTTTCATCCTGCCCATCCATGGTCTTTGCATGCGACTAGACTTTCCCTCTCATCCTTACCTATCCCTCCGAGCACTCCCCACCGGGACATGCCCGCGTCCCAAAAACACTCTCTCTCACAATCCAAGGATGATTTAAGCCGCCACCTGCGTTCCGCATCTCCAGCAGTCAAGAGGCCCGCCTCCGACATGGGAGCTCAAGATAGAGAGTCCTACAACAGCGACGTCGACATGGCTGACCCCGAGGACTCCCGCGGCTTGACTCCTTCAGATCCTCAGGCCAGCCCAGACACAAAAGCCAAACAACAAGACACTGGCCAAAGACACCGCCAAAAGCAAGACCCCGATGACTCTCTCACCCTCACCCACCAGAGCCATCCACGCGCCCACCATCAAAATGTCCCTTCCGACAACAGTGCCAGTTCCGCCTCCGATTCTCTCATTCCCAGCCCTTCCAACCAGTCCACGGCTGCAACCTCTCTCAACACCGATGCATATGCCGTTCCTCCCTCCGCCACCTCGGTTCCCTCGCTCGACCAACAAGTGGGTAGAGTCACCGAACTCACCCTGAAAGACCCGCAAGAAGGTGACAAGGGCTATCTGGTCTCCTACAAATGGCTGGTCCGTGTCCAGGCCCGGAGTCTCTTCGCTTCCGAACTGCCCAGCATCCCCAAATCTGCCACCGAGGGAGACATTGGCCCCGTGGACAATTCGGATTTGGCCATGGTGATTGAAGATTCTGGCAAACTCTTGGACGAAGCCGGAGAACCCTACGTACCCCTCCGCCCTGGTTTGTCCCATGGCGATGACTATCAAATTGTCCCCCAAGAGGCTTGGGATCTGATCGTCTCATGGTACGGCCTAGCCAAAGATTCCCCGGTCTTGACCAGATATGCCCATGATTCCCAAGCCGATGGTGCTGAGGTGGCCAATGTCATCTACGAGTTGAATCCACCCATCTTCTCCTTCCTCAAAGTTCCCAGTGAGCACACCAGCCAGACTCAAAGGGAGAAAGACCTGACTCCTCAACGACTACTCGCCAGTAAGAAGAAACCTTTCATGCAGTGGCTGAAAGAGGGTAAGCAGTTGGTACATATTGATCTCAACACCAAAGTTCGAGTCTGGAGGATACTCGGTGGCCTCAAAAACTCAAACGGCTCCGGTGTACTGACACCTGCCGCCTCGAGAAGTGCTTCTCCCGCCCCCGGAGCCGAAATCGTGGCAAGTGCAGGAGACAGGATGTTGCTTGATGTCAACACTTTTGCGTCTTTGGCTATTGGTGAACACCGAGAACTTCTAGAGATTCAAGATCAGACTGGCAACCCCAAATACAACGGCAGCCTGTCCTTGGGTACGGCTGGCCTTGGAAGAGATGAAGTCATTTGTCTAGAGGAACAGAAACCAGGCAAAGAGGAGTGGCCGAGCGAAAACTCGAAATTGTCGATCAAAGGACTGAAAACCACCGCCAAAAATCTTACTGCAAGTGGAAGGACCAGTCCTGCTCCTGGAATGGTAACTCGTGGCCGACAAAAGCAGGCCGGACGACCCCGTGGCATTACTGGGTTGAGCAATCTGGGAAATACATGCTATATGAATTCTGCCTTGCAGTGTATCCGCAGTGTCAAGGAATTGACCGACTACTTCTTGCTTGACGAGTGGAAGAGAGATTTGAACGTCACCAATGTCCTCGGGCACAGGGGAGAGGTAGCCAAGGCTTATGCCAATCTCCTGCACCAGATCAATGACGAGAACTCATCCTCGACCAATCCCGGTAAATTCAAAGCTGTGATAGGCAGGCATGGGCCAAGCTTTTCTGGCTATCAGCAGCAAGATTCTCAAGAATTTCTGCTTTTTTTGCTTGACGGTTTACAAGAAGATCTCAATCGAGTTCTCAAAAAGCCTTATGTCGAAAAGCCGGACTCTACAGACGACATGGTGCATGACACTGCTGCACTCAAGGCGTTCGCCGAGAAGAACTGGGAAATCTACAAAGCTAGAAACGACTCGGTCGTCACCGATCTCTTTGCTGGAATGTACAAGTCGACGCTAACTTGCCCTGTCTGTGATAAAGTCAGCATCATTTTTGATCCCTTCAACAACTTGACCTTGCAACTTCCCGTCGAGAACAATTGGGCCAAAGAGGTCTTGTATTTCCCTCTAAACAAACGTCCTTTCCGGATAGACGTTGATATCGACAAGCACTCAAGCATATCAACCTTGAAAGAGTTTGTTGCCAAACGGACCGGGTCCGAAGTCCAAAATCTGCTGGTTGCAGAGTCTTACAAGAATAAGATTTACAAAATCTTTGATAACAATATTGTCATCTCGGAATCAAATATTCAACCGGGCGACATCATCTGTGTGTATGAGTTGAATGCTGTCCCAACAAACTACAACCCCAACAAGGCTAAGAAATTCTCCCTATACACTGTGTCACGAGACACAGATGATGACCTGGTTGAGGATGATAGCCCTGAGGCTGAATCATTATTGGTCCCCGTGTACAATAGACTGGTTAAAAATACTAGTCGAGCGGCCAGTAGACCCTTCTTTGCCCAACCAACTTATCTCGTTCTCAACCGAGAGGAGCGTGCCTCCTTTGATGGAGTGTTGAAAAGCGTTCTTGGCAATGTGCTGGGTATGACAACAACCAACCTGCTCGATGCTGAATTCGACTCAGACGACACTGCAACCACCCCCGAAGGATCTGACACGGTTCTTATGGCAGATGACGTCTCCACTTCCGACTCCAACCCGACCACAGCCGCTTCGTTACAAGGCGAAGATGGGATTGTTGATGTTTCAATGCGTGATGCAAGCCAAGCACCAGAAACAACTTCTCAGCCCCTAACCTCACCGAGTGATTGGTTCCATCGACCAGGCACACAGGTCCCCCAATCGCTGAAAAGCCTCTTCACCATCCATGTGGCATCTACTGGGGAAGGTATCCCAACTGGATGGAACCAGATTTCCGAAAATCATGAATACGACAACATTGAAACTCGGATCCCCAAACCGTCCCCTCATCGACCATCAAAAACACGTGGCTCACTCATTGTTGCCAATGGAGATAGTGGGTCAGCAACGAGCGAAGATGAGTTAGCAGGAGATATTGAACATGATGAAAGCCTCGCCTCCAGTGACGAGACGGGTTCCGAGTCAAATGGTAGTCCAATGCCGGTAGATCAAGACTCGGACTCTGGACTTGCAGTGCATCGTATGAACAAAGCCAGGAATCCAAAATCAAAGCGAGGGAAACGGCAGCAGCGGAACAAGAGTAATGTTAATAAAAAGCGTACACAGCGGCGGACGCCGCCACCTGCACCTCAACCACAGCCCAAAGTTGCTGGTAAAGGATTGATTCGACCCGGTGAAGCCATCGTGCTCGACTGGAATGCAGATGCGTTTGAGTCCCTCTTCAGCGGCTCGGAAGGAAAGACAGATGATGCCAAGGACTTTCATGGTGCACCTACCTGGAAGGCTGTCGAACTTTACCACGATGCCGAGCTAGTTGCGAAACGCACTCAGCGAAATAGTCGCAAGAAGAATGGTATCTCCCTGGACGACTGTTTAGCAGAATTTGGCAAAGCTGAAACCCTGTCGGAACAAAATGCCTGGTTCTGTCCACGCTGCAAAGAACATCGTCGTGCGGATAAAACATACGAATTGTGGAAGGTCCCAGACATCCTTGTCATGCATCTGAAGCGATTCAGCTCGAATCGGAATTTCCGTGACAAACTGGAAGTCAAAGTAGAATATCCAACAGAGGGGCTTGACCTCACCGGAATGGTCAGAGACCACGAAGAAGACAAGAGTCTCGTCTATGATCTGATTGCTGTCGACAATCACTATGGAGGCCTCGGTGGTGGTCACTACACTGCGTACGCGAAGAACTCTGTCAACAACAACTGGTACGAGTACAATGGTAAGTAGAGTTGCTGTGATGCTGTTCTTCATTCGCTAACCAACCTAGATTCTCACGTTTCTCAACGTTCAGATGATCGAACTGTGGTAACGAGCGCAGCATATCTTCTTTTCTACCGCAGACGGGAGACTCCACCCGGTCACCCTTTAGGCGGGCCACATATCGAGGAAATGATGGCTCGCGACAACGTGGAAGCCGACTCTGAAAATCCTTCAGCCTCTCGTGAACCTTCCCCGATGACGGGGGAAGGTCGGCGTCTCGGCGACTTCTCCCACAATGGGTTGTCGAGCGCTTTAGCAGCCGGTCAAGGTCACCGCGTGGGAGTGGTTGGCTCGGCCATGGAAGAGGAAAATCAGAGTCACGATCAACAAGCAGAAACCGCAAGTCTACCGAGATTGATCGGACCAACCATTAATGACGAATTGCCTTCATACAGTGAGCAGGAGATGCTGGATGACGAAGGAGTTGACATGGCGTATGGCCCAAGTCCTGCTCACCAACTTCCCTGGACAGGTCCAAATTGGTCGTTTGATAACCTCAGCAACAAGGCGAGGATCGCCGCACCTTCGGAAGATGGCATGTTTGGAGATGGTCATAGTTCGAACGACAGCACACGCGTGGAAGGTGGTGTTGGTAGTTCACATCACAGTCTCACTGCCATGGATGATCTCGATGAAGTGGACAATCCTATCTTCAGCGAGCCTGTTATGAACGAGGACTATGGCAACCGAAACATGAGGGAAAGTGCACCACCTCCGGAGATCCCTGGAATGAATGACATGACCAATGATGACGAGGATGACCTACCTGTAATGGAATTGAAAGCCGATCCGTTAGAACCAAGCGGTGAGCTCAAATTTCGGCCGGAAACTCGTTGACGAACCATCACAAAGGCATATTTGTATTCCAAAGCGAGTACCTGGTCCGATTATATCTTTCCATTGGTGAGGGCGAAAGCCATGGGCAATGTCGACCACGATTGGTCTTGATGTGTACGCGTGAGTCGGTGAACAATGACAGGGTCTTCTCACTCTATATGAGTACGATTCCGGACTGGGAGGGGGAAAATCAAGGCATTTGGACGATCCACAATTGGCATGAGGACAAAAGGACCTGACAAGGGTACAACCCCAAAACACGCCAGGCCAACAACCGCCCCCCTTTTACACCGGCCAGCCTAAGGCATGCGGATTGCAACGATCCTGAGAATCAATGCAATGCTTGTACATAGAAGACCAATTCGACAGAACAACTTAGCATCAATTGAAGCCAGTATCAGGGATTCCAATCACTCAATAGCCAGGCACGGCCCTTGCTTGATGTTCCGACCATGTCGAGTCTCGCCGCTGGGAAATTCATCTCCGCCCCTGGTCCCTTACTCTTCCAACTCACCCATCCGACATTTGTAGAGTATGGATACTATACTCCTGGTTATGTATCATTAAGCTTGATACTGCAGGAGGAATTTGAAGAAAGCGGAGTTAGACACGCCACTAGCGATAAGCACCAAAACGGTTAGTCCTGCACACTAGCTCATTTAGCGCGGGTAGACAAAGGTACTAGCTGCACCGCAGTTTCGTAGCATCTCCAATTCTCTGGGGTTCGATTTTGTACACAAATACATTCCTACCAAAAAGACGACGGCCCGTTCAATTCAACATCCTACACGTTCATTCGATGCAGCTAGCGTCCGCGACATATGACCGGATCAAGATAATGATAGTACGAATCTCGATCTCCTAAAGCACCCTTATCGACCGCGCCCCCGACCAGACCCTGATTTCATATTCATCCCACCTCATCCCATTGACACCCTTGACTCACCGACAAACACACTACCCTTGTCATGGCCAACGCCTTGACATCTAGAGACGAGCCAAAACAGGCTGAGTATGCTGGAGGTATGTCTGCATACCAGCCTTACTTACCTGCGGTCCAACCCTACCTCATCGGACCACGCGCATACCGCTTGTTGTTCAGCCATTTTCTGATTGACTCGTGCTGAATGTTCCCCTGCAGATGAGGTCTCGGCCATTGTTCTCGACCCCGGCTACGCCACAACCCGAGTAGGCTTCGCAGGAGAAGACACGCCCAAGTCCATCGTGCCTACGTATTACGCAGCAACAGGTGACCAGCGCCTCTTCGGTGACCACGTTATCGATGTCCCGCGCGAAAATGTCGAAATCAAGAACCCCCTAGGCTCAGATGGCATCGTGGAAGACTGGGACGCGGCCGAGGCGTTATGGAAATACTCGTTCGCTCATAAGCTCACCGGGGTGCGTCCGAACCGAGCTCTACAGGAATGGTTGAATGACAGCAGTGCCGTGCCCGATCTGCAAAAGGCCATGGCTGATGCGGTGGATACGGAAAGATGTCTAGAAGACCATCCGTTGTTCATGACGGAGCCGTCGTGGAATCCTACAAAGGCAAGGGAGAAGATGACCGAGATTGCGCTCGAGTCTTGGGCCGCGCCGGCGTTCTACTTGGGTCGTACTGGAGTCATGGGTGCCTTTGCAGCTGGACGGCCGAGTGCACTGGTGATTGATTTTGGTGCTTCTCAGGTCTCGGTGACACCTGTTCACGATGGTATGGTCTTGAAGAAAGGAGTCACCAAGGCCAACATCGGAGGCAATTACCTGTCATCGCAAGTGCGCAGTATGCTGGCTGCCAATGAGAGTGGCGCCATCAACATCACACCTCACTACCTGATTCAGTCCAAACAACCGGTCGATGCTGGCCAGCCGGCCAACGCAATTCTGAAGACCATGCCTGAGGGTTTCAAGTCTCCATCGGCCTCTTTCCGTCGGTACCAGGAAGACAAAGTGATACTTGAATTCAAGGAATTGGCTCTTCAGGCTTGGACGAGCCCTCAAGCTCCATTCCGTGGGCAAGGAGAAGCGACCACGCGGGAACAACAATTCGCCCAGCCATTTGAGTTTCCTGATGGATATAATCAAACCTTTTCGAGTGACCGCTTCAGACTAGTCGAGTCACTTTTCGACCCACAGTGTTACTACGCACCACCTGCAGGCTCGCTCGACGCTACGCTCTACCCGGCACCGGACGCGACAAGCACCATCCCTGGCATCGTGCGTGCCTGTCTGGCGCAGATCGACGTCGACATCCGACCATTCTTACTGGGTAACGTGGTGGTGACGGGCGGCAGTTCACTGATCCGCGGGCTGCCCGACCGTCTCCAGCAGGAACTCACCAAGATGTACCCATCGGCTAGAGTCCGCATTCAGGCATCCGGAATGAGTGTGGAACGAAAGTTTGGGTCGTGGATCGGCGGCAGCATCGTCTCGTCCCTTGGCACGTTCCACCAGATGTGGATTTCCAAGAAGGAGTACGACGAGCACGGTGCTGGGATTGTGGAGAAGAGATGTAAGTAGAAGCCAGAGGCCGAGTGATTAAGAAGACTAGTAGGTAGGCAGGCAGGCAAAAGGATAGCAACACGCCAGACCAGAGCAAGCCAGACCGGAGCAGGGGAAAGAAAGGCTTCCTTGCAGAATATGGAGCTGGAGCTCTCTTCCTTTTGTCTCACCAGCTTTGAAATGCTTGGTTCTCCATCAGGGACAAGGCATAGAAAAGGCTAAGGCGCATGAATGCATGCATGCATGCATGGTCGATGAACAAACTTCGGGGTCGGGCACACATGAAGGGCGGAAACCAAAAAGTGAATGGGCCCAGTGGGATGATGTTTGACTTTTATGGAATTACGGGGGGTTTAAATTGAGTTCTCTTCTTTTTCTTCCGATGCAAAGTGGTCGGTGGTGGTACACGGCAGTGGGTATTATACACCCATGCACATTGTTCATTCGATGGGCGCCCGGGCACCAGTGGTTGAGGGAAATAGAGAAGAAAAAAATCTCAATGGAGTTAGGAGCCCCAAGTGAAGAAAGGGCATGGCGATGGTGGTGGGGATGAGGCAGGGAATGGTAAGGGGCACGAGGGGACGAACTTGAATGAAGAACCTGAAGGGGCGACCCCCCGGGCGCTATACAGCGGTCCGTGCGGCCGAGGCCAGGCCGGGTAACAAAAACTCTCTTTGTCCTAAAATGTACCACCATAGTACTTCAAGTAAGGACCTTGTGTCACTGGGTAGGTACTCAACTAGGTACTTTTAAAACCTTTGATGTCTATAGCGAGCTTTGAGTCATGCATGCAGAAGAGCTCGGTAAAGGATGGCTTGGAGCCGGGTTTCTTTCAAGGCCGAAGGACGGAATTCCCGTGCCTGGTGGCCATGTTCTGGTCGGTGGGATGAGTGGTGGGGAAATCGCAGCGAAGGCGAGGGGAGGGGGATGAGATGAGATCAGATGAGATCAGATGATGTTTTTAGGATGTTATCTTTGCGGTCGTGGGTAGAGAGAGTGTGTGTGTGTGAAGGAGGGATAGAATCAGAATCAGAATCATGCCATGCCATGCCATGAAATGGGTGTTGGGATTGACACAACTACCGAGTAGAGACCAATACTATTGATAGCTATATAGCTATGGAGTACGGAGTACTTGCAGTATCGTATCGATGTCGCTGCAATGCTCATCCACGAGTGTCTAGTACAAACCTAGGTATGTATGTCCACACGACGGCACCGACTCAGAGCCAGCGGATACAGAAACGGCATTTATTGGCGTTGGGGACGAAAAATGTCGTTGTTATCATTCGCGCAAACCTAACCAACTTCGGTACCGTGACGAGGCACTAAGTTACCTACGAGTATGGTGCGAACTAGGACGTGATCGTAGTACAAACCCGTTGCGGAATAGATAGATGGAGAGATAGATAGATAGATAGATACCTGAAGTACTCGGTGAAGAATCGAGGAATTTCCTCCATCCAAGAGCCGGTCACGGAATGGTCAAAGTTGGTCCGGATTGTGAATCAATGTATATGTAAGGATAGACGAGGCCATACATGACCAGGCCAGGCCAGGCCGGGAGGGGGCCTTGCATTCTTCTTGATGGGGTCTTCTGCAGACTGATGTGGGGGCCAGCCTGGTCTGTAAGCTACTTCGTCGTAGTGCGTGCATGACTGCAGAAATCTAGTAAGAGGGGTAAAAGAAGGGAGGAAGACGAGAACTGGTACCAGCAGAACTTGATTCAACTAAATACGAGTAGGTACCTAAGTATCTAAGGTAGTTTACTGTTTTGAAAATTGGAGTCTAAGGCACGGAGTGAGAAAACAAGAAAAAAGTCAGACATTCCTCATGACCTGCGATGCGATGTAACGGTGAGGCTCCAGTCGGTGGACACGGATTTTCTCCTGCTCCCTGACTCCATCTGTCTCTTTTCCCCAGGATTCAGGCGTTCTGAAAGTAAAGGAGTAGCGCAGAGTGTGTCAGTGGAGCGGCCAATACATTCTGTGTCGTTGGCACACCAAAGTTGAGACCTATATAGGTGGTAGTTGTACAATTGTAATGGACCCAGTGGGCACGAAACGGTGAATTGAAACCATCCCTAGTAGTGAACCAAGCCGTCGGGACCAAATACGAGGTGCCAGCGAGGGTTGCCAGTCGACTGAGTCTTAGCATTCGTGTTTCTTTTCGCTACACAAAACGTCGAGGACGTCCGATCCAATGTACGCTGATCCAAAGCCTTGGTTCGTCTCTTCTCTGTGTAACGTCAATGTTCGGACGACTGAAAAACTCGGACGGATTAAACACTATACCTAGGGATTTAGGTCCTGGAATATGACTATTGCCGTTTGTGGTAGTGGGCCCTTTCCAATGCTGACATGGGTCAGGCTGAAGAACCCATGTGAAGAATGGCTTGGTGACTCGTGCGAGTCTCTCACGTTGCTGATCGTGCCATGTTGTATGTAGATCGCCCCGGGGGATTGTCCTTGGGCCTACATGACTCGGTCGCAGGCTTTCAATTCACGGTTTTAACCAAGTGTCCGTAGGCTTGGTACTTTGGTGGACTAACTAACCTTGAATGGGCGAGACCCCAGGGTTGGCCTGGTTCAATAATAATAGGCGTGCCTATCCGTAGCTACCTGAGGCACGAAGTACTCGTACTCCGCACCTAGGTAGTTAGTGTCGAGACTACTCATTGATCGTTAGGGCATAGCTACCTACCTAGGTAGGTATGCAGTACACAGGTAGGTGGGGGATGCCTGGCGTCGGGGTGGTGCCTCGTTACTCGTACGCCTGGTAGTTAATGCCTTTTCAACTCCTAACCGTACAGGGCAGTTCAGGTCACATCCCACGCTCTGGGTGGCCTGGTCAAGTCTCAAGCTACCAGGACCTGGACCAGGATCAGGCCTTGGGCTTGGGCGACTTTGTTGGTTGCACAGCATGAATCAACCCAACCAGCTGGGTTTTGCGGTGCCAAACGGTCGGGACTACTCAGTACCTCAAGATTGGTGCCTAAGGCTACGAGTACGAGTCCTCCTACTCCCTATTCCCTGCTCCCTACGGATACCTCTCCCTCGACTAACCAAGTTATTGCCTGTCCCTGCACCATGATAACGCCATTCCTGTTGATCCATTTCATTTCCCCTCTTTGGAACTTGTCAACTCGAACTCGAGTCAGTATGATTTATTCGGACGGAATACGGATAGATCTGTCGACAATTCCCTCTTGGAATGATTGCCATAACTACCTACCCGTGCCTAGGTAGGTACTTTATATCTAAGCCATCCCTCGTCTCTCCCACCTGTGATCCTACTCAACTCGTCTGTTTCACCATATATCTATACGAGGTATCTTTCCCTCACTGGTTTTTTACCGAGATTCTACCTCTGGCTCAATCTATTCCGGCTCGGCTGAGGAAACACGCCAAACCCCTCTGACCGGCCCTCAGGCTTGCAACCCTAGTCCACAATCTGCAATCTGCAATCTGCATTCCCAATTCTGCAAATCCTCCCAAAAACGGAGTACGGATAACTCGTACGGATAAATAGATACCACCACACTGGCACCAAGGCAACTGCACTGGCAGACAACACATCACCAATATCCACCTCGTGCCAGTCTGCCAGTGCCAGCACGAGTCCCCTGCTCTGCGGCTCCTCCCCTTGTCGTCGCCACAACCACAACCACAACCACGGCTCTTTGCTCCAACACAATCCTATATCCGTATTCCACTTTCTCAACGTCTTGATCCTCTGATGGATACCTCTGACTAACTGCTTCCCTGTGACTCCCCACCGAATTCGACCTCTTACCCCTCCAATCCCAAACTAATCTGCCGGACCCTTGCAGCAAACTCTTATATCCCTTTGCCGCCCAGTCTACTGCATAGCAACCTCGCTAAGAACACGGGTCACGCCTGCTGCTTCCTATGCTTTTCGAGCATATCGAGACTTTCCGCTCACACTGCTGATAAACTTTGGGCCATCTATCCACCCGTCTTCCCGGGTCGTCAAGAACACCACCCTTGCCTTACAAGTTGAGGATCAGAAGTCTAAGCGAAAGCCGCCACCACAACGCCCACGCTTGGATTTCTCTTCCCGACTTTTCTGCACTTGATTCGCAAACACGCCTAAGGCCGAGTTTCCCCTTCCACCGGCTTCTTTCTTCTCAAGTCCCCGATCCTTGGACGCCACCTGATAAAATCGTGTTCAATATCATTTGACTCAAAAATAAGCGCCCGAGTTTCTTTCCTGGAGGGATACAGAAAACTCAGCCCGCTTGCTGCCTACATCGCCATTCAATTGCTCTAAATATCTCTGCTGGATCATGTCAGATGCCACCGGTTCAAGAAACATCAGCGTCCCCATTCAAACCATGGACTCACCACTAGCACCCGGTTCATCTTCCCCCTCTTCCTCCATGGGAGCCAATGGTCAGACAAGGTCATTGACAGCTAGCATTACCGACTATCCTATGTTCTGGGGAAGAAGATACCATCGATACAAAGAGGGTGCCTATCTATTCCCCAATGACGAAGCCGAGAACAATCGCCTGGATGCCCAGCACAACATCCTCAATGAGCTACACGGTCGCTTGTATTTTGCACCCCTCGATCCAGACAACACTCGAATTGTCTTAGACCTGGGTACTGGAACTGGGATTTGGGCAATGGAATTGGCCGACTCGGAGATGTTGCCCAAGGCTTCCATATTTGGCACAGATCTATCTGCGGTTCAGCCACTAGATGTACCAAACAATGTTCATTTTGAGATTCAAGACTGCTCGGAACAAGACTGGGTTCGTCCTTTTGGAAGTGTTGATTACTGCCATATTCGCTTCCTCGCTGGCAGTCTCACCTCATACGAGGATCTGATTAGAAACTCCAAGCGATACATTCGCCCAGGCACGGGCTGGATAGAGTGCCAAGAACTTCATCCTTCTCCTGTATCCGATGACAACACGATACCTAGAGATTGGCCTGGCAAAGTCTGGGATGAGAACCTCGATTATGCCTGTACACAAGCTATCTACCCACCGAGACCCGTCCGCGTCGGTCCCGATATCAAAACATGGATGGAACGAGCAGGCTTTGTCGATATCCACGAACATATTTCCAAGATTCCCATCGGACCCTGGCCAAAAGACAAACGGTTGAAACGTATCGGACAATGGTGGTTGCAAAATTGGCTGTCTGGAATTCAAGGCTTCTCACTCAAGTTGTTCAGCTCCGAGGGGCTCAAGTGGTCAAGGGAAGAAATCGAAGTCATGCTGGCAGACGTGAGGAAGGCATTCGCTATGAAGGAGGTTCATACGTATCACAAGTACTACGTCGTCTATGGAAGGCGACCTTCGGCGAGAGAGGAGGAGATATATTACAATCAGCAGAGGCATTCTCGCGGCTGATTGAGATTGGACATGACACGAAAAATAAATCCTATCATTATGCCCGAGCCTGGATACCAGTTTAGAAGTCTCTCGCAAAGGTCGAACATACGAGTGTGCGACACCAGCATTTCACCTACAGCTTCGTCGGTCGCTCCTCCTCAGCTCAGTGCCCGAACACAGGGTCGATTCGGACCAAGTCTCAAATCACAAAGGGCAAAGAGCAAAAGCGTGAGAGATGCAGATTCTTGGACAACTGGTCTTGATGATCGATCTTTGGGGCCTATTGAACCAGGACTATCCAAATAAAACATTTGGCACATGTTCTACTGGCATACTACGTTGGCAGGGATTATGTCTACGGAAAGCGCAGAGTGGTCAGCGGACGACAAGCTTCTGCATGTATGCCATCAGTGCACAATCGAAACAGAACAAAGGTCGACCCTCGGTTCACCAGCCAAGCAGGACATCGATCAACACGAATCTCAGACAATTTCGGGGACAGTGTGCACTGGATTCGCCAGCATCCACACCAACAAGCGAGGCAAATAGCCCGCTCAAGAGAATAACGGATGGGGAATTTTGATCTATAATACCATGAAATGAAACGATAGCGTGTATGTTATACTAGCGACCTTCTCAATCTTTCCAGGAAAGCATGTGCAATTCCCAGCAGTGCTTGGATCATACAGTACTGGACACTCTACTCCTAGCTTGACTCTGATCGCCTCGTATGGTTCGAGTAACCCATCACCAAGAAGGAAACTGTCTTCGGTTTCACGCCAAGAGATGAGATGCTAGCGAGAAAAACAAAAACCAAGATGGTAGAAGTCACCTCGGGCCAAGAAAACATACCGGACGATCCAACCATACCCACCATGCCGTTCAAAACTCAAACTCGGTCGATGCCTTGTTAATGCAAAGGGCAAATGGCCCTACGCCAATCAGATACACAGGCTTCGGATGTGCTGGAAAAAGCATGCGTATACATGACTAGTTAACTAGTGCCGCCCCGGGACAGAGCATTGACACTTGATCCTTGAGAAGTGGTCTCAGTCCGCCCCGTACCTACAGTACCTACTTAGATACAGAATACCGAGTACGGATACAAGCACAGGATACCGACCTATGGAGTCAACGTGGATATTGCCAACTCGGCGGTGCGTCCCTATCGGTCCCACTTTCCGTCACCTCCGCCCGTGGCTTTTAAATGAAAGAGTGCCCAGTCAAGCAAGACCAAGAGTGCGGTGTACGAGGGACGGACTGTTATGGAGTGGAGATGGATTTGTTTTCGAACGGATGGGACCGAAGCAGGAATAGGCGAAATACCAAAAGTGTAACCGAGTATCAAATAACGTTATTAACACACCAAATCACTAAACTGGGAGGAGGGTCGTTTCAAATGAGATTTGAGAGATCGGGAGATGGTGGTCCTCCCCGCCGAAGCCAGCCATCCAAACCATCCTCTTCCAGGGACTGGAATCTCAAATGCCCCTTTGACCTGTGAGTATCCGTATTCCGTACAGCTAAACGATGGTGAATAGAGTTTTTCCCATGTCGGTTCTCAATCGACGATTCGCGCCTTTTGGATTTGCAAACATGGGGTTTTGCTTTTTGTCATGCTCCCTGAATCGTTGGAGCGCCAATTCCGTCACCACGATTTTCGAACGTGCATCTTCATCTGGACTAGGCACAACAGCGACGGCCAACCTACAAGTATATTGCAGAAAGGATCAGTCCGCCGAGAATAGAGTTTGTCCCCCCGAGTTTCCCAACTCCTACGATCTACGGTCAGTGGCTGCCTCGTTCACTGGACTTGGCCCTTGGTTCGGTATAGCGCGTGCCAATCTGTCTTGAGCATCACCATCTCTGTCACACATGCATGTGCCTGTGTCACCCCAAGCCTGTGACGTTTCAGCGGAGGAGAAACCAGAGTGATAGAAGCGTCTTTTTTTGTCGATTACGAAGTACGAACTCAGTACGGGCCAGGTAAGCCTCGTTGCTACGCAGCTGCAACAAAATTTCCAACCTCGAGTGGGGTGTTAGCTGGTGGCTTCCCCGGATGATCCCCCGTGAGCTTTACCAGGTTGCCGAGTAGCGTGGTTGGCATTCAAGAAACGTCAGCCAGCTTAGGCGGTGGGGCGCCCGAAGTTCGGGTACACGGATCCGAAGTTGAGGATTTCTTGGGTCAAGGAACAATTTTCTCTTCGTTTCGATCGCGGATCTTGAAGTTTGTGAGTAATTATGTTACATTACAAGAGCCATTTGGGTTGATGAGACAGAGCCTGCCTTGGAATTCTCTCCTGACCGCGCAACGCCTCAAATGATCCGTCTATTCCCATTGCGCTTGGTTCGTATTCCTGGTCATACTGGCAGGGATTGCGAAATGGGAATTTCGTTTCTTCTTTGTGACTTGAATTATGTGCGAGAATTCACCGGCGATCACTGGGATCGGATGGCCCATCCGACCGAATTACCGTAACTTGAGACAAGCGAAAGACAGAACGACAAGGAGCTATTCTAAAGGTTGGCTAACCTCGTACTCCAGATGGAGCTCAGATTTCCTGAGGCGTTCTCTGACTACCAGACTAAGTAGATGGTTAGGATGCCTTCTCGCGGCCCCGTCCTGAAATGTCCAACAATGCGCTTCCCAATCTACGAGGAGAAAACAAGCTCGACCTGAGGGAACACGAAACAAAGAAAAGTACAGCTGTTATTCGCCAGTGATGCAGAAAAAGAAACTACCAAGGTTTGGGTTTGCCTTTCTCCCTGGCATCAATCTGGTGGTGAGTATCTGGAATCAAGGAACTTCAAACTGCTACGAATGCAAATAATTCACAATGGGCGAGACCGCGTCTCCAACAGGTCAGAATCTACCTGATTGGCACTGAGAGTACGTACGAGTAAACTGGCGTGGCGGATTGTTATTGGGTACCAAGTTGACCGTTTGACATCTGCAGAGACACTGACAGAAAGACATTGCTTGCACGGGGAGGTACTACTTCCACTCCGAACAGATACAGCAATGATCGAAGGACTTTTCACTTCTGCATCCCCGTATGCAAAGCGAAACTTTATTTGCACCCCCAACCTCGGATAGGCGTTCAACTGCACCAGTGACATGCTCTGCTGGGATCTAGCTTGCACAGCAATCTCTCTTGCTTAACGTTTACAAGGAAGAGGTCAAGCCCGGGCGATCGAGCATGCATCCTCCCAGACTCTACGACGTACTCAGAAAGAGACGCAATGCCTTTCTGGACCATGTTCGATTGCTTTACCCCTCCCTTCTGCATGTCGTTTATCGTTTCTGTGCCTCGTCATGCCACTTGACCAGCATCCAGTTGAAATTTCGAGCTTGAATTACAACAGATGGCGTAGCCATGACCGCCGGGTGCGGGTTGGTTGTTGATCGTCCAGGTCTAGGTCAAGATCTAGATCTGCATCTCATATCACACCCGGCCTCGGCAGTGAACTCTGTCGACAGGCAGCATCGTTCCCATTAGCTTCACATGTGATCCGAAAAGCTGTTCAACCATCCACAGTGACAAGCGTGTGACCATTTTCGTCCTCGATACGCCCTATCGAGATAGGACATGCAAAGGGTCCATGTTCCGGAGTTCCGAGCAGCGTTCGAATGGGTGAGCTTCGGTCATTCTAAGCCGTCCAGTTGCCTTTTCGTACTGGGCAATCAGTGCCTGTTCCCAGACCGAAAGAAGCTTGATCCGAGGAAATTATCTCGCCACGCTAGATCGAGCCACAATATTCCTCTGTGTGTCAACTTTTACCTAGCGAGTTGTCGCGCACAATTTCAACCTTGATTGGAAAACGAATTCTGGAGTTCTAACGCGCAGCGAGGCATTGAGAACGTGGGCGAAACCTCTCGTCCCGCTCCCGAAAGGGATATTCAAGGAAAGAGTTGCGCTTAACTAACTCCTAGATTGATAGCCAACAATAGGCGCATGCCACATGCCGACGTTCGCCCAGTTCCGGACTCCTGAAACCGGCAAGTAGTCCTCAATTCTCTAGGGATGGACGAAAGCAGCAGATAAGCATTTCACTGGGCCAAGAAATTCATGATTGCACCAATCTATCTCATTCCATCACAAGGAGGCTACACTGCAGATATGCTTCCGTAAGTCCCAGAGCGGAAGGTATTCTCACCAGAAGAAGGTTAATGGAGCAAAGACCTCAATGGACGTTGAAAATAAGGGAGGCCTGCTTCCTCGCTTCGTGCCGACAAGGCCGCCCTTCCGTGAACTCAGGTTAGACCGACCCACTATCAGACTTCGAATGGCTTGCATAACGCACACCCGATATTTGATGAGTTAGTCGTGTTTTTCGTTTCCGCAACTGATGCCCGTGAGGTGCTGAAGTAGTCTACTCTGCAGAAACCGCGTTCGATCCAAAATGTCGAGCTCTGTCTCCACAATCTTCCTGCAATGGTCCAAGATTAGCGACACACCACCTGGGGAGAACGATCGGAGGCACGGAACTTGGACTGATCAAGAGGCCGGTGCATGCAAGACAACGATATCCTTCGACTGCACTAAGACGTCGGGCTTCCGGAGGACTTGACTGGTGTCTCAGTGAAGTCATGACATGGATAGTGAGTATCAGATCAGTGCAAAGTCGTCCAGTCCTTGAGCCTGTTGAAGCGCCACCAGGCAATCGTGACAAAACCCCCAATCGCCTTCGCCGAAGTTCGTGGGGAGTCTCAACAACACAGCGCCCGTGATCACATCCATTAGCTGCAGACAGGATACGAGAAAACATCGCCGAAAATTACAGCGAACATAGGCGAGATTTGAAGGCTCCGATATCTTTGCGACACGACGCTTATGGAGGCTAACTCGGACTGACTGGCCATCAAATCGATACACGCAGAGTTTCCAGCCATGTTGGAGTTTACCAGCGATTCGGCTTTCCTGCCTGCTATCGATTGTTGGCAGATGAAACACCCATATAAGACACGACCTACTCTAACTAGGCACCGCTCGTTCAGAAAGGTATCATATCTGAGA